ATTACTGAGAAAAATCTGCGGCAAAAGGCTGACAAATAGCATTATTATTTTTTAAACTTTACAAAAATTCTCATCTCCCCTCTTAAGGAGAGGAGATGGTAACTAACCCCCGGCAGCAGTACAGTCGGCTGGGGTTCAGGGCCCCAGGGAGAGAAACCGGCGTACAATGCGGGCAGAATCTAAGAGCACCGCTTTCTGCATCTTTCCCGAGAGTGTGCCGCCTCGGATTCCCAACCGTCTGAGATGTTGTTCCAGACTGGTTGGGATAAGACCGTTCACCGACATAACCATTAGAATGATTTCGGTGAATGTCACCCCCCATATTTCGGTCACCTCGTGAGCAAGATTGATTATTATTATTTTATAAACCACTAAGGTGGCAAACAAGCATACGGCCCACCTAATGGTAAGTGGTTACATTTGTTACAGTGGTTTACAGTGGTTATTGCAGGTGTTCATAGGCTACAGCCTATGAACACCTGCAATACCAGAGGTACTACGTGCGCGTTGCCGACTCTGAAGAAACCTCTTTACCCCCCTTTTGATGAACCCCATGCTGTAATCTCTTTAGGGAATAGGTATGAAGGAATTTAAAATCTATCTGTCCATATCAGCTGTTACTATCCACTATTGGACTTCTTATTAGAATGATTTTTTTAATGGGTGATAATGGAATGGTAACTCCGCCTGCGCTACCGGGATACGATGGCGAGGCACCAGTGAGCGATGATAGGTGAGGATGAAAACGCAAGTCAATTAGCCCATTGTGATGAATTTCACTAGAATTAACCACAATGGTTACCAGGGGGAACCACGTGGAGACGACCTGATAGGATTGCCAGAGGGAGACTTTGTACAAAAGTCGATTGCTTGGGTACCTCTTCGTGTTTCAACCGTGAAGCAGTTGTGTTTGCATGGCTGTGTTTCGGTTTGAAGAGTGGGATATGGCGTGAATTTACTGGGTACAAAGGAATAACATTTGAGTCCTCAGGAATGGCAACACATGGGATGTATCATGGGTGAAACAGTATACTCTGTTCTGTCCATGGTACTTCTCATATCTATAGGCGACGGTTACCACTCTCCATCAGGTGGGCCGTCACCTTGTTTGCCATTCTAAGTTGTATAAAAAAAACCATAAAAAAATGCATGACAGTTAATAGCAATGATTCATTAAAAATAATAATAAATGAGGTTCTACCCAATTAATTAATTTAATGAAATTGCCATAACTTGACATTAAGGCAAAAAATAAATTTTTTTTTTTTGTATATATTCTTGAAAACTTAGAAATTTATCTCTAACTTTGGTTTATCCATTTTTTGAATCTTATGACAGATTAAAAAAAAATGACATAACAGAAAGAGTATTAATAATGTAGTGCACAAATCAGGAGATATAAGTAACGGTAGAGGCTTTTGGCACTCAGTTTTCTCTGTCTATCCCGAAAAGGACTTGGCATGAAGATAGATAAATAACAATAAGTAATTTTCGGTTGCTTATAAAAATACTTTTACAAACATATCTCAGATGGTATATCTTCATACGTGTGATATAGACAGATAGGTTTCGAATAAATTGAGACATAGTTATATGATAAATAATGGTTCAAAAATAAATAATCGCCGACATCGTGAAGAGTTCGACGCTAGTTAAACACAACGTTGCACAATTACATGAGTATTTGCTCTCCGTTAAAGTTGAAGACTTAGTGGTACCAAGACAAACAGTGTACGGCAATTTGAAACTCAAACTTTCGACAACACGAGCGCCCCCACGTATGGTTTTGTTGGTTTTTTCAACTTACACACTTCCTTATCCTTAACCCTTTTTATCCGACTTCGAAAGAAAAGAAATTCTAAATTTAAATGTATTTTTTACTATCTATATATCGCAGTTTGACCCGCGCATACATAATTTAATGTAAATGCTACCAGTGAAGTTAGGATTTTTTTTTATATAACTTAGAATGGCAAACAAGCTAACGGCCCACCTGATGGGAAGTGGTAATTGTCGCCTATAGACATGAGCAGTACCATGGACATAACAGAGTACACTGTTTCGCCCATGATACCCCCCCATGCATTGCCATTCCTGAGGACTCAGATGTTATTCCTCTGTACCCAGTAAATTCACGCCATATCACACCCTTCAAACCGAAACACAGCCAATTTTAGAATTACAAGGTAACGATTCCAAAATCTGCATATTTTTCAATTAACAGAAAAGTTAAAATTTTTTAATTTTTTATTAGCAAAAATTTGTAACAATGGATTGTTACTATTTAACACAAAAACTATTAAACAGATTTAAAGAAAATTTATGAAATGAAATGAAATTGAACGAAAAATAATTTAATTTATTGAATAAAAATAGACGAGTAGATTATATCCTCAATTATCGTCAGAGGGAGACTTTGTACAAAAGTCGATTGCTTTTGTGCAGTTGCACTGCAGTTGTGTTTGCATGGCTGTGTTTCGGTTTGAAGGGTGGGATATCGCGTGAATTTACTGGGTACAGAGGAATAACACCTGATTCCTCAGGAATGGCAACGCATGGGGAGTATCATGGGCGAAACAGTATACTCTGTTATGTCCATGGTACTACTCATGTCTATAGGCGACGGTTACCACTTTCCATCAGGTGGGCCGTCAGCTTGTTTGCCATTCTAAGTTGTATAAAAAAAGTACTTTTCAGTATAGGAAGAGAGAGGAAAAAAATATTAATAAAATTTAAATACGAAAATTTTGTAAATTATCAAATTTTGTGAATATGTATTTTGATACAATATCATTCAACAAATACGAGTACACTATTAGTTTGGGATAACATCAAACGTTACCTTGCCTACTTTTACAAAATACGCAACCTGAATGTTTGTATAGACTTAGAGATATATTTGCACAACGATAAAATAGTGTATATTTATTATGTAGTTGTAGTAATCATTGTCGCATTGCTTAGTTTGATTTTTACAATATTTCCACTGTTCCGTTGTAATAGTTATGTGTGAAAATACTGAGCATTCAGGAGAATGTGTTAAAACATTGGACGTAGATATAAATTATAAAGGTAAAAAATATATTATTATGTAACTATATGATTTCTCTTATTTATTCTCTTACTCTTAATGTACATATAGATATTCTTTATCGTTCCCTTCTTTAGATATAATATTTTATGATATGATACTTTAAATGGTGAAGCTCACTAAGTCCTATTCTTACCAACTTAGGATTACAGTAATATGTAAATCTAAAAATTATAATAAATATGTCATATAGAGAAAAAATTGAGATGCCTGATTGCTAAAAGGTATTTGTTTTAGGCAAACTTTGATATAATTTACTATATTAAAATATATAATATTATATATAGGTATACTGAGATTTTTCTCAATATCAAATAATCCATTTTTTATCTAACTTGTTAAACTATGAGAAAGAAGTCATCATAAAAATAAATTAATTAAAAATAAAATTAGGAAAATTATTGCTTAAATTAATAACTAAAGGACAAACGATCAGAAAATCAATACATTTAATATTTGTTTTCTGATTGTAACCAATATCTTATTATTGTAACTAATATCTTAATATTGTAACTAATATCTTAATATTGTAACTAATATCTTAATATTGTAACTAATATCTTATTATTGTAAATAATATCTTGTTATTGTAACAAATATCTTATTATTGTAACCAATAATTAAACTCACAAAGGTTTAAAAAATTCTAATGTTGTAATATTCCAAAGAGAAGGGTCTCTCCCTTTTCGTTTTATTTATTTATTTATTTTTTGGAAAACGCTGAGTTACAGCTGAATTACAGTCAATACATAATCAAATTTATATCTATGTTAAGCCATGAATCGTTTTCATATTTGCGTAGTTGCATTTGCACCAGTGAGGGATGATAGGCGAAGTTGAAAGCAGGTCAGTTAGCCCAACGTGACAAATTCCACAAGAATTAACCACGATGTTTTTCAGGAAGAACCATATGAAGGTCGACCTAATAGGGTATATTGCTGGCAATGGGTTAGTTAGACCCCATTTCTAACAATCCTTTTCTCGCCGGCATGTAGCCGCTCATAAAACCATAAGTCGAAACTGTATGTGTAATGTATTTATAAATAAAAGACTATTAAGCACCTGTACTGCTCAGTTTGCTCCCACTTATCAGGCTATTTCTCTGCTCAATTCTCTGATTGCTCAGCAGCCAGATATTGATATATTTAATGACAAAATAAATATATTTTAAAAATGTTGTACAAAATTTGTAAGTTTGTTAAATAAAACTATGGCTCACTACACGTTTTGGGAAATTGTAAGTGTGGTAAGTAATTTTTAAATAAATAAATAAATTAACTACAATTTTTTTAATTCCAGGATGGGGCTACAGATACCAGCAATGCCTAATATTATTCCTATCTCTTACCGTAGCGTACAGCATGCGATCTTGTATGGGAGTGTCTTTAGTAGCAATGATCCAACATGACATTGAGCAAGACAACGGAAATCATACAAACGTAGCAGTAATTAGTAATAATAATAATAATACAGAAGAATATCCTCATTTGTATGTTAACGAAGATAATTATAAAGCAGGAGGTTTCTTTAATGTACTAATGCTTACACCGCCGGTAAGTGTTTATTTATTTTATAAAATTAACTTTATTGACCAAAATAAAATATGGTACAACGCTAGTGGCATTCTCTGCCAGTCAACCTTTGAAATGATCAGTGAATTGTGAACGCGGTACTTCATTATTGGGATAGGTAACGTATAGGATAATAAATTTTATTTTGTAACATGATCTGCCTAAGGAACACTCTCTTTTTTCATTTTAGAGTTCACTCTTGTCGGTGCAACTAATTCATGCATCTACTTCTATCCCAGGGCATATCCTTAACCTCCCTATACAACATGACACCTAATCTTTCCTTTATCCGTCCCATATAGTTATTCCTCGGTCATCCCCTTCCTCTTTTGCCCTCTATTTTTTTTCTACTATGCTCTTTAAAAAATCATCATGTCATATAAGATGGCCTAGCATTTTGCCTCTTCTATTTTCTATTGTTTTAATTAATTAAATTAGAAACACTAAATTACAGCTATATTAGTAATCACTAAGTTAGACGAAGCATCATGACGAAGTAAATGTTAAGACTTAAAACAAATAGCAAAATAAGATCTCAATTTGAATTAAGCATAGTTTTAAATTTGTTGTAGTCTAGAAGGTTAGAATCAAATCCTCAGTTTTCCATTTACAATATAATATAGGGCATATTAAAACACATATCTGCAAACATTTTAAAGGCCGGCAACGCACTAGCAACTCCTATCGTGTTGCAGGTATTTTTAGTCGATGGTAGCCGCTTTTCATCAGGTGGACTGTCTACTCGTTTGATAGATAGATTTGTTTATTTGCCAAAATACTGTTTTTACAGATATTTATTTAGTGTGAAGTACAAATGTTCGTCTTATAATCTAAAGCATGTAAAATCATTATTGGCTAATTAGAAGTTACATTACATCCAATACATACATATAAGTTACTTAACATTACATCAATTATTTATTCGACTAACAATAATAAAATCACAATAGTATGTCAAAAAAACAATTAATAACAATACATTAGATTCAGTTTTCAAAATTATTTCTAACCATAAAATAAAGACTTCGATTATATAGTAAATCTCATTTCATTCTCATGATTATAATTCTAATTATATATATATATATATATATATATATATATATATATATATATATATATATATATATATATATATATATATATATATATATATAATGATGGCATTAACTCAAAGTCTTCATTATTTTTAGACATTCATTTAATTTCATGTTTAATTTTAGATTCAAATTTTCAGACAGTAAATTAACTGATAAGACTTCGTATAATGACGGTAATACTCATGATTATCATAACGTTGTCTTAGAATCAGTGAACTAGACTGACGTAAACTGTGATAAAGGTATTTTATGATTGTATGATGACGTAGGTCTCGTTTATCTATATACAAAGATTTGTCTTAAATTATTGATTTATAAATCAATTGATAAATTTATCAATCGATTATAACGAATGCTACTCGTATTTATACGGATTGGTCTATTCAATAATTGATTTTCATGTTTTTAATAATTTACTAATTGTGATATATCTAATCGAATTTCCATAATTTCAAAACTCAACTTTGTATTAAAAAGATTTCTTTTTTTTAATTTTTTTTTTATACATCTTAGAATGGCAAACAAGCTGACAGCCTACCTGATGGAAAGTGGTAACCGTCGCCTATAGACATGAGCAGTACCATGGACATAACAGAGTATACTGTTTCACCCATGATACCCCCATTCGTTGTCATTCCTGAGGAATCAGATGTTATTCCTCTGTACCCTGTAAATTCACGCCATATGCCACACTTCAAACCGAAACTCAACCATGCAAACACAATTGCTTCCTGGTAGAAACACGAATAGGACAGAGTTACCCAAGCAATCGACTTTTGTACGTCTCCCTCTGAGATAACGATACAATTGTATAAGTATAGTAAGGCGGTCTTATTGCTGAGTCCTCAGGAATGACAACGCATGGGGGTATCATGGGCGAAACAGTATACTCTGTTATGTCCATGGTGCTGCTCATATCTATAGGCAACGGTTACCACTTACCGTCAGGTGGGCCGTCAGCTTGTTTGTCATTCTAAGTTATATAAAAAAAAATATTAACATCTATATCTTTCTTTCACAGTATCCAAAGTTGAAATGGAACAAAAGGATTCAAGATACGGTGCTCACGTCCTTTTTCTGGGGTTACATGCTACTGCAAATACCAGCCGGGCAGATCGCTCACCGCTTTGGCTCCACGTATTTACTCTGTAGTGCGCTCTCTATTAACTGCGTTGTATCACTGTGCTTTCCTCTGGCAGTGTTTTATGTAAGAACATCCTTTTCAATACAGATTCTTGGGTGTTTTAAAATCTATATATATATTTATTTATTTATTAAAAGATCCGGGATTTCATGCCAGCGATCAGGATATGATTTTTAATCTAAATAGAATGTAGTATCCATCCCAAATTGTGCATGATACTAAATTTCATGACGATTGGTTTAGCTGTTGAAGCTGTCAAAACAAACATACTTTTACATTTTACAATAATAGATAGATAGATAAATAAATAATTTATTTGCTTTACTACTACAGTAAACACACAACAATTTGTTGTTACTAATTAAAACAAAAAAATGTTACTAATTTTATGCATTTTGTTCTTGTTTTTTTAAAATATTTTGTACATGTATCTTTTTCTCAATCAGTGTGCTGTAAGTAAAGCAAATAAATCATCTATCTATCTATCTATCTATCAATAGACATAAATGCACAGTAAAAAAAGATAAACAAAAATAATACACATATACAAAAAATAAAACAATATGAAAACTAAATGCCTAAAATAAGTAACAATTTATTCCCTTCATGCGCGTGCCACAGTAACACAAAATGGTCACAACTCAGCTTACTGCTTTTCCCTAAAAAGAGCATAACACTGATATTCTGTTGTGGCCAAAAGTGAGCCGCGAAATTTCACTGAAAAAAAATAATAAAAAAAAAAGGAAATAAGGAATATAGATAAAGTATATTGTGCGTGTTCATTACATTTACTATTGTTTAATATTTTATTGTAATTAATAAATAAATGATAAATACCATTAGAAGAAGATATAGCTGTTTCACGGCTTCGCCTGCGTAAATTAGTATATAAGGTATCATTTGTATTACATTGAAGTGTAACCTATCCCTTTATTAAATGTTGTTTAAATCCTTTCAATAGATTTTCTATGAACAAGTAATAAACATGCATCTATTTATTCTTAAAGCCTTTCGTATTTATTACAGTAGCAGGAATAAAGATTGTTTTACACATTTGGATTTTTTATTGTAAATTGTGTGTATTTTTTTAAATTACAGGGAGGTTGGAAATTGGCAATAGCTTGCAGAATACTGCAGGGCTTGAGTCAATCTTTCATTGTTCCTTCGATACATACAACTTTAGGAAAATGGGCGCCTCTGGTGGAACGTGGAAGAATGACGGCCACGGTCTATGGAGGCAAGTTTATATAAATTTAATCTCACAATTTATTAGTTTATATAATTAAAACAAAAGTGTATGTTTTTCTCACTGTGTTGTTATCAAAATTTTCTTATTCTCTTCATATTTCTTATTCTATTTACCAGAGGGAGACTTTGTACAAAAGTCGTTTGCTTGGGTACCTCTGTCCCATTCGTGTTTCAACCGTAAAGCAGTTGTGTTTGCATGGCTGTGTTTCGAATGGTTGAAGGTTGGGTCGAAGGGTGGGATATGGCGTGAATTTACAGGGTACAGAGGACATAACAGAGTATACTGTTTCGCCCATGATACCCCCATTCGTTGTCATTCCTGAGGAATCAGATGTTATTCCTCTGTACCCTGTAAATTCACGCCATATGCCACACTTCAAACCGAAACTCAACCATGCAAACACAATTGCTTCCTGGTAGAAACACGAATAGGACAGAGTTACCCAAGCAATCGACTTTTGTACGTCTCCCTCTGGGATAACGATACAATTGTATAAGTACAGTAAGGCGGTCTTATTGCTGAGCCCTCAGGAATGGCAACGCATGGGGGTATCATAGGCGAAATAGTTATTATTCGTGGTACGGCTCATGTCTATAGGCGACGGTTACCACTTTCCATCAGGTGGACCGTCAGTTTGTTTGCCATTCTAAATTGTATAAAAAAACCCACGGGAAAGGAAGAGGTGACCTATTCTATGCCGGGACCACACAGCCATATGGTTATAAGTTGCTTAGTTTTATAAATTAAATTTTAAATGAATATTTTTTAGCTCAAGCTCTGGGAACGGTTCTTGGACTTCCAATTACTGGTTTTATCGCAGCATCGAGTATGGGTTGGCCTGGAATATTCCGTTTCTACGGAGTACTTTCTGGAATAATGGCGGGAATTATGTTATGGTTTGGTGCGGACAGTCCAGCGAAACATTCTAAGATATCGGAGGCTGAAAGATTGTATATACAAGCCGACTTGGGACAAAAGGAGTATAATTCTAATGTAAATATTCAATAAGTGTATTTGTTACTTGAATATTTTATTTAAATAAATACGATTTATTTTAACAATGCACAAAATTCGAAGTCTCTTAACTCGAATGTATTTCTTTTGTATGACATTACATATTTTTTTTTATATTGAAATTCAAATGGTTCTTTTTTAACATGTTTTTTTTTGGTGGATGAAAATGGAATGGTAACTCCGCCTACGCTAACGGGATACGTTGGCGGAGCACCAGTGAAGGGTGATCGATGAGAATGAAAATAGGCCAGTTAGCCCATCATGATGAATTCATCAGGAATTAACCATGATAGTTTCCAGGGGGAACCACGAGGAGGTCAACCTGGTTGGGTATATTGCTAGCAATGAGATTTTTAGTCTCCATTACTAACAATCACTTTCCCCCCCCCTTTTTGACAAGTTGAAACTTATTTTAATAAAATTGCAGTTGACTTTTATGAAAACGATTATTAAATACGTGGAGATAAATGATTAGTTTATATCTCCAACATATGTTTATACATAACAACAAAATTGAAAAAAAAAACTTGCTTAAAAAAGAACGTCAATTAGTATAAAAACTGAAATCATTTCTCCATCACTGTAATACAAAGGAAGTAGTTACGGACACTCGTAATAATACTAGATTATTATTTAATGCAGTTTTTTCAGTTTAATAATAAAATAAATATAATTCTTAAAGCAAATGCTGTACAATTGTCATTAATTTCAGAAACGTTTACATGTGCCATGGAAACACATACTGCGTTGCCGAGGATTGTATGCTGTCATAATTGTACATATTGGGCAAGTTTGGGGCCAACTAATTTTATATTCTGAAGTGCCTATGTTCATGGATAAAGTTATGGGAATTAATATAAAAGCTGTGAGTATTTATAAATATATAATACTCGAAATGGTAATAAAGATAATTGTGTAAAATTAATATTTGAATATGCATTAAATGACAAAATTGGTCTTTTATGAAACTTAAAATGGCAAATAATCAGACGGTCCACCTTGTGGAAAGTGGTAACCGTCGCCTATAGATATAGAGCAGTACCATGGACATAACAGCGTATACTGTTTCGCCCATGATATTCCCCATGCGTTGTCATTCTTGAGGACTCAGATGTTATTCCTCTGAACTCTGTAAATTTACGCCATATCCCACCCTTCAAACCGAAACACAGCTATGCAAACACATGCTTTACGGTTGAAACACGACTGGGACAGAGGTATCCAAGCAAACGACTTTTGTACAAAGTCTCTCTGGTTATATTATCATAATACCTTTGTTTGTGGAAGAGTGCAAGTATTTTACTAATAATATCAATATGATCAATTGCAAATGTCAACTTTATGTGATTGACAATAGAATTGAATATTGTGATTATAGATTCAAATCGATTGTTTTGTTGTTTTTGTTGATTTGTCTAATAATCAAGACATAGCATATTTGCATATTATAGTGAAGCATATTTTCTGCCATTTATTTATCATCTTACAGTTTTTATAGTTATCTGAATGTTTGCTAAAATTATTTTTGAAAATATAAAACTTTAGTACAATCTTATATGCCTTCAAGGAGTTTCTTCATTATTTTAAATACGTTATCGGAACTTAAAGCGACGCGATTGCAGGTAAATAGTTATATATAAAACCTATTTTTTATTACCACGTTTTGCTGCCAGAAGGCTCCGTTCACTTCAGACCTGCTATCACTACAACAACCCGTGTCTAAACGTGGCCATAAGAATTACAATATGAAATACAATGGCGTCGTATTACGTCCCAATGGTGAATTTAAAATATGTGTAAACAATGCGATAGTTTGAAATTTACTATTTCTTCTTTATTATTCACTTTTACTTATCTATATTTATTTATTTATAAATTACTCACTACACTTACAGTATCCCAAAACGTGTAGTGAGCCATAGGTTTATTTTACAAACTTAAAAATTTTAAACTACATTTTAAAAATATATCTATTTTGTCAATAAATATATTTATATCTGGATGCTGAGCAATCAGAGAATTGAGCAGAGAAATAGCTTGATAAGTGGGAGTAAACTGAGCAGTACAGGTGCGAACCGGCGGTGCTGATAGTAGTCGGCAAGCACGCAATCGCATGCAGCATTGGGGTGCATACAAAGAACAACGGTTGAGAGTTGCAGGATTGTCTATTCCGCTATTAGATATATAACAAATGCTCCTCATTTAGCATCACCATGATTATTCCTTTTAATTTCCAGAATGGCTTATTGACAGCTCTCCCGTTCCTCGTGATGTGGTTTACGAACTTCTTCTTCAGCTGGTTCAGTGATATGCTCATTGTAAAGCAATATCTGAGTGTTACTAATACTAGAAAACTTGCCAACTCTCTGGGTAAGTTTTTCCAAATTTTGTTTATTAACTGACTTCAAAGAGCAAAGGCGATACTCAAATCGATTGTATTTTTTTATGTTTGTTACTTCAGATCTCCGTCGTTTATAAATCGATTTGGAACTTCTTTTTATTTAAAAGGATATACTTTTAGATTGACCCTAAGAAATTTCTTCAAAATTGTTTCAGGGGTAGGTTTTTAAATTAAAAAAAAAAGGTCACGATTGAAGTTGGTGTTATTTTTTTGTGGTGTAAATTTTACTAGTTCATTTGTAAAGTTAACTTTATTAATCACTTATAGTACATGTTTCATAACCGGGTTCAATGCTGACTTACATCCTTTCCTAGCAAACTTCTTCTATTTCATAATATTCTCTTTTTCGAAATCGTGTAAAAAGTAAAGATTGCTGTCTCTTCTTTCTGAAGATCTCATCTATTCAGTATTTTTAATGTCATAATGTCTGTTAAAGATAAATACTCGTATTTGCATACAATGTACAAAACTGAGTCTCTTGTCTGATGGCCTAATCAGAATATCATTAATATTACTGTTATAACTAACTCATCTGTCTAACCGAAACATAGCATGTAACCTTAGATAAATAACTGCATATATCCGTCTACTCCCATCATATGACTTCATACAACTAACATTGTTTTGATAAATATCATTTTATGTTACTTTTTATTAACTGCTTATTTATGTTACAGGTTGCGTTCCCGCTGCTTTAGGCTTAATAGCATTAGCTTACGTGCCGAAAAATCTTTATGCGGTCGAAACGATTTTAGTTTTCATTTGTGCATTCAAAATATCAGCTCATGTTGGTTTTCAAGTAAGTATAATGATCTTAATAATCGGAAATAGATAGGAGCGTTCCTTTTGATACATCTCCAAAAGTCTAACTGCGATTGTCCGCCCTTTGCCGGTTCCCTTGTGAACAATATCTATGTTCAACAGTATACAGTTAATTGCTAATATGACGATGATCATCATCATCATCATATCAGCTTTTTTTAACTGTCCATTTGGGATTGCCAGTAGTTGCTACGCTTGGCAGGCAGATTTGCAATTGTATGAGTAGTTAGGCTTTGGAGATGTTTTAAGAGGGTCGCTGCTGCCCATCTCTCGCCGTCCCTTCTCTCGGTCTCGGCTCTTACGACACCCACGGGAAAGGAGAGATGGTTTATTCTATCCCGGACTTCACGGCCAAATGATGATGATGACCAAATAACCACTATTAGGTTCCTAATAAACGTATTGCGGGCTGGTATCGAATTTCAAAGATGCACGTTAAGAGAGACGAGGACTGACCTTTAGCTGTGACGTAGTAAGCTGCATCCACCAGTAGGTATCTCTGTGTCTCTGCTCGCGCAATCTTTGCGTCCAGGGCCTTGCAGCGCTTCTTCTTGGCCAAAGATCGGTCCGCCAAAGGTCGTCCGTCTTGAGATCAGCGGACGTGGACTGTATCAGCGGTGTATCATGGTCCATCCAGCATGGATAGATGATAGAAAAACGGAAGACGCTCAGCTACGATGAAGCGGCGTCTCACATGCAGTCAAAGAAGAGCAGTTTCCATCCAACGTGGGCAGATATCAGCGGGTACATGATACAACCATCCGCCATTGTAGCGTCATAGGCAGTTTTGGTGACACTCGTGTATGCAGCGATAGAATAATGAGAGCGAGGCGAATATAATATAAGAGTAGGGTAGATTATTTATAAATCGAAGACGTCAACATGTAACATGGCGTTAATTTAGTCAAATGCAACTTTGCGTTTATTATTAGTTACAGAAATTATTATTTACTCAATAAATTATTAGATAAGCCATATTGTACCATAAAACATAAAAATACTTGTGTTTTTTTTAATTCAATCATTTTAGGTGAATCCAATTGATATATCACCAAACTTTGGAGGCACCATGATGAGCATTAGTAACTTCGGTGCCAACTTGGTTGGATCACTAGCGCCGATTGCAACTGGATTGATACTTACCGATATTGTAAGTAATTTCTTGTATTTTCCTCCAATCACTACCTTATTCTCTACCCAAGTGTTGTCTGGAAGAAATTGCTTAGCGATAAGACCGCCATTTGTATAATTTCTCATTACAGTTAAATGTGTTTACTATTCTATAAATGGTGCAACAATTTCGCACATTTTTCCCTTATTCCTCTCATTTACCAATTTCCTTTCCGCATTTCCGACGTTCCTTTCCTTTTTTCCTCAATCTTTTCCTCCATACCGTTGGTGGCGGAAACCACCAATAAATGCATTCCCAAAGAGGTTGACGTCAGGCAGTAAAACTAAAAACCAAATCTTTTTGTAATATGGATAAAATCATATTACGCCGACCCCAAATGATTGGGTTATCCCAATAGAAAGATGATGATATATATATTATATAACTTTTACTTAGTTATTTTAAAGTTTATACAAATATATAACTGAATCCCAATTAAATGTCTCAACGGATTTGGATAAAATGTGGATATTTCATGTACAACTTTATACAGTCAAAGCAGACACAGCTATTTTTAAAATAAATAATGAAACAGCGACAAACAATAAAGAATAGTTTAAATTAGAAATATTTTTTTTATTATAGTAAACATAATTTATAACAAGTCATCAAAAAACGACGCAGTTTCTTCTGTTACGTCCTTGATACTGTTCATGTCTATAGGCGACGGTTAGCACTTTCTATTGGGTAGGTTGCAACCTTATATGCCATTTTAAATTACATAAAAAACGATGACATGTTTAGGATAGTAATAAATTTTAAATTTAAAGTCGATTAAAAAAGTAAACATTTATTTCAGAGAAGCGAACAGTCGTGGGGACATGTGTTTTTGGTGACTAGCGCAATTTACTTCTTCACTAACCTGATCTACGTTCTAGTCGGCACAGCTGAACTGGCCGACTGGAATACTCCTGGAAGCGACGAGGAGAAAAAAGTGGACGATCAAGAGGCTTCGCCGATGATTTCAAAAGTAAAAAATAATATTAATAATACATGACAAAATGTAGACAATAAAATTTGTAAACTACGAGAATGAGTTAAATATAAATTTAGTTAATTTTTTACAGAATTATATAAAAATAATCTATTACATTAACGTAATCTAATTAATACTATTAATGTAAATGTTTCTTGGATTGATAGATGAATGTTTGTTACTCTTTTACGCAAAAACTATTGCATAGGTTTGAATGAAATTTTGGTACACGAATAGGTTATATTCTAGTTTAGCACATGATGTTATGTACTGATTCACGTGGGTAATACCGCGGGGTATAGCTAGTAATTTGTAGATTAATAATTCAATAAGGCATTAAACTTAGTTTATTAAAACTATTAAATTATCTAATATTAATAAATTAATAAGTATATTATATTAAAGTAATAAAATAATAAAATGGTTTATATTAGTTTCTTTTTAGTTTTTTATTATTTTATTATATGAGTTTTTTTTTTAATACAATGAATCATTTTTCAATACTTCATATAACTGTAATATGTTTGTATGCTTTTTCAAGTACATATTAAGGTATCACGTAAATATACGTAGACATTTGTATACAGATTCATTACAAACGAATAAATAGGTAACAAAATAATAAAATAGTTTTCAAATCCGGAGCAGTAGTACTGGAGATTAATCCTAACATTCAAACTCATAAACTTTACCTCTTTATAACATTAGTATAGTATTATTAAGATAAGAAGTATAAACTCGTAAGGTTTTTCATCTTTCCACATTCAAGAGTCGTCAGTATTATTGTCGTGTACGAATCAAAAGTAGTATTTAAATTTATGTCTCAGTTAGTATAAACACATAACTAATACATAACTTTGGTATGTAACCATAAGAAGTTCTGTAATGACAGATCTTACTTTTTTATATTATCCAATGAATGTTTAAAAGTTTTCAAAAATAAAAAGGATACAAAGAAAAAAACATATTCCTTTTTAAAAGGCCGGCAGCACACCTGCACTGCCATTGGTGTTGTGGGTGATCAAGGGCGGCGGTAGTCACTTACCATCAGGTGAGCCGCATGTTCGTTTGCCCCCTGTGTTATAAAAAAAAAGGAATAATACATATTTACTTATCCCAGGCACAGATATTAATACTGCACTAGCTTCAGGTATACGAAATATATTTTTGTAATTTATCTTTATAAGACTTTTCCAGAATCGTAATAGTGCAAGGTTAGCTGTAAAATAAATAAATAAATAAATACCGAAATTGTTAAATTTCAAGACCAACATTAATAAACTGTAAACTGCAAAAATATGTTTTATTTAAATCCATAAATAGAAATGCCTCTGCTTGGGTACATCTGTCCCACTGGAGTTTCTGAATCAGCTACACTTACACGACTATATTTCGATTTGAAGTTTGAGGTACAGCAATGAAACTACGGGATAGTTTCCATAAGGTGGTCTGATAGCTTGTTTTTTAATACAACTCAGAATTACAAACAATCTGACGGCCTACCTGACGGAAAGTGGTAATCGTCGCCTATAGACATGAGCAGTACCATTGACATGACAGATAATACTGTTTCGTCCATGATACCTCCCATGCGTTGCTATTCCTGAGGAATTTCACTGTCACATCGCACCCTTTAAACCGAAACACAGCCATGCAAACACAACTACTTCACGGTAGAAACACGAATGGGACAGAGATGGTCAAGCAAACGACTTTTGTATAGTCTCCCTCTGGTATATATATTATTTAGATTATATATAGAAAGAGATCTTTCCAACCAATGTAAACAACCTTAACAATTTAACCTACTTCTATGAAATTTGATTTACACCTAATATATGGGAAGGAGAAGGCATAGACTAATTTTTATCTCCATCAGTGAACATCTTTCGATGAAGTGGACGAAGTCGCGAATCAAAAACCAATGATTAATAAAATTTTCAATAAAAGGACAATCGAAAAAGTTGTTAATGATGATCCATATTGCAGTAGGTACTACCCTGTCGTAATAAAATTATAAATGTGAGAGTTTGGATACTTAGAAGTTTGTTACTCAATCGGGCTCAAACGACTGTATTAATTCGAATTTAATACTCATAATTGACCATTTCATAAATTAACAGCTATGAGAAAGTTTATAATGATATTTGTTAGGTTCTTAGTAATTCGGGAAAAGAGATAATTTTAAAAGCAATTGGATATGTAGATGAAGCGAAAGAAGAAAAATTTGGCGTTCCATCGTTTCTGCTTATCGTAATAGAAGATAGGCGTGATAGATGTGTATATATGTATCTATGGAATTGGGTACATAGACAATACTCTATATATTTTCATTTATACAACAAAAGCCATGGAAAATAAACACTATACAGTATTTGCGTTAAATTAAAATAGAAGAAATAGGATTTTCTCTCATAGAATTTATTATAGCATTTTTGAATAAGAATAATAAAGAATAAGATTCGTGTTGAAAAGCTAACTAGAAGAAAGACCATGAATAGACGAATGGACCGGGATTTCTAATGTTTTGCAGTTGTATTGAGTAGCAAGCTGAGAAAAAAAAAACATTTCATGTAACCGACGGCCAACCTCTAGTAATGCGAAGTGACCTGAACACGAAAAAGAATCCAATAAAGCATCCGGTGATTTGAAGAATAAAGCAAAATACATCAAAGCATATTCACTCACTCGCTCTCTTACAAGGAACGACCAAGATAATGTGATAATTGAAGGGTATTGATACAAACAGAACCAAGCACAGCAAAGAAACTTGATGATAATGAACTCTATTGTAAAGTACGAATGCTCAATTTTGGTTGAACAGTGAAACTGCTAGACGTATCCATAAGAATAATTATAGCCCCTATTCTTAGGGCGTAGTCTTCAATTACTTGCATAGTCGAGGGAGTATAAACACCATGAATCGTCAATAGAACCATGAGTAAGTTATTATGTCGCTTATGATACTTTTTTTTTTATGGAAAGAAAATGCAATTAGTAACCGTACCTGCACTATCGGTATACGTTGAAGAGTTACCAGTGAACGATGATGAAGACGAAATTAGGTCAGTGTGCTCATCATGGTGAATTCACCAGCATTTAATCGTGATGGTTTCCGACACTAGTTACAAATATATACTTGTTGTTCCTAAGTGCTATTTAGAAAAGGTTACTAGGTCTTTTATAGGAATGGGCATTAAATGTTATAATAAGATATCGAAGAATATTTTGGATCTACCGTTTGATAAGTTTAAAACTGTCATTAAAAAAACACTTATTGAACAAAGCCTCTTATACACTAAACAATTGAATGATAAATGTGCATGGTGTTAGTCGATTGTGCACGGGCTTTTAACGACCATGTAATTTTAGACTTTATACATTTAAATAAATACACATAATGTTAACAGAGATTTAAAAGAGTAACTGTAGAATTTCTCGCGGGCTCTTCTCAACAGATAACAACATACCAAACCTTGCAGTAAATTTTAAATAAAAATTACTATTTAAAAGTGCTTGTAAAGAAGTCTATTTGAGTAAAGACAATTTGAATTTGATGGGTGACCGCATGAAGGTCGACCCGATAGGGTAAGTAAAGTAGTAGTTTCCATTACTAAAAATCCTTCCACCTTCTATAAGTCCTTATACATCGCCGATTCCAAGAGCATTCTTAGCCTTAGAAACGCAAAAAATCATTGCAGCGCACCTCAATTGTTTATTTAAAGATCAAGCAACATAAAATACCGGAAATTTATAATATTATACTAACATTGACTCAATATTATTTATTAGGTGTCATAAAATGATAATTATACGTATTATTTTACTTTCACAGTTAGTTAATCATTTGACTCCATGTTACACGTACGCGATAAGCGTGTTCCTTGTAAAACACAATGGTAGAAAAATCCGAAAACTTGAAACAAAATGCTAACCACTACAATGATATTGGTGGCACAGAAGGTAAGATTTTTATATTATTTCTTGCACAATTAAGAAATGTACTATTAAAAAAATCCATCAAAAATCTCTTCCAAGTAGGCATTCTTGTGAGATATTGATATAATCAAAATCGTTTAATGAATTTCTTTGATCTGACACTTGTTTTGTAAGATATTTTTAGTTTCTGATTAATGTTATTGGAATCGCGCTTTGAAAATGAACAATTATTATTTCTCAGAACAAAATTGAGATATAACTTGAACCAATATTTGAATAGTTATTACCCAATTATCTAAACTATTTGTGATGGCCTTATTTCAGTGTACCAATAATGTATCATTTGAGCTCAATTTAATAAATTTTATATAAGACAATAGCAATGAAATAGAGAAATATAAAAAATAGACACTTTTATAATTTTTTATAGAGTAATATAATACATAATGCTTTTTTGCAGTTTCCGGATGGGGCCAAAGACACCAGCAATGTATTCTATTATTTCTGTGTCTAACAATAGCTTACAGTATGAGATCTTGCATGGGAGTGTCCCTAGTTGCTATGGTGAAACATGATATCAGTTTGGTGGAACACAACAATACAAATCATACAGAAAGTGTCATCCCTCACAATGAAACTATAACTGACAATAATGGAACAGAAATATCACATGCGAATACAACAAACAAAGACTCCAGTTTATATATCAGTGAGACTGAATACAAAGCAGCTGGCTTCTTCAATGCATTAATGTTGACACCTCCTGTAAGTATATCTATCCTAAGTTTCGTAAAGTGAAACTGTTTCATATTTAGATCAGTCTCATAAAACATATAATTAAGATAATGTTTCATTGTTAAATTTAAGATGCTTCCTACTTGTAAAACTAAGTTCGTTAAAGGACGACAAAAAGCAAAATATTTTAAATACACACTCGAGAGTTATGAAAAAACCTTTTTAGGCAAATAGTACCAATATACCTGCTTCTTTATGGCTGATCTTTCAAATTAATTAAAGAACAAAATATATCATGTGCACACCATACTATATTAACCGTTAATTATCCACTGCTAAATATAGGTCTCCCTGTATTTGAGGGTTTGCTTTTTTGTGGTTTATTTTGCTAGTAGTTGCCACGCTTGGCAACCGCAGTTAGGCTTTGAAGATATTTTAAGAAAAATGTTATTACCCATCCTTTTATACTTAAGTTTTCTTAGTAGTCTCTTACGACATCCACGGGAAGGAAGGGGTAGCCTATTCTATGCCAAGATCACAAGGCATTAAAATCGTTGCAGATTTGATACACGAAACACTGTCCTTGATGCTAGAATCTACTTCATGACTTGTTTTTATACTGCAATAGTATATTGAAATAAAAGCACTGTGTTGGAAGTCAGCGCAGCGAACGGGCGAACTTTTTTAATAAAGCTTTGCGTTAAAGAACGTTGCGTTACAAGATACTCTATGCACTCTTTGTTTCATATATTACTTCCAAAGTTAAGTCGAAATCATTTGCATATTTTAGAAGGAGTATTCCATGAGTAAAATTTAACATTTTCACCAGAGAAATATAAGCCTCTCATACTAAAACAGTGCGTTCAGCTGATTAAATATTATGGGAGAAATGTAAAGAAATTTGATTTGAAATATAAAATTTTTATTGTATTGTTTTCTATATCATGGACATAGTCTTAGTATTACGTATCATTAACGGTTTCAAATTTCACCACATGCAATTCAAAATCAGGGTGCCTACACTTATATTGATCACTTTATGAATTCACTTCCCTTTATATCATCATGAAAGATTTTTTTATTATCTCTTGAGTAGGAAAAGAACCAAATATCTAGTTATCTAGTTTATTGTTTTGTGGTAGTGCGTATGATTTGGATTGTTTTCATACAGAATTTTTAATATGACGTTGTTATCATTAAACGTTATTTATATTTTCTTCATCTTCTTCATTTACAACAATATAAAAATCATCATCATCATCACCATACCAGTTGTTAACAATCCACTGCTGTACATAGACTCCTTGGCGAAGGAGTGTTACCTGTAGTTGTTACGATTGGCAGGCGGGTTGGCAACAACAATTACGTTTAAGTTTATACTTTGAAAGGGACGCTGCTGCTCATCTCTCGATCATTAAATTCTCTTACGACACCCACGGGAAAGGAAGGGATGGCTTCTATGCTTAGACAAAATACAAATAATTTCTCGTAATGAAATCGCGCAGTTAAAAAATCCCACAATGCGACACATTTATTTATTTTATAAATATTTGAATATTATTATGTGTGTTATCGACAATAAATCAGTACAACAACAAATATTAAATTGAATAACATTTGACGTAGCGAGGCGTGTTAATTATTATACAACAAACCTTGAAACATTAGCTTTGTATTACGTTATCTGGATGACGTATCTGATTGAGATTTTGAAGAAATTGAAATTATCTTGATTGTAGTAATGACATTTAATGCGTTGTTAAACTAAAGCTACCGTTTTAATAGCATAGCGTAATATAACTTGATTGTGATTGACGTGAGTTTATTATAATTATGTATTATAATTATTCTACTTACGAAGTTTTTCACAGCTTCACACTGATTTTCTAATTTGATTACCATATTAAGATATTTATTCATTGTTATCAGCCGTTAACTGTCTAGAGCTAAACATAGGCCTTCTTCATAAGGGTGGGTTTATTGGTAGTTGCCACGCATGGCAACTGCAGTTAGACTTCGGGGATGTTTTAAGAGGGACGCTGCTGCCCATCCCTCGACCATTAAATTTGCTTAGTCGCCTCATCAACACCCACAGGAAGGAAAAGAGTGCCCATTTCAATGCCGGGACCATACAGCTTTTTATATGCAACATAGAATGGCAGACAAGCTGAGGGCCCACCTGATGGAAATTGGTAACCGACGCTTATAGACATGAACAGTATCATGGACATAACAATTATATTGTTTTGCCCACGGAGGTTTTGCCCAACCTCCATTCGTTGCCATTCCTGAGGACTAAGATGTTATGTCTCTATAAATTAGTAAATACAATGCCGTATCCTATCTTTCAAACCATGCAACACAGCCATGCAAATACAACTGCTTCACGGTAGAAACACGAATGAGACAGAGGTGCCCAAGCAAATAACTTTTGTACAAAATCTCCTTCTGATACACATATTATAAAAGAAAGCTGTTGAAATAAACTTAGAGAATTTTATTATTAGACTAGAAAAATAAATTGTTTTCAAAATATTTTTTCTTCATTTTTATGACTTACGTTAATTTTTTTAGCGCTGTCTATATACCATACTATATTTGTTGATTCCGATAATTGTGTAGACAGAATTCACGATCAGAGTTAGGATTACATTATATCTTGGCGTGACGTCCCCAGAACTGTTTTTACTATATTTTTCAAAGAAAAGAGATGAAATGTTTTATATGTATAATATGATTAGTTTACAGGAGTTTCTGCTTATTATGTTTGAATTTCTGGCAATATCGCCATTAGTAAATTGTTTATGATGGAATCCAATGGAATGACAATGCATGAGGAGTATCATGGGCGAAACGGTATACCTTGTTATATCCCTGCTACTGCTCATGTTTATAGGTGACAGTTACCACTTTCCATCGTATGGACACTCAGTTTGTTTGCCATTCTAAATTACATATAAAAATTACATCAATTTCTCTCAGTTTAAAGGACTTGTACTATTTCATAGATTTTAAAAGTCAATTTGTTGCCGGTAGTGTATTGTTGAACATAATCTACCTCTTACTATGTCACAATAATAATTTAATTCTGTAATCTTATTTTTTCGAACAGTACCCAAGATTTGGATGGAGCAAGCAAGTACAAGACAGCGTGATAGCATCATTTTTCTGGGGCTACGTAGTGCTGCAGATACCAGCTGGACAACTCGCTCACCGTTTCGGGTCCACTGCCCTGCTCTCTATTGCTTTACTTATCAATTGCATTGCATCATTGGGTTTCCCTTTGGCTGCTCATTATGTAAATATATTTTTAGATCTTACCAGCACTGATCACTGCTTGGTTATTGCTAAATTTATTTTTTACTAATTCTTTGTTGTTAATTTAATTCTTGGCTTTTATGAGTATTTAGATGTAGTACTGTACCTATGTTTTAACCGATACAAAATTCTAATGGCATTGGTTTGAAGCGATATATGAGTGAAATTAGTTATTGAAAAGTCAACAAGAAATGCAGCATATGAATTTAATAAATACACCATATATTTTGCAATGTTTTGTTTCTCTTCATGTCTACAGGTGACGTTTGCCACTTGTGTACCTTTGAACTTATTTATTTCAGTCATTAAAAACAAAAGCAATTATTTATTTCTAAACAACTTTTTAACTTCATTAATAAACATTTGTCTTTATATTTGCTCAAAAATGGCATTTTTATATATTTTTTTCACTTATTATTCTAAGATTTACCTACTATTCTAAATAACTAAATTTTTTTTTTGTATTTTATAAAGCTATTATATGTTGCAAAAATTACCAGTAATATAATGTTGATCGTTTATTAATTTCTGTTTGCAGGGTGGTTGGGTGTTGACGGTAATATTTCGCATAATTCAGGGCTTAAGTCAGGCTTGTGTAATACCGAGTCTGCATACGGCTCTTGGGAAATGGGCACCGCTTGCAGAGAGAGCAAGAATGTCGGCGTTCGTTCATGGAGGTATGTGTTTAATGGATACATCATTATATAGTTGAATGAAGTGTGGGAAGGGAAATTAGTAAGACCGTGTAACAATAAATACAGACACTAAACATGATCTAAGCTGATTATATTGATCAGAGTAGGGTATTCAAATAATACTCAACAACTAATTTGGAGTAATGTGTTCTTAAAGTCGATATGAAATAAACTACGGCAGTGTTTCCCAACCTTTTTTGCATGAAAATTTTTCGAAAAGTTTATTTGACGTAATCGCCAAGTTGATAATTTGGTAATGTCAAACGAAATTACACCTAATAAGTATTTACAGCATTTACTTTAATTTATTTTTTTTTTGTTAAATTTGGCTCCGATATCTACTCGTAGTATTGCATTTAAATGACGCGGAGCAAAAGGGTTAAAATCGCTTCGAGTCCATTTTTCAATTGCCCCCCCCCCCCCTCTTAACTATCAAATTGTCCCCTGAACTACGGCATGAAATCGAAATCGTTGACCGTACGTTAAATTAAGAACATAATTATTAAGACAGACATTATTGTCAGACAGTGTCAGACAACATTAATGAAATTAGAACTAAAAAACTACATTAAATTTTGATTCTCCTATATTAACTTTATGTTAGTTAGAAGCTTAAAATTCTACGTCGTTTATCAACCCATATCCCTTTGAGAAAAATATTCAGTTTTGTTGTTGATGATAAAGATTTCGATCTATACTCATATATAACCGTGCACAAAAAGCAAGCTGTGGTTGCCTATAAATGTAATAACAGTTAGATCTAATATACCAGTGTAATGTATTGAAATGTTTCGTTGTATCTTATGTTGATGATCCTATAAATAAATAAATAAAAGATTCGTAATGACTAAAATAAAAAATATTTTACATCCTATAGAGTCAAGTATTATGTCTATGCTAAGTGTTATGATTATACATAAAAATAAGGGCGAAGGATGGGCAGCAATGTCTCTCTTAAAACAGTTCTAAAACCTAACTGCGGTTTCCAATCCTGCCAAGCATGGCAACTACTGGCAAAACCTCCCAAGAGGGAGGCCTATGTTCAGCAGTGGACAAATAAAGGCTGATATGATGATGATGATGAAGTGTCATGATTAGTGAATTGACATATTTCTGTAACAATTACTATATTAATTAATTTATACAATACAAATATTTATAAAATATAATAGAAACATGTGTATTATTTCAGGATCCGCATTAGGAACAGTATTGGGACTTCCCATAACAGGTTTCATCGCAACTTCGCCTTTAGGATGGCCAGGAATATTTCGCTTCTACGGAGTACTCTCAGGGATTATGGGAGTAGCGATATGGTTGTTCGGTGCTGATAATCCAGCAAAACATCCTAAAGTGTCACCCGAAGAAAGGATGTATATAGAACAGGATTTGGGACAACAAGATGCAGACGCAAAGGTGAGAACATGATGTAAAAAATCTTTAGCATGACTAAAAGTTTGGCAGTCAACTGTATAACTTACTTTACGCCAAAATTTCAAATAAAACCGCATTTATTTTTATATTAGCTATCATTATTATATCAGATATTCTATCCACTGTTGAATATAGGCGTTCTCCATAAACTGCTATTGGAAACAGGGCTGTTCCTTTACATGACAGTTTAAAATTAGGCTGAAGTTTGTCAATTGTTACCACGCTTGGCAGGCGGATTGGTAACCGCAGTTCGGCTTTTGGTAATGTTTTAAGAGGGACTCTGCTATCCAGTTTTCGATGATTAAGTTCTCTTAGTCGCCTCTTACGACATCTATGGGAAAGGTAGGTGTAGCTCATTCTATTTCAGGACCACACGCCGTTTATATTAGTAACTAACCAAAATTGTTTTTTCGTATTGTTGTAAATCAGTGGATAATCAAATTTTGCACAATTCGTTTCCGTGTGTTTGAACGTTAGAGATATTTATGTATCAACTTTAGACTTACCTTTTTTTATGCAACTTAGAATGGCAAACAAGCTGACGGCCCACTTGATGGAAAGTGGTAACCGTCGCCTATAGACATGAGCAGTACCATGGACATATTAGAGTACACTGTTTCGCCCATAATACCCCCCATGCGTTGCCACTCCTGAGGACTCAGATGTTAATCCTCTGTCCCCGGTAAATTCACTGCTATATTCTTTAGAGTCAATTGTAAATAAATAAGCATAAAATATTACAAATACTTTCCTGTAATATATTTTAGCAAGGAATATATACCTAAATTATATTCCAGAAAAAAGCATCAGTACCTTGGTCCCGCTTGCTACGCAGTCGTGGTCTATATGCCATTGTCATTGCCCACACTGGATACACTTGGGGCAATCTATTTTTGTATTCTGAAGTACCTTCTTACATGAGTAAAATAATGGGTGTCAACATTAAAGCGGTAAGACGTTTTATTTAGACATCGTAAATTCTAGCTGTTTTAGGTCTAATAATAAAACTTTCAAATTATTTTTCAGAACGGTATGCTGACCGCCCTTCCGTTTTTCGTTATGTGGCTTACGAACTTCTTTTTCAGTTGGTTGGCAGACATGATTATCGTTAAGAAATACTTTAGTGTAACTATTACGAGGAAACTTGCCAACTCATTGGGTAAATATCATTGCTTAAATTAAAATTTACTTAAATTAAAATTGTTAATTGATTCCTCTAATTTTAAATTTACATCATTATTAATTAATTGATTTATTGCCATATTATTAGCACCATTATCATTAGTAATGACAAGTTTTGTTATACAATCGTTGAATGCGATCCGGGGATTTTAAGATCTAATCCCAATTAAAATTTCAATATTTTCCAAACTGGATTATTTTTAATACATCCTTAAAGATCCTTAAAGTCTCTTGTTAGAAGATTATCAAAATTCAGTGACACTTAAAGCCGTCATTGGATAAAGCACAATCGAGACGTTCATATATGATATTGGTAAACTAGTAAACCTTGAGGTCAGATATCACCACTTATATTAGTAAAACCACTACTTATCATTATTTTAATTAAACCAACATATTACTTATGGTTACTATTTTTTCTCCATAAATGAACGATTTTTGCGTATTGTAATTTGATTGGCTGATTATAGTTTATTTAGTTTTATTTCTTTTCTTTTGTACTTTATTTATTTTTTTATACCAATGAATACTAATACAGTAATGTTTCCTTTCAGGGTGTGTACCGGCAGCTTTATTGTTCATTGCATTGGCCTACGCTCCAAATGACATTTATATAGTTGAAACACTACTGGTTTTGATTTGCGCTTTTAATATTGCATCTCATGTTGGTTTTCAGGTGAGTTATAGACAAATAGATACATAGACAGACAGATAGATACTCATTATTGTTTTCTACTTAAGATTACATTACTAAATTAGTATATAAACGATTTATATAATAAAAAAAATATGTATTTAGTAAAATTGCGGTATAATATACATTCTCGGTTATTTATTATCATTATGATATAAACCTTTAACTGTCCACTGCTGGACATAAGCCTCTCCCTTGGGAGGTTTTGCTAGTAGTTGCCATGCTTGGCAGGCATACCGATACGACAACATAACCTTCAAGAAAAGAGCATATTCCTTTTTAAAAGGCCGGCAGCACACCTGCAATGCCGTAGGTGTTGTGGGCGACCTTGGGCGGCGGTAGTCACTTACCATCAGGTGAGCCGCATGCTCGTTTGCCCCCTGTTGTAAAAAAAAAGGCGGATTGGCAACCACAGTTAAGCTTTAGAGATGTTTTTAAGAGGGACGTTGCTGCCCATCCCTTAGTTAGCTAATTTGACAATTAGCTGACAAAAAGTTGACCCGTTTTTGGTACTCGATGCTCTGTCCATATAATCTAAGCATGTACTATTATTTAGGTGAAAGGCGGGACGTCAGTTTGTTTGTCGTTTTATATTGTAAAAGGAACATATTTATAATATTCTGTATGTTATTCCAGGTGAACCATATCGACATCTCTCCCAATTTCGCCGGCATCATGATGAGCATCAGCAATTTCTTCTCAAACCTTGTCGGATCGCTGGCTCCCATCGTCACTGGCCTTATTCTGAAAAGTGACCCGGTATTATTACATTCAATTTTTTATTTAATATTTTATTAATACTATATTATACTCGTATATAGAGCAGGGGTGGTGGACTTGACTAGACCCGAGATCTACTGTTTACTGACGAAACCCTGTGAGATCTACCAATTATATACTTCTTGAAATTTCAAATAAAACGACATAGTTTAGTACAGTATTTTTTATTTTATTAAAAGGGAAAACATAAAAATATAAATTATTCTTAGTAACTACTTATTTATGTCATTGTGAGGATTGCGTCTGAGCATGTTCTTCTAGGTTAGCAAAATATTGTATATATTTTTTTATACAACTAAGAATTGCAAACATGCAACCATTTTCCATCAGGTGGACCATCAGCCACATGATGGAAAGTGGTAACCGTCGCCTATAGACATGAGCAGTACTATGGACATAACAGAGTATACTGTTTCGCCCATGATACCCCCCATGCATTGCCATTCTTGAGGACTCAGGTGTTATTCCTATGTCCCCTGTAAATTCACTGCCATCAATATTATATTGTTTGTCTTGCCACGATCGACTGGACCGGATCGATCGAATCGACTGGACTGGATTCGCGATCGACCGGTTGGCCACCCTTTATGTATAGTGACAATTTATGAGGATGTTGGAATATTTTTAGCTGTTACTACATAAATAGATGAATGGATTTGTTTTGCTGAAAATTTGTTAACACTGAGATACTATGGGAGATATAATTTTGAATTCTTAAAAAAGAAAACAACACATAAGTTCACTTATTACGTACTTTTCTCTCTCTCTTCGTCCTCTCCATTACTGAAGGTCGTCCTTGAAAGGTGTCTGTTGCCTCTCTTATGATGTTATTCCATTTGCACTATCTTCACCTACTTGCAGCTTACATACTTTAATAATATAATTTAATTAATACTTGTATTACTAATTACACAGCTACTTAACACTTTTCAAAATTCAAAACTTTTTAAATAGTTTTTTCTTTGATAACAAACTAATTGCATGTTATTATTAAAAGTTTTATAAGTACACATTATAATGTAATAAGTATCTGTCAGTTAGCGCTCGCAGCACAGCCACTCGTGATTAAGAGTCTCGAATTAGTTCCGAAACTAGTAGAAATTTCTCGATGTAATTACACGTAGATTAAAGTAGTTATTACATTAAAACTACTTGCACAGTAAAACTTTTCACTCGGCATGATTACTTTTTAGTAAACATTTCGAAATACATAATTCACTTCATTGTTTTCTTAAGAATTTTATATCCTATAATTTAACACTTCACTGTACAATAAAGTGTTACACACAAACAAACAAACAGATAAAATAATACTCATGCAAAATATTTTGCAAGAGTATCTTTTTTTTTTATACAACTTAGAATGGCAAACAAGCTGACGGCCCACCTGATGGAAAGTGGTAACCGTCGCCTGTAATCATAAGCAGCACAGACAGAACAGACAGAACAGAGTATACTGTTTCGCCCATGATACCTCCCATGTGTTGCCATTCCTGAGGACTCAGGTATTATTCCTCTGTACCCAGTAAATTCACGCCATATCCCACCCTTCAAACCGAAACACAGCCTTTAAAGGAATATAAAATAGACCACGCTACGCTGTTATGTATATAATAATTACTAATAGTATTTAAATTAAATTTCAGGCCAACAAATATTTGTGGAGACAAGCGTTCTTCGTAGCGAGCGGTCTATACTTTTTCACGAATCTTCTCTACGTTCTATTTGGTACAGCCGAATTGGCTGATTGGAATGATCCTAACGATAGTGAAAAGAATGAGAAAAAAGATGAAGAGAACGCTCCAATGATCCAGAAACCTAATGTTGAAAGAAATGGGAAGTCATAATGGTGATGAATTAGTCAATATGTATTTATTGTTTTTTTTTTCTAGCAAAACAGTGCGTTATGGATACCATCAATAGAATGCTTGATTGTTTGCTTTTAACCTTTAAAATCCATATTAAAATCGTTTATTGTCAATTACTACTTAAGTAAGAATTAAGTGGATAAAATTTTAAGTACAAGAAATTTAAACATGTGACGATTCGAGTTATGGAGATAATTCGCAAATATTTTTTAATTCACCAGAGGGAGACTTTGTACAAAAGTCGATTGCTTGTGCACCTCTGTCCTATTCGTGTTTCAACCGTGAAGCAGTTGTGTTGTGGCAGTGAATTTACAAGGTACAGAGGAATAACACCTAAGTCCTCAGGAATGTATCGTGAGCGAAACAGGATACCCTGCTAAGTTCATGGTACTGCTAATGTCTATAAGTGACGGTTACCACTTTCCATCAGGTGGGCCGTCAGCTTGTTTGCCATTCTAAATTGCATAAAAAACATTTAGTCAAGTTAAGTTTCATTATGGCTGAAAGAATAATGTCGAATACATTTTCAAACTATCTACATTCTCAATATTTGGTAGCTTAATGTATTTTAAATTAATTTAATGTAATGTAATCTGTAACACATTTGAAGAACTTCGCTCTATCATTTAAAATATTTAAAATGATAGAGTGATTTAAAATATTTTAAATTTAAATTACTATGGCACACGTATGAAAGAAAACATTGTTACTTGTTTTATATGGTATATTTTACTTCTTTTTTTTGTAGATACAATCTTTTATCCCTTTTTACTGTGTATGTCTTTTGTTATTTGTGTGCTGTAAGTAATGCAAATAAATTATATATCTGTCTAAATGATAGAGCGAAGTTGTTTAAATGTGTTGCAGAGAGTTAGTGGATGCAGGTATATTATTAACTGGATGATATTATTATGTAGTTAATTGGATAATGAATGGTTAAAATGGCTATGATGAGAAAGATGAAGAATGTTTAGTAGTACTTTTAATTAATTAATAACGCCTAATTTTACATAGAACATTTTAGTATCATATAATTATTATTAATAATATATTATTTATTAAATTACGAGCAATAAAGTGTAAGTTAATAGAGAAAGGTTTATTTTATTTACATATATCTTTTTTTATTTTATATATATATATATATATATATATATATATATATATATATATATATATATATATACATTTTATAAATATATAATACTGACTTAAGCTTATAATTGTACTATTTTGTTTGCTGAATAAATGATTTAAATATTTTTTAAAACGTCGAAAACTACCTTGTGCTGTTTTTAATAACTTTTTAATAATTACTATGCAAGTTAAAAAAGTTTAAACATTATATTCAAACTTCTGAATTAAATTGTAGTTTAATAAAAATAACCATACTTTCATGATAGCTTCCATCATTATGACACCCAGAGATGAGTCTTCGTACCGGACTTCTATCGGATAAATCCTCACGATGTTCCCTCTTTTCATCGTAGTTCTGCGCCATGAGTTCACTTTTACATTTAGCCGCACCACAAACAGAAATATCTTACTTAGGAATCTCCCACTCACTTAGATAGGGGATTAATGAATGAGTATTTTGTACATATAGCTATAATATTTTGTGATACTGCAATAAAGGTACTGAATGTTAATGAGACACGAACAATGCTATTAAGAGACACAATACAGCTACTAATTGGGTTAACTGTGTAAATTAGAAGTGTAACAATGAACTCTGAGCATTGTTTGCTTTTTCAAATATAGATTTGCCATAGAGTAGACAAAATTGAGGGGCTACTGCTTTGAATGTACCATAGCAATACCAATAAATTAGATAAATAATCATCAGCATCGTCATATCAGTCATTATCTGTGTACTGCTGCAGTAAAGAACGGTTCTGGACCACCTGCATCCACTGACTCTTTGCAATGCAATCGAAAAGTGCCAAAAAAGTAAAACAAAAATTGGGATTTTGATACTTGATACTAATCAAAGCATTTAGCTATTGTTATAGTATGATAAATATTAAAAAAAAAAACTGTCTTTTTCAAATTTTTTCATTAAATTTCGAGTATGAGAAATATAGAAAGGATATTTTTGAAAAAGGTGAAGGAAAAGAACAAGAAAAAAGTTTAAAGTTTTTTTTTCAATAGACGAAAATACATAGAAAATTGAACCCTTTAGTATAAATGGTATGCGATGAAAATACCTATTACAATTGCGGCGAACGATGAAACGATGAGGAAAGAGTCAAGTCAATTGATCCATCGTAGGGTATTTAAAATAAATTATATACTAGATATCATGTTATAGACATAGGAAGTCTATTGTAGAAAGTAAATGTAAAAAACAGTTGCTCAGACAAGACAAAATTTACTGCAAAGTTGACTGCGTTACTTGCAAATGTAATAAATATTAAAGGAGATCATTGAATAAGTAGTCTGCTACCGTCAGTACGATTCAGTGATATGATTAGAAGAGTAAATAATCAGCAGGTTTATGTTATTACATGTAAAATACCTGATGAAGATAACGTAATTAATTAACATGTGTTTAAACGTTGTAAAAATAATGAAACAATATTTGTTGAACATTTATTTGATAACATTACTGAAAACGACGTTACGGTAGCTAAAGTTTATTATCCAATTTTTCATACAACTAACAACAATAAAACAATACAGTCAACCTTTTCCTGATACTACGCCTAATATAAACAGCAAACTATTCAACTTGTATTTGGATAATAATTCCTCCTTTATCTTTTTTTTTTATCTTTATTTTTTACTTTTTGTTCTTCTAAATGCAAATAGCTCATGTACTTATAGATACATGGCCTAGTTCACAAATATAAGTAAAGGCAGTAAATTAATTATTTCAAACTAATATTGTTGTTATTTGTACCTATTATTATTGTTAACTATATTTTAAAATAATATTTATCATTTATAGTTTAATTGTAGCTAAGCTTAATTTGTGTATTTTCTGTAATTCCTTAAATTTATATAAGAAATTTATTTATGTCAAGTGACCTTCATAACACAGGATTTTTCTAGCATGGAGGCGAGAGACACTTACTGTGAACCAATATATAAAGTACATGTATCTTGTAATTGCATCTGTATATTTTTGTTGAATAAATTATTATTATTATGATTAAGAAAATCCCACTTAACTTACTATTAATAAGAATGTAAAAGATAGTATTATGTATATGTTCGAATTGCACAATGTACTTGACGACTCTAATTATCGATGATCAATGATTTGTCGATCAATTCGATCGTTTGCGTCTTTTGTCGTGGGGTGTGTTCAAAGGAATTATTTGGATTAATACTAGCTGCTGAATTTCATCACCGCACAACCTGAATCAAGCAAAATTTTTATCCTAACCATTTAGATAAGTGGCTATCTCCCACTGTTATTTCTATAGACACATTCTTCAACGCTCGATGTTATTTCTATAGACACATTCTTCAACGCATAACTAAACTATGAAACCAACTCCCAGTAGCAGAATTCCCAAACAGATATAACTATCGAATTTTCAAGAAAAGAGTTTATTCCTTCCTAAAAGATCAGCAACGCACCTGCAATTTCTCTGACGTTGCAGGCAAAAAATATAATAATAACTTTGAAGTACAACGAGCAAGTAAGTATTAGGAAAAAATTTAATCAGTTCGAAAAATTTGGTAGGCCTCCGGAGCTTCATGCTTTGGGTCATTGCCATAATGAAATTCCTGTGTCCGAGAAAATTAATCGTTTTCCATATTTCAGTGACCCCTCTAACCATTCTCGCTATAAGGTTTATCTTGTTCATTAGAACATGTTCGAGACAAATTGTTGTTACTCGTTTACACTTTGATAGGAAACAGTTTTGTTTTTGCTACATTTTTAAGTGACTTCTAAAATCCTTCTTGATTTTCTGTGTGTATATTATGCAATATCTTCGCCAATATTGAAGCGATTTGGATACTTTGTAATCGACTGAGTTTACTTTTTTTTATAACACAGGGGGCAAACGAGCATGCGGCTCATATGATGGTAAGCATTGTAAGTGTGCTGCCGGCTATTAAAAAAGGAATATGCTCTTTTCTTGAAGGTTATGATGTCATATCCGTTCGGAAATACTGTTACTGGAAGTCGATTCTAAAGAGTGGTTGTGCATGGGAGAAAGTGTTGCTTCTCGTTGATTTCAAATAAATATTACTACGAATAAAGTTGACGTGTTCCTTTGTGAAGCAATTCATTGCTTTTTTTCACCGACTTTAAAAAGCACGAGTTTTTTTTTATTTGGTTGTATTTTTTTGTGTCTTTCCTCATAACTGTGTCCGTTGTAAACAGATTTGGAAAATACTTTTTTATTTAAAAGGATATACTTACAGATTAGTCCCGTAGAAACTTTATCGAAATCGATTTAGTAATATAGATTTTAAATTCAAATAACTGATTTTGTGAAAATTGAAGTATTTTTTTTTCTGGAATACAGTCTAAATTATTTGACAGTAAAATGTACAGTAATGTTAAAATATTTTAATATCTATTTTTGCCATAATATCATAATTACATACACGCGTGTATTTTTACGTTTAATTCAAAGTTAAATTCCAAAAAGTTAAAAATGCATATCTGCAAAGTTTCTGCAATCGAATGTCGCACTATTTCTTTGAAATGGAACATAAACGAAAGTTCGCTTTCCGCAATGTGACCGAATGGGAAAAAATTCTCATGAGAATTTTTTACTTAGACATTCTATACGGTGGTTTTTTAATTGTTCATTGCAGAGAGTGCATAAAATATTATGCAATTGGATATGCTTAAATATTGTGCATCTTGAGCTTTAAACAGACAGATTTGCTTGGGTACCTCTGTCCCATTCGTGTTTCTACCGTGGAGCAGTTGTGTTTGCATGGCTGTGTTTCGATTTGTAAGGTGGGATATGGCGTGAATTTATAGGGTACAGAGGAATAACACCTGAGTCCTCAGGAATGGCAACGCATGGGGGGTATCATGGGCGAAATAGTATACTCTGTTATGTCCCTGGTACTGTTCATGTCTATAGGCGATGGTTAACACTTTCCATCGGGTGGACCGTCAGCTTGTTTGCCATTTTAAGTTGTATAAAAAAAATGTATATTAAAATTGGAGCATTCATCATTGATTATCTGAAATGTGCTACATTCTATATCGTCACAGTCGTAGAATACCGACGGATCTTTATATGTAATATTCGTCAGATCCGTCAGTATTCTACGACTATGACGATATGTTAAACATACACCCACATATTAAAGTCAAAGTACATTTTAGTTTTAGAAATAAAAAAAAAAAAAAACAAAATAAATATCGAATATTTTTTTTATTACATCCAATACATGACCACTAACATCCATGCACATATTCGAATAACTGCTCAATAATCGAATCGGAGTTCATGCTACTTTATCGATTCCTTTTCCGTGTTTGTTTTCTTATTATAATCCGGATCGTTCCACGGCTGTACGTCGGCAGTCATTAGAGCTACAAATATACCATTAGTAACGATTGCACATACTCCCACAATTATGAACATGATACGCCATTGCAGCTGATTTGTCTAGAAAGAAAAGAGATGTATTAAGTTTCAGACTTTTTTTTATACACAATCGACTTTTGTACAAAGTCTCCCACTGTCATATATTATATATGGCATCATCAAATAATATATCATCATCATCATCATTAAAGTTAATTAAAATGCAATTAAAGTTTAAATAAATAAATAAATTTGTTAGTCTGTCACCAAAGGAAGACTTTGTACAAAAGTCGTTTGCTTGGGTACCTCTGTCCCATTCGTGTTTCAACCGTGAAGCAGTTATGTTTACATGGCTGTGTTTCGGTTTGAAGGGCGGGATATGGCGTGAATTTACAAGGTACAAAGGAATAACACCCGAGTCCTCGGGAATGGCAACGCATAGAGGGTATTATGGGCAAAACAGTATACTCTGTTATGTCCATGGTACTGCTCATGTCTATAGACGACGGTTACCACTTTCCATCAAGTGGGCCGTCAGCTTGTTTGCCATTCTAAGTTGTATAAGAAAAAAACTTTGTACAGAAGTCGTTTGCTTGGGTACTTCGGTCCCATTCGTGTTCCTACTGTTTGTCATTGTAAGTTGCGTAAAAAAATTACTACTGTGTAAATAATAAAAAATTGTAAATGATGGATTTCTGGAATATACAGTTTTCTATTATCAAACAAGTACAAGAATATTTACACTAGAATATTTTAAACAGGAATATAAAAAAGGGGTTCAGTTTGGAAGTTACTTTAGGTGTATGTCGATTTTTATTTGTTGGTAAATTGTCATTTATGTTTATGAAGAAAAAATTATAAATTTATGTCGTGCTAATGCTTTTAAATACAGTGTAATATTTAAATTATCAGAAACTTTATAACGTGTTGAGATAAATATAAAAAAGTGATACATACCAAATCAGTAACAATGTAGGAGACAAAAACAGGAGTTATTAACACAAAAACGTTCATCAGAGAATTTCCAACAGCAATGAGTGTTCCACTAAAATTCGGTGTCAGATCTATATGATTGATCTGAAATAAAAAAATATTAAAAAAAATAAAAATAAAAAAAATTATTTAAATTTAAATATTTAAATCAAGTCCGTAATATTTGATCATATCAATATTATTTTAAAAACTTAAGTTTTTAATGTGATATCTATATAATTATATATATATATATATATATATATATATATATATATATATATATATATATATATATATATATATATGATATCATTAATATTACGTCGTATCGTCACTCTGTTGTTACGTATTATTATAATAAAAGTTTACTCTCTTTGATACTGGCAGATATTTAAAAAATGGCTTCCAAATTTTAACTTGTAAAAAATTTACATTATAACAATATTGCATTAAATTAATAATTAAGCACTGCTTAGATTTTAGACATGCTTAGTTTAATTAAAGACTAATTAAAAAAAAGACACATACCAAAATAAGAGAATAATATGTTAATAATAATAATAAAAAAGTAATAGTTTTTTTTACCATCCACCCTACGTGAATTCCAGGTTGGAAACCAGTCGCCAACATTAAAAGTATTATGGCTAAGCTGAGTTTCTTTGTAAACGAAACTGATATCAAACATAGGGCTGCACCAACTTGCGCTGTAAAAAAGCAAGATAAATTTTATTGAACTACATATGTCTTATTTTGTGGAAGTCCATATCACTCGTTAGTTGATTAGAATTATTTTGTTTAATTCCGGCACTACGTGTAACAAAATGTGCATAGATAGAATAACGGTCAGAGTATGATGACTAATAGGGAAAATCATAGAAATTCTAATAATAATTGTAGTTATTCCTCAAATGTTGGCAGTCTCACGCATACTAATGGTAGCGGAATTAAACATAATAATTCTAATCGACTAATCAGGTATATATATATATATATATATATATATATATATATATATATATATATATATATATATATATATATATATATATATATATATATATATGTATAAAAACCGGTCAAATACATATATTATTGTAACAATTTGCAAAAATATCGATATGCGCCCAAAATTTCACCAAGTGCCAACATTGATTGCGAAGGTGCGTATAGCTATCGTTTGGTTTGGTTTGGTCATTTGTTACAGATATAGACATAAACAGATTACCTAGTAGATGCCAGCCTAAAAACTCTTAACATTAAACCCTCACACTGTTAAAATAATAGAGATATGTTTGTTATTTTTTAATATAATAACTACCAGTTAATAATTATTATATATGTACATCATAATGCTATATCTTAGTAACCATAAACTATAAATATCTAAATAGAAGAGATAGTTAATCTAGATATATAATTAAAAATAAGTAAATAAAAAAAAATAGGTATATATATATATAGTATATATATATATATATATATATATATATTTAAAGATAAAAAATTTCTTTGAGATCACTGCCAGCTGGTAGGGTGCCTAGGATACTTGCTGCATTTCCACGCTGAATAGCAATGGAAATGCATTGACCAAAGTATAGGCCAGCTTCTGGTCACCAGAGGTTTCCACCAGCCGGCGTGAAATCTCTTCGAAAAGATTCATGGCTACTACCAGTTTAACTTACGTATAATTAGATTGAGAAAGCGTGACTAGTTTTAGATCAATTCGTGATCCTTAATCATGAGCAGCTATGATACGGTTGCGAGCCTGACTGTTTGTTATTAAATGAACCATCTTAACAGAAGTATATTAGTATTTATGCACTTGAATATCTAGATCTGAATTGGTCTGATTAATGAACTGCGTTCTAGCTATGTTAGCAAATAGGCTGGATTCTCTCTACAAGAACCATTGCGTTGCGTTGCATGTCGAAAGATCCCAGTTGTAATTAATTTGTAAAATATAATATAATTAATGTATGTTAATAAAGTTTTATTACACTTACATACAGAATTGAACAGTCTTCTAGAATTCTTCACACTAATCATTTTTCTATTTAAACAAAAGTCCGAGATGACTCCAAAGAGAACAGAGAAGCAGCAAGCGGCCACGTAAGGTAACGACGACAAGAGACCACTCTAAAACAGATATTGGTATTAAAAATGATGTAAAGTAAAACTGATACAGATGCGATTCTCAATCGAACTAATTTAAGAAACAATCTTTTCTCAAACATGCTTGGAAATATGAGCATTATTTTGACAATCTTCTTAGAGATAAATCAACATTGCCGTACTGGCCAGATACATGCGGGCAGCGGCCGGCAAAAGTTGTATGAAAATCCATATCTGTCGTGTTTTGCGGCCAGATAAATTACAGGTAAACTCATATCTGTCCTGTAATTTAAAAAGGGAGTGACCTTTTACTTCGAAACATGGCTACCAAAGAGATAACTAGTAAAATGTTTTATTTAAATTTCGAACTGGCTTGCAAATAGAAAGATGTTTATTGAAAAAAAACAAAAGAACATTATGGCGCGTGAAAAATTATTATTGTTCGTTATTCGTCATTGAACTTAAAAAGTAAAATTGTGTTTTTGATTTTCGCGCATTGTTTGAGAAAAGTACTATACAAGCCTTGGCCACAACTAGGCATTGATGGACTCACGTATGTGTGCCTCGTCTTCGCCTCGGCCCACATTTGTACGTTCGTCCATTAATGCCTCAGTTGCTGGCCGCTGCAGTAATGTACTATTTCTGAATTAGTTTGGGTATTCTGAGTTGTATCCCCAGATAATTGGTAAATTTCTCATAACACAAGGTATCCTGTCTTCAGACCTCGGCTATTGGTATGATTATGTGGTACTTAAATCTAAAATATAATTTTAAAATACATTCTAGGTTAATTTTAAACTTTCGCGTTGTTTATACATATTTTAAATACACTATCGGGATTTAACGCGATATAAATGTCTTTACAGGTAAACATTACCTACATAATCTGCTTCTTTATTGCCGAAGTTTCGACGTGGATTGCACCACGTTATTGTCATGACAGGACGTTAACGTTAACTCCCAATTGTGTATTTACAATATGCTTTCTAATTTGCATACAAAAAAATTACACTTCTGTGAATAAGAAACAAGCTAACGACTGTTTTGACAGGAAGTAGCTTTTACGAGTATCCATAACTTAAAGCAATATTTAATAAACTACATTTTACAGTATCCATCATATGCTATTACTACCAAAAAATAAACAATAATAAGTAGATAGGTAACTATTGTACCGATTAAATTGTTAAATAATTGTAACCCTTAAGTATGATACACTGATAATCAATACAGCAAGACCATTCTAAAATATACAATCATTCCATTTAGGCCCTTATGCAATGTCATTAAAAATTTACAATAAAATCCCACTAAACTTAAAAAATGAAAATGATTCTGTAAAGTTTAAAATACAGCTTTAAATACCTATTTAATTACAAAAAGTTATTATGCACTGTAGAAATTTTTTAATGAGAAAATTTAATTGTATTTGTACCTATTAAAATTTTTTTTGTGTTCTTTAACTTTGCATGTATAATATAAAAATGAAGCTGTGTAATTTATGTAACATTTATTAATAGGATCGCTGTGCCCTTCCAGGGTTCATGTTGATACTGCACCTCTAATGCTTAAGATCTATATTGTTACAACATGAAAATACAATAAATGCTTGAATCGAATTAAATTTATTGGGTTTTACAAGAAGTACATTTATCATATACTAAACTCCACAAATATTGTTTACGAAATTCTTACGCCTGTCACATTTAAAACCAAACAAATTACCTTGATAGCATTAATACATATATAAATATTACAGATAGGACTAATAAAAGTTAATATTTAACTTACGCTTTTAACATCAACTTCAAGAATGGAGTGTATGTATGAAGGCACTTGAGTGAAGATGAAGAAAAAGGATATACCACTGCCAATCTGTGTAGCGATGCAAGCCCACACGTACCTTGATGTCAACAGTGCCTTCCATGGTACTTTTGGCTTCTGTAAAGATAAATAAACTTGAGCTATAATCTAAAGAATTCGATCCTACCAGTTGTTCAAAAAATAAATCTGAATGTAGTATCACTTCCCGAATTATCATGTTTAGTATTTATTTCACTTCGTATTCTGTAATTTTCTGTGTATGTCAAAGATGTTGGATCCTTTGATGTGTCTTATATTTTGCTCGCAAATATTATGTGTGCAAAATACCTCAAAGTTTTAAGACGAAGGTTTCTAACCAAATGCGCGTTGCTAGTGATAACCGGAACCGAAACATATGTAGTTCTACATGATTTCCCGTATGTAAAAGCTTTAGTTTAAACAGCAAGCTATGGAAAAGACTATATTTAAAGTTTCTTTACATGTTAAAATTCAAAAATAGGATATCTACAAATTAACCAAAGCGTCCGATATAGTCCAATAGATAAACAAGCTGAAGAGGCAATGGGTTGGTCACATAGCTCTAAAAATCGACAACCGACAGAGAACAAAGCCTTTTGACTCCGCGAGTAGCGACTCCGTGCAGATAAATGCAGTGCAGGACAATCTCCACTAGATGGAATGATAACCTTCAAATGCATTGCAGCGAGTCAATGGATGCAGGTCATTGCAGGTGGTTTGAGACCATTCTTTATGGTAGTTTATGGCGAGGCCTTTAATCAGTGATGGACAGTTAACGGCTGATGTGATGATAAGACTGTATTTGAACTAACGTCTGTAGACAAATAATTGACAAATGTACTTGATAAATAATAGAAAGTTAGATAACACACGTGATGTTTCGTTCTTTCGCATACATGCTATAGCGTAAAAAATTAAAAATAGATACATCTGCGTCTTTTATCTAGACAGCTTGACATATACATTCACGATATGTGGGTTTCATTAATTTCTGTTACTTTGCTGCGTGGCTCCGACTTAAAATTGGCTACCCCTTACTTTCTCGTGGGTACCATAAGAGGTCACTAAGGGAACTTAATAGTCGAAGGACAGGCAACAGTGTTCCTCTTAAAACATCTTAAATTAAAGGCTAATTGCGGTTGCTTTTGTTAAAAACCCTTAAAAACCATTTATTCTATCATCAAGAACGACCAATTTAAATATTACCTCTTTAACTGCAGTATTGCTGGAGTTTGCAATGAAACTCTTTTCCGCTTCGGTTATAGTTTTGTGTTGAGCTGGTGTTGCGGCACCGAAGACGGTGAGTAGAACGAACATCAATAAGCAAGCGCTCCCGGTCGCCCAAAATATAGACGGCCAGCCACCTGCACTTTCAGCCAGAATTCCGCCAACTTGGAAAGCTATCACAGTACCAAGCGTTGAACCTGTTGAGAATGTTAACATTTATTAAAATATACAATAAATAGACACAGACTGTGTAATGTGCAAAAATTTGTTTCGATATATTTGTCTCATTGATGTTTTCGCCTTGAATCAGCTATGCTTGCATAATTGTATTTCAATTTGAAGGAGGGGATATGGAAGTGAAATTACAGGGTATGTAGGCATAATATCAGATCTTAGAAATGGCAACATATGAAGGGAGTTTGACACGAATATACCAGTATATTCTGTAACGCCCATGGAGCTCTTCATATAGACGATGGTAACTACCACTATATATTAGATAGGTCGTTAACTTTTTTTACCATTTTAAATTGCAAAAAAATTTAATAATAAATAGAAAGCATTATTTTCCGGATTTGATCCTAAACAAACAACCATAACATTGTCTAATAATGAATTTGTAAATGCAATCTCATTATTTCTCGAGATTAAAAAGAGAATTTGTGAATATATAATATTTAAGCAAATACTTACGGGGGGAAAGGGATTGTTAGTAATGGAGACTAAGAATCCCATTACTAGCAATATACACAACCGGGTCAACCTTCTCGCGGTACCCCCTGGAAACTATCATGGTTAATTCCTGATGAATTCATCATGATAGGCTAACTGGCCTGTTTTCATTCTCATTTATCATCCTTCACTGGTGCTCCGCCAGCGTATCCCGTTAGCGCAGGCGGGGCTACCATACCATTTTCACCCATTAAAAAAAATGATAAGATCAAAATATCAAAATATACATTAAAAATGTAATGCGCGTTACGAGCCCCCTGCAAACTAAACAAGCATATGGTCCAACTAGGCTTATGCCCAAAAAGTGTTTGCAGATTTTGTTACAATGAGGAAGAAACGACGCAGCACTTAATTTATGGCTGCAGCCTAAACAATACATAAACAATATATCTCCTTTGGAAAACACACTCTATATCCTGAGGAGATAAAAAACATCGCTACAAAAAACATCTTAAAATTCTTATCATTGATAAGAATTAGCAGCGAAGTTTAAAAAAGGGCAAGCGAAATATATGTATGTTGAAAATAAACGAAGACATTGCATGACGTAACCAAAAATTAATTAATAATTATTATTTTTATTACCTGTGTAAACATAACTGGCAAGTCTGCCTCTCTCAGATTTAGGAACCCATTGTGCGAGCAAAGTTTGAATTGAGGGGTACACTCCTGCCTGTGATAGACCTTGGACTATCCGACACGCGCACACTGCTCTCCAACCACCCTGTCAATGTAGAAAAAATTTTTGTTCTGTATAAAAAATTACCTATTAATTAAATTTATTAATACTATATGTATTATACCATGATTAAAATTTCACATTTTACGTCGCCGTATGTGAATGAATTAAAGAACAATACAGATTAAATAAATATAATAAATAAGTAAATAATAAGTAAAAAGAAACATAATTACAAGAAGCAGGATAAAGAGGCAACAATGGCCAGTCTTATTTCCAAATAACGATTTTTCGCAGGCAAATTTAAAAACCTTATAATATATATATATATAATATATATATATATATATATATATATATATATATATATATATATATATATATATATATATATTCAATCGGTTCATAAATAAAAAAAGTTATATCAATCTAAAGAATCACATATAAAATACTATAAAAGAACCGATCAGTTGAATTGGTTTCAACTTATTTTATACATATAGTATTTCGGAAATCAGAATTTTCGAAAATCAATACATATAGTACGAAAATTTTGGCTACTCGTGCGAAGTCGGGTCGTATTGCTAGTATCTTCATATAGCCATTAGTACTTCTACAGAACGAATCTATAACACCCCCATTAAAAACCCTCATTCATTTAACACCACCAATTTAAACAACCTGACATACTTCCATACATCTACTTGGAAAATGTACCTCCTTTCTTTAACAGTCGTATAAATAATGACAATAATAAATACTCACCCACAGGACGAGCCAGGGCGCTACTATACACGTAATTCCGTTTGTAAACAGTCCTATTTGCAAAGGAATCTTACCACCCCACCGTTGCGTAACTAATCCCATAGGGAATTGCATGATATTATATCCGAGGAAAAATGACGACAGCACCATCTCTTGTGTAGATTTAGGCCAATCATATGTCTGGAATGTTAACGTTACTTCTCATAACCTTATATTTTTAAAAAGGTCTCAGTGTAACAAATGTTTGAGTATATATAACATCTCTTAGAATTACTTAATTTTAAATAGCTTGATCTTGCCGTAGTATTTAAATAATAATAACAGTTAATTGAAACCAAAAAGATAAGAAAGAGATATCAGAGTGACTTTATACAAAAATCGTTTGCTTGACCACCTCTGTCCCATTCGTGTTTCTACTGTGAAGCAGTTGTGTTTGCATGGCTGTGTTTCGGTTTGAAGGGAATAGTATGAAATCTAATTGTTCATGTAATATTTTCATTAAAATATTAAGTGAAGACCTGGATTCTTTATTACTTCATGATGATGAATGATGAAGAAGAAGAGAGTCCATGTTTTCACGACTTAGTGATATCTAAAGTAAAGTCTTGGAAACAAAATTTATAATTGTTGCTTTTTTATGCAACTTAGAATGGCAAAAAGCTAACGGCCCACCTGATGAAAAATAGTAACCTTCGCCTATAGACATGAGCAGTACCATGGACATAACAGAGTACTGCTTTACCCATAATATTTCTCATGCGTTACCAGTCCTGAGGACTCAGGTGTTATTCCTCTGTACCCTGTGAATTCATTGCTATATCCCACCCTTCAAACACAACTGTTTCACGGTAGAAACTGTAAAAAAAAATCTAAAAAATTATGTCTATAATATAAAATATATTACATTTATCAAAGGAAATATAAAATATACTTACTCTGTATATTCCTAAAGAACTTTCTGGATCCATATCAAATTTATCATTAAATATACTAATATTTTGCATACTATCATTATATATTAATATTGTATCATTGTTATCAGTTCTTATTTCTTGTAAATCTTCTAAAACTTCTGTTGTATCATTTTGTATGTTCTCTAATATATTTGTATGATTGCTCTTATTAGTCATGGCCACTATGGACACACTTAAGTATGCTCTAGCTATGTATCCAACCGTTAAACATATAAACATAATGAATGTCTGCACGTGACGCACCCCATAGCCGTACGGTTGAATTACATCTTCTTTGATAGGTTTTTCTATAAAAATAAAATTACATTTACATTATGTCTAAATATTATCTAATTTTAATATACATTCTTCATTTTCACCAGATAGTAGAGTATTACCCCCCCCCCCCCTTTCATTTCCCACGTAAGTCCCTTATTCCTCTCATTTACTAATTTCCTTTATGCATTCCCAATGTTCCCTTTCCTTTATCCTCAATCCTTTTCTTCATACCGTAGGTGGCAGAATGCACTAACAAATGCATTCCCAAAGAGGATTGACGTCAAGTAGGCAGCCGGTCGTAAAACTATAATCCTTTAGTAAAATGGATGAAACCATATTACGCCGATCCCAAATAATAATTGGGATAAGGGCAGGAAGATTATGATTATCATAATCATAATATCAGCCGTTTTCTTCCCACTGCTGAACATAGACTTCCCTCTGTTGGGAGATTAAGCCAGTAGCTGCTATGCTTGTCAGGCTGATTGGCAAATACAGTTAGGCTTGGGTGATGTTTAAAGAGGGACGCTACTCCCTCAATCATTAACTTCCCTTAGTCGCCTTTTACGATGCCCAAGGGAAAGGGTCTATTCTATGCCTGGATCACACGGCATATATGAGTATAATACTAATAACAGATGCAGAAGGTTAACAAATTGAAGCAGAACTAGGCTAGTATATATGCGAATGACCGATAATTGAAGTATTAAAAATTAAAATTGACAGAACCTTATAAGAATGGAGTAGTCTTTATTTATTTAGACATAAGGACAATACATATGACAATTCGAAATAGATCCTAAATAAGTCTCTTTTTAAATAAAGAATTTCTATTCTAAAAAAAAAAGAAACGAATATAATAATTGTAAAGATACATTAAAAGACTAAATTTGGTACTGTATCAATTATTAAATAATATTTTGACATAAAAAATCAGAATAATAATATAGGGCTGCTTCAAGTCAATATTTTGGAGCGACACACATATTACAAATTTAAATAATTGTGACTGATTATAAAATCCATATAGGCTTTGTACTTTATGCAGAGTGATTAACAATCTAGTAATTAGTCCATGCAACTCCAAATTGATCCGATGAGAAGGAACTATGGAGAATATAATTATGTAATCAAAACTTATGTTTTGGAATAGGAGTTGCATATAAAAATTTTAACAAAAATGTTTTAGCAGTTATAAAAGTTTTATTACAAATGTTGTATTTGCAAGAAACAATCTGATAAATACGTCTAAATCAAAATCCACAAATTATTGTTAAGTTACAACAGACTTCAAAATGATTGGTAGTATTTTACAAAAAAGAAAAAATATTTACCGGGCTGCTTTTCGTCTTTCGTAGGTACCTCTTGATACTCCCCTTTTGACATTTCGTTCGTGTCTCACTAATTACAATGAGATAGTAATTGCCACACATTTTCCGCTATATTTTATCAACTATTGTTAAATACGTAAATGAAATAATATGTCACTCCATTTAAATTGAATAATCATCGTTAGGATTACGGCACATTGATATAAATATAGACAGTTATTTAACTAAAGGCGATTGACCAAATAGTGTTAATTCTTTAGCTGAAAACCGTCAGAGGGAGACTTTGTACAAAAGTCGTTTGCTTGAGAACCTTTGTCCCAATTATGTTTCAACCGTAAAGCAGTTATGTTTGCATGGCTGTGTTTCTATTTGAAGGGTGGAATATGGCATCAATTTACAGGGTACAGAGGAATAACACCTGAGTCCTCAGGACAACGCATGGGGGGTATCATGGGCGAAACAGTAAACTCTGTTATGTCCATGGTACTGCTCATGTCTATAGGCGACGGTTACCACTTTCCATCAAGTGGGCCGTCAGCTTGTTTGCCATTCTAACTTGTGTAAAAAAAATCATCAACAAGGTCTACCATTTTAATAATTTCAATTGTATGACCTTATGGGTCAATAACGGAAACTATTATGTTTATATCAACTACAAAGGTAAATTATGCATGAAATAAGATATGGTCCACTCAGTTTCCATCAAATTCTATATTCTTTCTCTTTTTATCTTCTAGTTAAGTCTGGATTTCATTCTTTGCAATTTTATGTGTACTATTAAGTATATGTTTTGGTAATTGTGGATTTATTTATTGCAGGCTATCTGTTTTTCAATAATCTGCATGAAATTTTTTTTGGCAACGCGTCTTGGTGTTTCAGATTCCTTTTGTGGTACTTAATTTAATTTTTTATATAGATCATAGTCTACATTCTCAGGATCTTTAAGAGTCCTTTGTAAAAATAACGCAATAGGAATTAGTGAACTAGGATTACCTTGAGTTGGTTCTGTTCATTAAATACACATTGATTTTTGCTTTTACTGGATTTTTTTATACCAACACACCTCAATCTGATATTTAAAAAATTTGGAAAAAAATATTTTTAAATAAAATTTTAACATTTAGTAAAATTTGATTTAAAATGTGAAATAAGCCTTATATTAAGGAATAATATTTAGTGTAACATAGGTTTGCTCTATGATAAGGAAATTCAAATAGTGGTTAATATAGTAAACAAAAGATATAATAAGTAAATACTTGAACTCTAAATGAACGTATATTGCAATCACAATTTGATTATGGCATCAAATACGAATGTTATATGTAACCGATGATATAACTGATTATATAAAAAGAATAGTTATACTAATATATATTTCATATATATTAGTATAACTACTTAATTTATTATTAACATAAGTGGTATTTATGTGTTATATGTACACAAATATACACATATTTCTTATGTATTATTATGTATAATTATTTCAGTATGTTACTATAATTATGTCACATATTTTTCATCACATTTGCCCTTCATACGCTTACTGTTTTCACCTAATTAGTTAGCTGGTAGAGAATGCCATATGGCATTAAGCTCGCCACTTGTACAAAGTTTTATTGTGCAATAAAGAATAAATAAATAAATATCATCAGGGACTCAAATTCATGTTCTTATTTTGGAAAATGTCCTATTTCATATTTTGGATTGATATTTTTAAACATTCTTTAAAGGCATTGCACCAAAAATATTTGGCTCTACAAAACCCTATAAGTAATCGAGTAAAAGGAAATGAATTTAGTACTATAGAAATCCGATAAAAAAAATATCAAAATCAATATTTTAATTGGCGAATATATAGCGTAATAAAGAAGAAATTTAGAAGAATTTTGAAGAAGTTTGAAGAAGGTTGTAAATTTTCTTTTTATGGAGTCTTAGGATTGTAACACGAATTTAACCAATATGTGATATGGTTTCTTTTAATAAATTTAATGACTAATAAATAAATAAGACAGTCTAGTGAAATCTATAATAGTTGTAGTAAAAAATCAAAAGTCGTTTGACTGATTCATTACTGACTACACTGAGACAATACTTCTGAAATAATTTCAACAACAAAAGTAAGTTACGTTTTTATTAAATTCTATTGAAATAATGTACGAACACCTAAATACAATACCTTGAATAAAAGAAAATCATTTCATTTCATATCTGTCACGCCTGTCTCCCATTAGGGTAGGCAGAAACAATGGAACGCCAAATGCTTCGATTCAAACAGACCTCTTTCGCTTCTTCCACATTCATCAATCTTGTCATACACGCTCGTCGGTTACGGGTACTTTTAATTTGGCCCTTCTTCAGCACGTCGCCTATTTGGTCGACATACGTCCGTCTAGGGCGGCCCCTACCGACATCTCCATTCATTCTTGCTCGATAAATCTCTTTCGTAATTCTTCTTTCATCCATCCTCTCCAAATAAAAGAAAATATGGTACTAAAAGCGGACTTAATATCAGTAGCATTCTTTGTCAGTCAACCGTTGGGATGAACAGTGAACTACAAACGCGGTACTTAATTATTGAGATAGGTACAGATTATAACAGCTTTATCCTAACGGTATAGAAAAGGACGTACTTCACAACGTTTCACTTTTTTACATTATGTTGCTACATTCATTGCTATTAAATTTAGATACATTTATATGGTTTGCAAATACGGAAACCGTTAAAAATTGCCTAAGTGTTATTATTTTGTCTAGTTTTCCACGATTAATTCAATAATGTTTTTAACCAACTTCAAAAATGGAGAAGGTTATATGTTTGATTGTATATTTGTTTGTGGAACAAAGTCTTATATTATTTTAACTATACGAATACATACCATTCATATAAGAGTGATTTTTGCCTTCAAATGAATAATCACGAAAATAAATATCATTATATATTAAAACAAAATAGTGTAACAGATAATTTATTGTGTAATAACAAAATAAATACGAATTAAGTTTACTTTTTGATAAAAGGAATTTTTCGAAAGCATGTTAAGTCCAATACAACACACACACACACACGCGCACGCACACACACACGCACACACGCGCACACACACTCACACACGTGCGCACACACACACATACACACGCGCGCGCGCGCGCTCTCACGCACACACACACACACACACACACACACGCATTCACACACACGCACGCACGCAAACGCACCCACACATACAACACGTATATGCATACACACATACTTTTACAGACACACACATACAACCTATTACATGATAATGGTTATTGAATCATAAATATTTTTTAACTATCAGTTAATCTTCTACAGTGTTTTATGTATTATTACACATACATTTGTAATTGTTTGTATTTACAATATGTTTACAACTGTAAAATTTTGGAGCAAACAATAAAGAGTACCTATCTATTTATTTCATACGCATTTACATGGATTTCAATTCAATCAAGTATCGGTAAGTCAATAACATCAAGCGTTCTTTCATTTTTCTAAATAGTGTACGACTAATACTGCTTTCACTCTTTTTGGTTGACATATTTTTAGTTAAATGATCTGAAACAGATTTTTTTTTATACAACTTAGAATGGCAAACAAGTTGACGGCCTACCTGATGGAAAGTAGTAACCGTCGTCTATAGACATGATCAGTATCATGGACATAACAGAGTATACTGTTTCGCCCATGATACCCCCCATGCGTTGCCATTCCTGACGACTCAGATGTTATTCCTCTGTACCCTGTAAATTTACGCCATATCCCACCTTTCAATCCGAAACACAACCATGCAAACACAACTGCTTTAAGGTTGAAACACGAATGGGACAGAGGTATCCAAGCAAACGACTTTTATACAAAGTCTCCCTCTGGTAAAGTTTGTTTGTTAAGTAAATCCTTATTGTGATATAAATATACGTTAAGAATAGGTTTTCAGAAATATTTTCAGAAGACACGCTCTCACGGGAATAAGCTAGAATATTTTATGAAGGAAATATGAACCGAATTATCTAAGACTGTAACGTATAGATGGGATCAATACTTGACTAATATAATCCCTATGGTGACTTACGAAATCTCTCTCCTTTAATCAAATAACCAATAGACTAATTCACACTGATAGGTCGAAACTACATTATTAAACCAATCAAAAACAGGTCTTTTTTTACACCGCTGAGGCGGCAAACAAGTATACGGCCCACTTTATGGTAAGCAGTTACCGTAGCTTGCAATACCGGGGGTATTACGCGTTACCGACCCTGAAGAAACCTCTTTACCCCCCTTTTGAAGAATTCTATGCTGTAGTCTCTTGGGACAACCTCGGCAGGGAGCTCAACTCAGCTCATCAAGTTCAGTCAAATTTGTATTATCAGTCTTTCTAGAGGGGAGAAAGGGATTATTAGTAATGGCATCTAACTGCTCCTTTTCTAGCTATGTACCCTTGATAGACCCTGGGTTGGCAACCGCAGTCAGGCTTTGGTGATGTTTTAAGAGAGGCGCTGCTGCCCATCCCTTGCCCTGCCTTAGTCGTCTCTTACGACACTTGTGTATAAACATATTTGTAAGATAAGCATATAAAAAGAATAATACAAATTACATACTCATTGGAGGGACAGGGATTGTTAGTAATGGGGTCTTATTGACCCATTGCCAGCAATACATCCTATCCTCCACGTGGTTCCCCCCGGAAACCATCGTGGTTAATTCTAGTGGAATATGTCACGATGGGCTAATTGACCTGCTTTCATCGTCACCTATCATCCCTCACTGGTGCCCCGCCAACGTATACCGATAACGTAAGCTGGGTTACCACTCCATTATCACCCATTACAAAAAAAACTACATACTCATTACATAAAATAAATTAACCCTGTAAACATATCGTCATAATCGTAGAATACTGACGGATCTATATATGTAATCTTTGTCAGATCCGTCAGTATTCTACGACTATGACGATATAAATATTGGTATAAATAATACATTAAAAAAAAGCATACACACATTTACATACACATACGTTTTATATATCAAAATAGAGAGGAATACTTATATTTAATATATATATATATATATATTATTTCAACTCGTCTCGAATCCACCAGCTTCGAAGACTTAATACAATATTTTTTTGCCACAATCGCATCTTCCGTTCGATTGGAATAGGCTTCGTCTTTAATACGTAATCTTTAATTACCGGGGATAAAGAGCTGAATACTCTCATGTAAGAACTAATGGATCTACTAAACCATAAATGAATTATCTATAATTTGCGATAATTGCGTTAATTCACGCCCTAATAGGTGACTTAATGATGGAAACTGATTACGACGTATGTAATATAAAATCCTGTTAATTCCTAATAATATAATAGGATATATATATATATATATATATATATATATATATATATATATATATATATATATATATATATATATATATATATATATATATATATATATATATATTCAGCAGTGGACAGTTAACAGCTGATATGTTGATGAAGATGATATATGTAATTTTATTGTAATTTGTTTGACTGGTTAACGTACTTATTTAGGCCGGTAGCACACCTGTAATGCCGCTGGTGTTGTAGGTGATCATGGGCGGCGGTAGTCATTTACCATCAGGTGAGCCGCATGCTCGTTTGCTCCCTGTGTTGTAAAAAAAAATGTGATCTAAATATTATATTCGTAGATGTGTTTGAGTGCGCGCCTGACAACTAAATGGCCGAACCGTTGGTTTTCGTCCATTTTTATAGTTGCGGCGGGCGGTAGGGCGTCTTAAGTAGGGGATACCGCTAAGATTATATATATATATATATATATATATATATATATTAGTTATATATATTAGTTATATATATAATTATAGCGAAATATGTATCACATTGTCAGTTAAACAAAATGGAAGATCCATTTTGTTTAACATAGTTACAAAATATTTGATGATTTGAGACACAGATTTCAAACATAAATAAAAACAGGGCCCGTCACTAGCATTCAGATAAAACTGTATTGTAGCAAACGAAAAATACAAGGGAAACTTTGTGCTAACTCCCTCTGTAACTTAATTTTATGGAGGTTGGCGGCACCTACTTCGTTTTCAAATATTTTACGTGCCCCGACTCTCGACAGGTTTATGAAATAAAAATGCGGTCTTCTCTTTTTAATTCATTAAAACAATGGAGATATCGGTTTAGAAAAAATAAAACAATGAATAGAAATAATACGATAATGCCAGTTTTTATTAAAAATAATCAGTATTCATGACTTACGAAATTTTATATAAATGAAACCCAAATTAAATTATTTTCTCTCTAACTACACTGGGTTGGCTGGAAGAGATCTCTTTCAGAGATAAGTTGTTAAACTAATCGTCGTATGTATTGTTTAAGTGCAATAAAGAGTATATAAACTTTTTTTTATACCGCCGAGGTGGTAATCAAGCATTCAGTCCACCTGATGGTAAGCGGTTACTGTAGCGTAAGAACGTCTGCAATACGAGGAGCATTACGCACGCGTTACCGGCTCTGAAGAAACCTCTTTATTCTGTTTTTAAAGAACCCCATGCTGTAGTCTTTTAGGAAAACCTCGACAGACCTGAACGTTCTTGGCAGTAAATATCTCTGAAACCGCACTATACGCGACCCTCTAGACTATGGGGAAAGGAATCGTTAATAATGAGGATTACCAGCTCAATTAATAGCAATGTACCCTATCAGGTCCACGTCCACTCGGTTCCCTCTGGAAACCATCGTGATTAATTCTTCTGGAATTTATCACGATGGGCTAACTGATCTACTTTCATTTTCACCTATCATCCCTCACTGGTGCCCCTAGTGTATACCAATACTGCAGGCACGATCACCATTCCATTATCATCCTACAAAAGACCGTCTAGACTCTAAGATATGGGGACGAACTTCTTGTCGATGGTGAGCTTTACAATTTAGATAAAGAAAATACCTTTTAAATACATATCAAGAAGTTGGTGATTTTGGGAGAAAAAAAGTAGTTACTTTAATAATAAATAAGAAGTCTCTCATAAAATGTTATTAGTTTCAAACAGACAAATACTTGGAAAAGAGATCTTATGGTTTTTATTTCTATTTCTTAAAATTTCGGAGTCCTTGAAACGCCATACAGTCAATTATTTCTGGTTCTGGTAAATTTGCAATTTCTATTATATTTTTTCCGCCTCATGTTCCGTTTTGTGATTTGATTTTATCTCGAGCAATTCTGATGAGTTATCGTAACCTATAAAAAAGAAATATACATAACATCTTCATTTCAGTTAGGTGACAGTGGTCGTGCCCACCCTAGAATTGTTTTGTGCACCCCAAGATTGTTTGTTCACTCCAAGATGCCAACTAAACATCACAAAGATACGTCTTGAAATGTCCTAGATTACATATGCGTCATTTTTTAAGGAGATGCCAACGAAACATCATAAAGACATGTCTTGAAATGTCTAAGATTACATATTTTGCGTTATTTTTAAGAAGACTAGGCCTCTCTGAAAAATATTCTTAAATACGCCTATACCCGTAACTCTATGTGCGTATCAAAATGAAATAAACATTAGATATTAAATAAGATCTTCTAGAATAAAACTGTAGTAATCGCATCCAATTTCATGTATTACATTTTGTGTGACACCAAAACAAACATGCAGACAAACAAATAATGTTTTAAAGTAGTTTTTGGCTTCTATTGCACTTCTTAAGACGTCTCGTATAAATTTTCAACCAACTCAAAAAATAAGTTTATTTTTTTATGTTCATTACTTCATAACTCGATCAGTTTGAAACCGATTTAGAAAATTATTTTTTTATCTGAAAGGGTTTATTTATACAAATTAGTCTAACTAGGAACTTTATCAAAATCAGTTCTGTAGTTTAGATTTTAACTGGTTTTGTTATGATCGAAGTCGGTTCTTTTTTGGGACACAATCATTCGTTATTCCAAAACATCTTCTATGTACAAACATAGTTACAGTTCCATTATTTGTTTATACATAGATTCCAAATTAAATGACTTAGATTCAACTTACCAGTTAAGTGATAACCTCTTTTGACTCTATTCCTCGATGACACTTTTGAACAACTTGCAAGTATAAAGTATGCCGCTTGACAAAACAGAACTATTGTCATAAGAGTAAAGAAAAGGTAACGCCAGCGGTGCATGTTCTGTAACAATAATATAAACAGTAAATAAATAAAATAAAATACATTTTGGAAAAACATCTACCTACTATAACCAATTATTATTTGGTATTGGCGTAATATGTTTTTCTCCTTCATTCTTCTCTATTCGCAGTTACTTCTGCATTCACCCCCATTCCGATCTTATCATCTTTCACACAGTCCATCCATTTCTTTTCAGCTCTGTCTCTGCCCTAACAGTCATCCACATTCATATCTAATACCTTTTTTAAAACATGTTCCTAATCCTTGCGTATCACATGTCCATACCAGGACAAACGGTTGCTCTTCAACTTTTCTATCTGCGGTATTATTTTCACACTTTCTTTGACATTCTTTCTGATTCTTAATTTTGTTTCCTCTTCTTGTAACACCAAATATCAATCTCAATACTACATGCAGTCGCCTTTCATCCGTCACCTTTGTTGGCCGACAACACTCCGATCCGTACAAGACACCAAGCCGGATTATGCATTTGTAAATTTTAACAAACATCATTTGCAATTGTAATGAAACATACCAATCATCAACAAGATGTAGCGTAGACAAATTAGACTTAAAATTGCCAATTATAGAGGATGGAAGATAATGCTATATTCATCCGATGATTTAGAATAGAAATAATTTTTATACAAATTTGCCTGAATGTGACAGAAAGTTATCTCTGACTACCCTCTTCTAATAGTATCTGTTATTTATTTATTTATTTAGAATAAAATATTAAATAGAGGCAAATGTAATGGACATACACGATGTATTTTACTTATATTTCTTTTTTATTATTATTTTTATTAAGAAATTTCGCGGCTGGCTCTTGGCTACAACGGAATATCAGTGTTTTTTCTTTTGAGGCAAAGCATTACATTATTAGTAGTTTTATATATTTTGCTTATTTTGTTTTTTTTTTTTGTAACTTTTTTATGGTTAAAGTCGCAGGTAAAAGTAATAAATAAACCTCCTTACCATTTTATCGACGATTATGAAACCCGTTAGCAAAGGTATGCAAGCTCCGGCGAGGCTAGCGATTGTGCTGGTCAACATCAGAACCGTCCCAGGGTCCATATCTCTCATTTCCTTGACATTCTTCTAAAATATTACGTATATTCTATAGCGAACAATATTAAATATAGAAAATTTATGTTAATGACATACAAAAAAGTGAAATAGTCAAGATGTACAATTAGGAATTGGAAAGAGCTCATTCATTTTGCACTTACTTCCAACCAGTCAGTGATATTTATATATTTAGTTTAATAAAATCTAAATTACAACATCTAATACTAGTTTAATTACAATAAAGCGTTGCCAATTTGTTTTTTTTTTTTTATTTTATCAATTTTTTTTTCTTCCCATTATTGAAGAATGAAAATGATGGAAGTAAGCGGAAGGGAGCGGAGTAATTTAGGTATGTATTTTACTATGTTAGTATTTATAAACCGTATCCAATTAAATAGAATAAGTATATCAATAAAGGTAACAACTTGATGTGAAGAAATCAGGCGTAAAAAAGGCATTCCTTTTCTTCTTTCTCATGGTGCTTTTATGGAGAAACGTATTAAAAATCAACGCAAATTTGCAATTGTGTAAAAATTGAATGAAAACGTATAAATCTGGTGAAAAAAGTTATGACATTTGGAAAAAAAATTAGAAATCGCATCTGGCAACCCTCTGTCGACATTTTTGTATTTCGGCCCATGTCACTTCTTTAAGAAATACGCTCTTTTTCACTGTTAGAACATTCTTTTAAAAGGATGCTAATCATTTCGATGTCAATCCGTAATATAATTTTTAGGCAAGGATTTTTATTTTTTTTATACAACTTAGAATGGCAAACAAGCTGACGGCCCACCTTATGGAAAGTGGTAATCGTCGCCTATAGACATGAGCAGTACCATGGACATAACAGAGTATACTGTTTCGTCCATGATACCCCCCATGCGTTGCCATTCCTGAGGACTCAGATGTTATTCCTCTGTACCCAGGCGTATATATGGCGTGAATTTATCACGCCATATCCCACCCTTCAAACCGAAATACAGCCATGCAAACACGACTGCTTCACGGTTAAAACACGAATGGGACAGAGGTATCCAAGCAATCGACTTTTGTACAAAGTCTCCCTCTGGTATACTCTGTTATGTCCATGGTACTGTTCATGTCTATAGGCGACGGTTACCACTTTCCATCAGGTGGGCCGTCAGCTTGTTTGCCATTCTAAGTTGTATAAAAAAAAGTTGATATTTTCAAATAAAAATTTCGTATAGAAATGCGAATCTTGTTATTTTTATATCGATTACTGAAGTACATATTTTAATATTATTTACCATTACTGCATGCGTCTGTACACTCAACGATGCTAGTATAGTCATCAGAGTGATCATCGCTGTGATATTCCAATCTGGTATTAAGTACGGTAGAATTGGTAATCCACATGTTATACCAATAAAACCTAAAAGTTAATTAAATTTATTTGTATATGTTTGTATCATTACAATACCTTTTCAAGTGGGTTTTACTATGAACATATGGTGGTATGTCTGAAATTATATCGTTATAACCATCATGAGTGGGGGGAAAGGGATTGTTAATAATGAGGTCTAATAGTCCCATTACTAGCAATATACCCTCCCAGGTCGATCTCTATGCGGTTCCCCCTGGATACCATCATGTTTAATTCTTGTCGAATTCATCATGGTGGTCTAACTGACCTGCATTCATTCTCACCTATCATCTTCCACTGGTGGCCAGTCGGTGTATACCGATAGCGTGGGCGGGCTTACCATCTTTACCATTCTTTGGAATCAACTTCCAGCAGCAGTATTTCCGAACTGATACGACAACATAACCTTCAAGAAAAGAGTATATTCCTTTTTAAAAGGCCGGCAGCACACCTGCAATGCCGCTGGTGTTGTGGGTGATCATGGGCGGCGGTAGTCACTTACCATCAGGTGAGCCGCATGATCGTTTGCCCCGTGTTGTAAAAAAAAAAATTTCACCCATTAAAAAAAACCATCATGACTTTAACTGTCCACTGCCGAACATAAGCCTCCCTTTTGGGGGGTTTTGTCAACAGTTGCTACGTTTGACAGACGAATTGGCAACCGCAGTTTTTTTTATATACCATTAAAGTGGTAATCAAGAATACGGCCCACCTGATGGTAAGTGATTACCGTAGCCTATGAACGCCTGCAATACCAGAGGTATTACGCGCGCGTTGCCGACCCTGAAGAAACCTCTTTACTCCCCTTTTGAAGAATCCCATGTTACGGTTTGGAGATATTTTAAGAAAGACACTGCTGCCCATCCCTTGCCCTCCTTTAGTCGTCTCTTACGACACCCACGGGAAAGGAAGAGGTGGCTTTTTCCATGCCGGGACTACAAGACAAAATTATATATATATATATAAATAAAACTAAATACTTACTAAATGAAAAAACTATTCTAAATGGAATTTCATTCCATCTGAAGAAATGGTTGTAAATGTATGAGGCGATCATTCCTAGCAGTTCCATAAGTAGCCACATTGTATAAAATATTGCCATCCAGGACGTGTTCTGTAATAATATAAAACATAGATTTTGAACAAAATACTTTAAATTTAAACATTACTGAACCATGCAGACGAAACTTGAAAGCATTTAGCAAAAGTAAATGTTTACTTTCCAAAGATAATATTTTTTTTCCAGGAAAAAAGAAATGTGAAAAAGAGAGATCAGGAAAAAAGAAAAGACAAAAAGAAAGTGTGAATCTGAATGTCTCGTATTAACGGTTCAGGCTATGATATTGCAAAGGTTAAGATAACTATTGAAATCAAACCATAATTTCGAAAAATTCTAATTGTATAAACAAATATAATTTATTGCGTAACCTTTGAGACTAATGAATAAATAATAAATAAATAAATATAAAAAATAAAGACAATTAATTTATTTATTTAATTTTAAATGCAAAATTGTATAAGTAAATGTACATATGGCGGACTTAACACCTAATGGCGTTCTCTACCAGTCAACCATGAGGCGAGCAGAAAATTAAGTAGGTGGTGCATTTACTACTAAAATATGTATAAATATTTTTACTACATATTACATACATACATAAATATATATGATGATAAATTACAACAGCAGATAAAAGATAATGTGTTTTCCTGTCCATTTTTTTTCTGGAAAAAATGTGGTAATAAAAATAATTTCGTACCTCCCTGAGAGTAGGATAAAAATTCTGCAAATAAAGCGGCATATCCGAAAGACAAAACACAAATACTGTATTCGAACTGACATGCGAGAATGCGAGTTTCCAAAACTGAGAAGTTTTCAATATTTGACACCATGGTATTGGTGGGGAAGTTATATTTCCATTCTGCAACAAAAATATGAGTAATTTATTACTTTTGGCGTATATTCACAATTTATTTTCAAAGATAACAATTCTGATAAGAATAGGTTCGCTAACGCGATTTCGCTCAAAATCACTTTTCCGTCTTAGTCTTATAAATTATAGTTGTTGCTATTTCCATGTTGTTATTTCCATGTGAACGAAGTCGAGACTTCGTTCACATGGAAATCGATTGTATTGCAAATCCTTATTTTATCTTTTATCCCTCCTAAGTTAAAAAAATATAAACTCAAAATTCCAAAATCCTCACAGGGATTCCATACATAGTCTACTAGGAGGTGATTTTTTGTAAATCTTGGAATATGTACTTTCTTTAAAATAAACAAATTTATATATTTTTATCTAAATCCAAACATCTGCTATCTCATCTTTTGAAGGATACAATTTGAAAACGGCTGAAACGTTTTGTTTTTTATCAAAAACTTCAAAAATAAACATTCACACTTTTAAATTAAAAAATAATAAAATTTTGTGGTAAAATTTCCAAAAGCGCTGAATCTAAGAAGTTTTGAACTAAGTTCATACTTGTAACTTCAATTATAACATAACTCTCATACAAAGTTTCATTTTTATTTTGAACTAAGAGCCTAAACCTAAAAATCACATGTCTAACTTGTAAATTGACGAAATTCCATACAAATTTTTAAACCCCGTTTTACCCCCTTGTGGCTAAAAATTTTCAAAATTTCTTTTTTATTTTTCACCCATGCTACGAGTATATGAAGAACCTATCTACAAAATTTTTAATATTATAAATAGGGGGGAAAGGGACTGTTAGTAATGGAGACTAAAAATCCCATTGCTAGCAATATGCACATTTGATATATTTAATACCGGAACATATTTTTTTAATTAAACTAATCCTTTCGTATGTGCTTTCATTTCGGGGATTTTTTTGGGCTCTCGGATACCGTGGCGTGTACCCCATCAATATCTATAAAAAGATATGCCAAAGTTGTTTAATAAATAAAACGAGAAAATAAAATATGTTTTTATATTATTTAATAGTGGTTGTGAGTTGATATTTACATTCGTTATAGCTTTTTGACGAAAATCGATCGAGGGCGCCCCGTATACAAGACTAATTGGTAATGCTCTGAAAGAACGACGCCGGAAGGCTACAAGCAAACACAATACATAATGGTAAACGTAACCTTTAGTATACAAATACTAATTAATAGTAATTTTTTATACAACTTAGAATGGCAAACAAGCTGACGACCCACCTGATGGAAAGTGGTAACCGTCGCCTATAGACATGAGCAGTACCATGGACATAACAGAGTATACTGTTTCGCTCATGATACCCCCATGTGTTGCCATTCCCGAGACATCTGGTGTTATTTCTCTGTAACCTGTCAATTTATTACTATATCCCACCCTTCAAACTGAAACACAGTCATGCAAACATAACTGCTTCACGGTTGAAACACGAATGGTATTACCACAGTACTCTTATCTCAGTGTAACTGAGAACACACTCAGCCTGGATAGTAGAAAAAGATAAATTTTATCAATTTATTATTTAGTACTATAGATATCCAAATCTGTTCTGAACTATGTGTGATCTTTATTGTCCCAGACTGTGATTACCACTTGGAGATAACAGGCTGATCTTCAAATTGTATAAAAATGTTCCATTTTTACTTACAGTGTTTTGATATTTCCTTTCCTTATTCTCCATTACAATCTTCTCCATGTTGTTCTTGGCAACTGCTATATACTCTTTCTCAGTATCGCCCACTGCTTGGTGTTTGTTTGGGGAATTTGCAGTCAGTAAAATGCATATAGCACCTATTGAAAATGCCATCATAGCCAAGCTATAGTAAATTAGTTCCCAGCCGAGGCGGGCTTCAGATATGATTCCAATTACAGGAAGTGCTAATATCATACCGAGGAGTAAGCCTGAAAGAACACAAATTGAAATTTAAAAGAGTAATTATAAACGTCACACAATTAGAATTACAAGACAGTTTGTACTGTCTTCAATTGAAATTAATCAAACCAGATCTTTATATAAAAACCAAACAAGATACATATGGATATATACCATACAGGTTAATGGATGAAAATGGAATTGTAACTCCGTATATGTTAACGATATACACGGCAGTGAGGAATGGTAGGTGAGAATGTATAGGCCAGTTAGCCCATCCTGATGAATACATCTGGAATTGAGCATGATGGTTTCTAGGGTCGACCACGTGAATAATGATGGTGTGTACTGCTAGCAATGGGACTGACAGTCTATATTATTAAAAATCCTTTCCCTCCTCCCCACACAACATCCAGGTTGAAGTCGGTTTTAAAAGTTATGATTCTTAAATGGTTTCACTGCTAATCTTTTGGGGTTACAACCTAGAAAGCCGGGGGAGGGACTGTTAGGAAAGGATAGGTTATTCCCCATTGCTATCAATATACCCCATCAGGTCGACCTCCACGTGGTTCCCCCTGGAAACCATCGTGACTAATATATCGTTGAATTCGTCACGATGTGCTAACTGACCTGTCTTTTCATCCTCATTTATCATCTCTCACTGGTGCCCCGCCAGTATATACCGATAACGCAGGCGGGATTACCATTTCATTATCATCCATTAAAAAAAAAAGTCTAGAAAGCCAAATTAGGAAAATGATAATGGAAGCATTCCATGTCTTGGTACTGTACACCGCGCGAGGGACTCGATATAAAGACATAATTATGTATTTACCCATAAAAATTATCCGTCCAAACAGACTTCTCTCATGAGGCGGTAACCACTTGTCGAGCAATGCCCGGTTTGCTGGCGACACACATGCCTGTGACATTCCCATAAACAGATGCATCCCAGACACAGCCAACACATTCCCCTGAAAATATAATTCATTCTATGATTATCAATGAATAGACATGGCCGTGTGAAGAGGCGACTAAGGGAGGGCGAAAGATGGGTAGCAGTGTCCCTCTTAACACATCTCCAAGGCCTAACTGCAGTTCCTTGCCTGCCAAACATGACAACTACTGGCAAAACTTCCCTTATGGGGAAGGCTTATGTTTAGCAATGAATAGTTAAAGGCTGGAATGAACAGTGATCAGGTAAGCCGTATTAGACGTGGGTTATAACAGGACAAACTTAATATCTGTTATTACTGATACTGTTATGCAATAATAACAGGCACCAATAACCGTTATTAAATAACAGGTGTTATTTTTTTCAACCACGGCCCTTTAGGGAGAAATTACATACAAATATGAGTTTAAGTATAATAAATACTAGGTGCATCTCGTTTTAGCAACAGTACATCAAATGGGTGTGAGCGAGCTAGATTAATCAACCAAATAACAGATAACACGATCTAATTAAGAATTTGCTTTTCAAAGAGGATTTCTTCTTATGAAACGACTTACAATTATTCTGGTTTATTTCAAATAAATACTAGGTGTGTCTCGTTTTAGCTTATGACAATATTATATAAAGAACAAAGACGAGAATAGTTGTTTCATTTTTATTGGCTGTTCTGTTATTTCAAGCAATGTTAGTGACTGAATAATTAAAGTATGGTGATTTATAAATGATATTTTTTAACAGTTATAATGACGTTGTAAGAACAACTGTAATCTGTTATCTTCGAATACTTGTGATTTATATCTGTTATGATAAATACGCTTCATTCCTAATCCGTATGGTGATTTGACTCATATGTTATAAAAAAAAAGAATTGTTTTGCTATGGCATGGTGAGTGGTTTTCTTATTTTGGAAAATATAGAATGTAAATATCTTATATCCAATATTTTACCAATATTATCCTAATACTGACTTTATTTATTACGGTCGGCATTGCGACACACAATCCACCGTTCAATAGAAGAGCCACGGCCAGCGTGTATTTGCCTCCGATCCTCTTCAGAAACAATTCTCCGGGCACCAGCATTATTGCGTATCCCATAAAAAAGGAATATAATACCACGCCTTGTGTTTTTCTATCCCAATTTTTGATCTGAAATACATTTTTGGATATACAAAACGATGCCAATTCCAAATTTTGTTTTGTAAACTAGCCAAGTGAGAGGGGATACGATTCTTTGCTGCAGTGTGTTGTCTAAACAGCTTGATGGATTGTTATTAATGAGATATCGATAGATTTTCCTTAATCATGAAAGTGTTGTAGGTTATAACGACGATAATGTCCTATTAATGTAATAAATGCGAAAGTTTGTAAGGATAATACAATAAAATAAATAAAAAAATATAAGTGTTTATTTGGGAATCTTAGCTTAATTTACAGTTTTTTTAGGATCGATAAAGTTACAAAGAGACTGTGTCGCAGCTATTAAAGCCCGCTCCATAACATGGGGTACAAAATTTAAATAATAATAACACAGGGGAAAAGTTAATACAATTACTAAAAATAAAATAATCACAGAATTTGTGTGTGTGTGTGTGTGTGTGTGTGTGTGTGTGTGTGTGTGTGTGTGTGTGTGTGTGTGTGTGTGTGTGTGTGTGTGTGTGTGTGTGTGTGTGTGTGTGTGTGTGTGTGTGTGTGTGTGTGTGTGTGTGTGTGTGTGTGTGTGTGTGTGTGTGTGTGTGTGTGTGTGTGTGTGTGTGTGTGTGTGTGTGTGTGTGTGTGTGTGCGTACGTGCGTGCGTGTGTGTATGTGTGTGTAAAGGATGGATAGATAAGTAGATGTTTGTTACTCTTTCACGCATAAACTACTGAATGTATTCGAATGAAATTTAGTACCCAAGTAAGTTATATCTTAACTTAGCGCATAGCACACATTATGTATTAATTCATATGTTTTAGCTAGAAAATTAATAAATCTAAAAATCACTAGATGTTTTTAAACTGCCCAAATTAAAATTTGATCGTATTATATTTGGTAGTTCATTCCATCTCTTTTCGTATGATTGTATTATGCAATCTTATAATAAAGTTATTTCGTATACGAAATATTATTAAATTTAAAGTTGGACGTAATTTATTTATTTATATCAAATTAACAGAATACAAATTAATTACAAAACAATAATAAGATAAATATTACATAACATAGTACCAAATTTATATTCCAATAACGAGTCTGCATAACATTGACTGTATGGATGTGTCTCGTATCGTAAGTGGGTGTCGTAAGAGTCGACTAAGGGAGGCCAAGGGATAGGTAGCAGCGTCCCTCTTAAAACATTTCTAAAGCCTGACTGCGGCTTGCCAATTCACCTGCTAAGCGTGGCACCTACTGGCAAAACCCCCTAAGGAGGAGCATTATGTTCAGCAGTGGACGATTAAAGGCCGATATGATGATGGTGATAAAATGACTATTATAAACATCACGAGAATTGAATTAAATTAACAAATTGACAGATTTGTATTGTCATAGTTATATTGTACTACAGGCTAATTTTGTTTGAGGAAATAAAGTTTTTATTATTTTTTAAATTCTACAAAAATTCACATCTCTCAAGGAGAGGAGGATGGCAAACTAACCCCCGGCAGAAGCACAGTCGGCCGGGGTTCAGGGCTCCAGGGAGAGAAACCGGCGTACAATGCGGGTAGAATCTAAGAGCATCGCTTTCTGCATCTTTCCCGGGAGTGAGCCGCCTCGGAATCCCAACCGTCTGAGATGTTGTTCCAGTCTGGTTGGGATAAGACCGTTCACCGACAAAACGATTGGAATGATTTCGGTAGACGCCACTCCCCATTATTATTATATTATATACATTTGAGACAATACTCGTGTTTGTTAAACTATGTTTAGAATAATATGTATTTTTGCTGTCATAATTGTTTTTTGTATATATATGTAACCTATTGTATATTAATAATATAAAGAGGAAAGATTTCATTGTTGGTTTGTATGGATAAACTCAAAAACTTCTCGAACGATTTTAAAAATTCTTTCACCTATAGAAAGCTACATTATCAGTGATTAATATAAACTATGTATCGCCATAACATAACATTAGGCATGTATAATATATCGCCGTGTAAGTCCCGGCATAGTATGGTCCATCCCTTCCTTTCCCGTGGGTGTCATAAGAGGCGATTAAGGGAGCATATGGTAGAGAGATGGTAAGCAGCGCCTCTCTTAAAACATATGTAAAAGCCTAACGCCCACGCTTGGTAGGCAGTTGCCAACCCGCCTACCAAGCGTGGCAACTACTGGCAAAACTCCCCTTATGGGAAAGGCTAATTTTTAGCAGTGGACAGTTGCTAAATTAATAATATATATATAAAAAATAGGTTATATATTGTTTTCTAAAAATATATTTAACCATTCGAAGTCGGGCCAAATCACAAATAATAGTAAAAAAAGTGGTAACACCTGCCTGTATGTACGTATCATTGATTCGTGACGTGTCAGTGACGGCGAGCATGGCAACACCAGGACTCACGCGTAGAACGCCCATGGCACCGCATATCAAGAACATATACAGCAATTGAATGTGACGAATGCCAATCCTGAACTCTGGAATCGATTTTGCATTTGAAAAAATTTACAAAGTATTTTTTTTATACCACTGAGGTGGCAAACAAGCATACGGCCCACCTGATGGTAAGCGGTTACCGTAACTGATGAACGTCTGCAATACCAGGGGTATTACGCGCGCGTTGCCGACCCTAAAGAAACCTCTTTACCCCTCTTTTGAAGAACCCCATGCTGTAGTCTCTTAGGAAAACCTCGGCAGGGAGCTAAACTAATTTTACTAAATTTTTCAGTTCAGTACAGTTCTAAAACCTTCTATATTAACCATCAATATCCGACTGCTATTTAGTCCACGCACATTTTGTACAAAGTACATTTATACAGCCCCAAAGGCTTAATTGCGGTTGCTAACCCGCCTGCTAATGGCAAATAATAGCAAAACTCCCCTTTTGGGAAGTGCTTATGTCCAACAGTGGACAGTTAACGCCGGTAATGATGATGATGATGATTTATATTCTATGATATTAATATTTTTTTTTATACAACTTAGAATGGCAAACAAGCTGACGGCCCACCTGATGGAAAGTAGTAACCGTCGCCTATAGACATGAGCAGTACCATGGACATAACAGAGTATACTGTTTCGCCCGTGATACTCCCCATGCGTTGCCATTCCTGAGAACTCAAATGTTATTCCTTTGTACACTGTAAATTCACGCCAAATCCCACCCTTCAAACCGAAACACAGCCATGCAAACACAACTGCTTCACGGTAGAAACACGAATGGGACAGAGGTACCCAAGCAATCGACTTTTGTACAAAGTCTCCCTCTGGTATTATCCGTACTACTAAAAGATTTGGCTTGTAGTTTTACGACCGGCCGCCTGCCTGACGTCAACCCTCTTTGTGAATACATTTGTGATGGTTTTCGCCACCTACGGTTTGGAGGAAAGGATTGAGAAAAAAGGAAGGAAACGTTGGAAATGCGTAAAGAAAATTAGTAAATGAGAGGAATACGGGACTTATGTGGGAGAGGAAAGGGGGGACACTGCAGTTGCGGGAAGGATTGGGACACTGCAGCAGCTCGGGAGGCCGGGGTCGCATACCCGTATGCCCTTATTCTAGAATCGGACAGATTTCTAGAGACAAACGCCCCTGACGCCTGACGAATTTTCACTCATTGATACATATCAAATGTTCATTGTAATATTTGTCTATGTAGATCGAGACTAATAGAAAAGTTTATTATGAATTGGCTACTACGAGAATTTAATACAAGAGCATATTTACTCAAGACAATGTAGCCGTCACTCAATCACATAATTCCCAACCTTACTTACATACTATTTTTATATGTAGCACAAAATTTCATTCATGGAAATATATTGTTTCGAAACAAGTCCAACTTTTGTATAACAATCCCTGTCTGATACGGTGGAAACTTTGAGTTCGTTTAATAATGAATATACAGACATATAGTCCCTGTATAGAATAGGCCACCCCTTTCTTTCCTGTGAGCATTTTTTTAATGGGTGAGAATGGAATGGTAACCCCTGTGCTATCGGTGTACGATGGCAGAACACCAGTGAAGGATGATAGGTGATGATGATAGCAGGTCAGTTAGCCCATCGTGACGGTTTCTATGGGTATTCGAGTATTCTGACACTTCCCTATGGTTGACTGGGAGAGAATGCTTTTAGCACTAAGTCCGCCATGTACACATATTTGTACTAATGAATGAATAAATAAAATCGCATGGAGGTCGACCTGATAGGGTGTATTGCTGGCAATGGGTCAGTTAGATCCCATTACTAACAATCCGTTTCCCCTGTCCCGTGAGTGTCGTAAGAGGTGATTAAGGGAACTTAATCGTCGAGAGATAGGCAGCAGTGTCGCTCTTAAAATATATCACTTAAGACTAACTGCGTTTGCCAATTCGCTTACCAAACATGGCAACTACTGACAAAACTCCCCTTATGGGGGACGCCTGTGTTCAGCAGTGGATTTGTTTTTAATGGATGATAATGGAATGATAACCCCGCCTGTGCTGTCGATATACACCAGTGAGAGATGATAGGTGATGATGAAAGCAGGTCAGTTAGCCCGTCGTGACAAATTCAACAATGAATCAATCACGATGGTTTCCAGGGGGAACCGCGTGGAGGTCGACCTGATAAGGATTATTGTTAGCAATGAGGTTGCCAATCCCCATTACTAAAAATCCCTTCTCCCCCCAGCAGTGGACAGTTCAGGGCTGATGCATTGGTGATACATGACTTACTGTAGTTTCTGTTACGAGGTACATCATCTGCATTTTGATATTTAATTAATTCCACATCCATTTCTGTTTGTTCGCGTTTCCTCTCGACCTAAATAGAAAAATATTTATTTAAGCAAGAAGATATTATATATTGCTTATATTTAAGGTTAGAATTTATATTTCTTTATTATTTTTAAAACTGATGTTCATTTATCGACGATGTATATATATATATATATATATATATATATATATATATATATATATATATATATATATATATATATATATATATATATATATATATATATATATATATATATATATATATATATATAAGGCCGTCAGAAATATGAGAGTGATGCTTCTAAAATTATATGTATTGTAAACAACGTTTACTAGACGTAAAACGTACTTCAATGAAACGATCCATTAATTTATGAATTTATGATAATTCTCACAGCAATTAATGAAATTAATTAAGAAATATGTTGATTACTTACCTAATTATTATCGCGTTTAGTTCTAGCACTTTATTATTTAATAGTTAAGTATATGTTTTTCATCGATAGTTATTTCCGTATTCACTTCTCTGTAGTATTGGATGTTCACACAAAAGTATTTTATAATGTTATAAAAATTTTCACGCATATACAAAACAGGTCCTTCGCCAGTCGAGCCATTGAAATGTTTAAACAATAACAGTAACAAATCTTTTAAATTTAACTATCTAATATAAATATTACAATGACTACTTAATGTGTAAAGTTGTGTATGTGAATTTAAACCTTTTACGGTTGGAATAAAATATAATTTGTTTAAATAATATCTCTTTAGTAATATTACAGCGTAATTATTAAGTAAACACATTGTAAACGATTCGTCAATAAGATCAGATAAGATTGGTGACTTAAGTAAGGTATTATGCAAAATAATTATTATAATAAAAACCCATTGAGGTACCACGTGTCCTTATAAAAGGGGGATATTGGCATATTATTACTGCGCTGACGGGGCACCTTGGTATAGGAGTAGATTTAACCCTTAACTGGTATGGTGGGGGCCGCGCGACCCCCACGCATGACATTTTCTTGGTTTCCTACTAAACTAAGTATCGTGTGTAGCCACCATTTTAAGTATGACTGACGTTCGGCGCTGCATCACTTACTAGGAACCAGGTATGCACATTATGGGGTCCGCGCGGCCACCACGGTACCAGTTACGGTAGTTTTTTGGCGTGGAAATTTTATTTGTTTTGTATTTTTTTTTTTACAGTTATTTAATTAAGATGTCGAAGATTTTTAGTGATGAAACAATAGAAGAGATCTTGAACGAAGATTCTGACTGGAAATCACTGATTGATGGCATGCCAGAAGAAGGATGTAGCGTAATGTCGTTCCTCCAAGCCAAAGTGTCTTAAAAAGAGGACGCTGTCACAGTGTGTAAGTGACAGAAAAAAAGATAGAAAATTTGCTACAAAGTGCAATAATTGTTTATAATTTATTTGCAAAGTTGATAGAAGCACAAAAACACTATGTGATCAAGACTGAACAATTTCGTAATTGTATTCATGAGTACTATGATTGGAAGTGAGTTTAATTCATGTTGCTTTTTGTGAAATGTTAATTAAAGACTATCAAGTGTTGTTTTTTTTTTAAGTCCATGTATTAAAGATTAAGTAAAACGTTATTAGTTTTTATCATACCTTTCCAAAAAGAAACCACCACTTCTCCACCTGATGGAAAGTGGTAACCGTCGCCTATAGACATGAGCAGTACCATAGACATAACAGAGTTTCGCCATGCGATGCCATTCTTGAGGATTCAGGTGTTATTCCTACGTACTCAGTAAATTCACGCCATATCCCACCCTTCAAACCGAAACACAGCCATGCAAACACAACTGCTGTACGGACAGAGGTACCCAAGCAATCGACTTTTGACCAAATTCCCCCTCTAGGGTCCAAAACAGATACTCAAAATTTTAAAATGGACCTACCAGTCTAAGTGGGATACTATGTAAAAGAGCTTCGTCTGTACATTTTAAGATTGATTTTTATTTATTTTTATGCTACATAGTTTTTTTAGTTATGACCGAAAATATAAGAAAAACGATTCCTCATGTCCGTTTCTGAAAAAAAGAATCCGAAATAATTACAGTTCCTAATATGTGTGAATATTACAGGAAAAATAAAACAATGTTTTTATCAAGCATCGTTTCTGAGAAATTATCAAACGACCTCCAAACATTAACAAAATTTTGCGGTTAGGTTTCTGGTCATATTTAACGGCCTAATTAAGATATTACTAATTCAAATTACAATAGTAATAATTATTAGGTATCTATTTGGTATAAAAAATATAACTAGGAGGTTTTTTTTATGCAACTTAGAACGAGCTGACAGCCCACTTAATGGAAAATGGTAACCGTCGCCTATAGACATGAGCAGTACCATGGACATAACAGAGTATACTGTTTCGCCCATGATACCCCCCATGCGTTGCCATTCCTGAGGACTCAGGTATTATTCCTCTGTACCCTTTAAATTCACTGCCATATCTCTCCCTTCAAACTGAAACACAGCCATGCAAACATAGCTGCTTCGACGTTGAAGCACGAATGGGACAGAGGTGTAAACGACTTTTGTACAAAGTCTCCCTCTGGTGAGACTTTGAAAGAATTAATGATACGTCGTATTCCTTATATCTTATCACAAATATGTTCTAATTATAAATAAAACGACATTTAAATTGATTTATTAAAAAAATGTTCTCAAATTAACATTAACATATCAAATTGTTTTGTCCATGTTTAATTTTTCTTCCTTTTTCTCTTGCATTTTGAAAGGTTTTGTTTCCTCTGTAAAAGGAAAAATACATATTAATCATACAGGCATCACTACATAGTATTATATATAACAAAGTCGGGGGGGAAAGGGGTTGTTAGCAATGGAATTTGACAGTCCTATTGCTAGTAATATGCCCCATTAGGTCGACCTCCACGTGGTTCCCCCTGGAAAACATCGTGAACAATTCTTGTTGAATTCGTCACGATTGGCTAACTGGCCTGCTTCATCCTCACCTATCATCCTTCACTGGTGCCCCGCCGGTGTATCCCGTTAGCGCAGGTAGGCTTACCATTCCATTTTCACCCATCAAAAAAAAAACAAAGTCGCTGTCGCTGTCTGTCTCTCCCTATGAATGCTTAAATCTTTAAAACTACGCATCGGATTATGAAGCAGTTTTTTTAGTAGATAGATAGATTCAAGAGTAAGGTTTATATGTATAATACATGAATAATATTGTAAAGGAACATTGATAAATTTAAACGTTTCTAATGCGATGTGATGTAATGTGCACCCGTGCGAAGCCGGGGCGGGTCGCTAGTTATAGATAAAATGATTGTTAATGACTTTGCCAGAGTAGAGTTTAGCGATTACCGAGTTTTATATCTTTATTATACAATTTTAAGAAATTTGTTAATAGACATACAATGGTTTATAAAAGTTGGGAAGTAACGGGGTCAATGAACCTGATCAAAATGTTAAGATAACCCAAATAAATTATTATAGTTTACCTAAATTTTTTTTATTAAACTTAGAATGGCAAACAAGCTGACGGTACACCTGATGGAAAGTAGCAACCGTCGCCTATAGACATGAGCAGTACCGTGGACATAACAGAGTACCTATATTGTTTTGCCCATGATACCCCCCATGCGTTGCCATTCCTGAGGACTCAGGTGTTATTCCTCTGTACTCAGTAAATTCACGCCATATCCCACCCTTCAAACCAAAACACAGCCATGCTAACACAACTGCTTCACGGTTGAAACACTAATAGGACAGAGGTACCCAAGCAATCGACTTTTGTACAGTCTCCCTCTGGCATTAATTCTTGTCTCTTATAAACCGTGACGTTCCAAATACGCATCTCCATAGGTTTTTTTTTAAATAAAATAAATCAAATAAGGTAATTTATCTAGAAACTTAATAATCATATTATCATTTTAATCCGCCTATGGGGGGGGGGGACTCGTAGACTGCCATAAGAAATGGTTTAGCGCCACCTGCATCCTGATTAATTAAAACTTACTAATATGTGTAAATAATACCCACCTGGGTCAGCTTTTTTCTTGTCCAAATAATTAGGATCGTCCCATTCTTGCCTGTCTGTAGATCCAAATATCAAGTAGTACACGTTGGCGGCCGTACATAGAACTGCATTGGAAAGAAATACAATACGCCAGCGGCTGACATCTGTCTGCAAATAATATTTTTTATATACCACTTAGAATGGCAAACAAGCTAACGACCCACCTGATGGAAAGTGGTAACCGTCGCCTATAGACATGAGCTATAGATATAACAGAGTTACAGTTTCTCCCATGATACCCCCCATGCGTTGCCATTCCTGAGGATTCAGGTATTATTCCTCTGTACTCTGTAAATTTCTCGCCATATCCCACCCTTCAAACCGAAACACAGCCATGCAGACACACCTGCTTTACGGTTCAAACATGAATGGGACAGAGTTATCCAAGCAATCAACTTTTGTACAAAGTCTCCTTCTGGTAATAAATATAAATAACAATTAAAGAAGTACCAGAGAAAGATGATGGAAACGGTTTACACCATTGAAATTGAGAATTCTTGGATTTTTTTTCTATAATGAATTTAAACAGGAAATATTTCTAATTTCCTGATTAGAAACAGTATTAGTCATTATGCTAGAATCTATATTTGACATTGACTTTTTTGTTATGATGACAATATCTCTATATTGTATACTAGCGGCTCGTCCCGGTTTCGCACAGGTGGACATTTTTACATTTTAAAAAGTAGCCGTTAAGGCTGCATACGCGACGAAATCTTAAAAATGGAGTAACTTCTCCCGTTTTCCCAACATCTCCCTTCACTGCTCTGCTCGTATTGATCATAGCGTGATGAAAAGTATACTATAACCTGCCCAGGAGTATGAAGAATAATTGTACCATGTTTCGTTAAAATCCGTCGAGTAGTTTTTGTTTCTATAACGAACATACAGACAGGCAGACAGACAAAAATTTTACTGATTGCATTTTTGGCATCAGTATCGATCACTAAGTATCCCTTGATAATTATTATGGAAATATATTTCATGTACAGAATTGACCTCTCTACAGATTTATTATAAGTATAGGTAAGATATGTCTATATAAAGTTGTGTATACCACAAAGCTAATATAAAAGCTTTAGCCTCCAATATTTGTAAATAGAAGGAAATACTTGACAATGATAGATAACTTACAGAATCTTGTCCAATAATAGCACTAGCTGCGAGCGTCATCGATACAGCACCAATATTGGATATAAAGTTTGACAGGGACATTATTATACCAGCATTGTTTGGGGACAGATCTAATTGATTGACCTGTAATAGAAAATATAATCAATAATAATTATTTTAAATAATATAAGATAGAATATTTTTAAAATAATTTTGAATAATGAAAATCCTGTAGAAGCACACTTTATCATAAAAATTGTTATTCAATGACAATCAAAATTTATAATAAAATACCAAAAAGTACACGAGAACTGCCATTTAGAAAATTTAAAGATTCATTAAAACATTGGCTTGTTGAGGAGTCCTTTTACAGTGTGCAAGAGTTTTTGATACAGAAAGGTAAACAACCTACTTGAATTACCTATCGTGTTACAATGCAGCTGTCATCAATAGTTCACGATTTGACAGTGACATTTCTTTCTTTGTTATTGTTGACAAGTGTCTGACATTCTTTGATGTATTATTTTTATTTAAAATATCGAATTTTAATGACTCATTTAACATTTATTCTTTTTAAGTTTTAATATTTGCACGCCTAATTATGGCGAAATATAAGGACTTATACTTATTGTAACATCTATACACTTACCATGTTTCTTGTAAATAAATAAATAATAAATAAACGTGCATATTTCCAACGTGAACGAGAAAGAATTTGATGTAAGACGTAGTAGAAAATTGAATATAAATAATAAATTATTTCAAATAATGCTACAGACATTAATATTAGATATACATGAATATTTATAAGATTCATTTTATATCTTTATCGTATCAGCCATTTACTGTCCACTGCTGAACATAGATTTCCCCTTGAAAGTTTTCCAGTGGGTGCTGCGCTTGGCAGGCGGATTAGCAACCGCAGTTAGGCTTTAGATATGGTTTAAGAGGGACACTGCTGTCCGTACCTCGCCCTTCCTTAGTCACCTCTTGCGATACCTATGTGAAAGAAAAGGGTAGCCTATGCTGAGATCACGGCAGATACGGCAGATTTTATATGACTCTATATATATATATACCATATAGTACTAGCGGCCCGTCCCGGTTTCGTACGGGTGGACATTTTTACATTTTAAAAAGTGGCCATTAACGCTGCACACGCGACGGAAGTTTAAAAATGAAGTAACTTCTCCCGTTTTCCCAACATTTCCCTTCAGTACTCTGCTCCTATTGATCGTAGCGTGATGAAAAGTATACTATAACCTGCCCAGGAGTAGGAAGAATAATTGTACCAAGCTTCGTTAAAATCCGTCGAGTAGTGTTTGTTTCTATAACGAACATACAGACAAACAGACAAAAATTTTACTGATTGCATTTTTGGCATCAGTATCGACCACTAATCACCGCCTGATAGTTATTTTGTAAATATATTTCATGTACAGAATTGACCTCTCTACAGATTTATTATAGATATAGATTAGTTCTAAAAATACAATCAATACGCGTAGGGTAATGGTATTGTTTCTAAACCATTTTCGATATTGTTCTGCATCACATAGCTAACAGCAGTTGTCATTTTAGTTTGTCGAAGATACAGTTTACCACTTGCAACGTACATAAATCCTCTTATCAAATTTATGAAGCTATGAATAGTCATTGTGATCCAAGTGACACAATGCCCGACCGTAAGACTCAGGACCCAAGCCCGTCCGGCTCTCATTGATAGACTACATTGTGACATCATATCAACGATATAAAATGTATATTTCCAAACATAAAGCGATAACTGCATTGAACTGAAGTAATAAAAATTACTTGAACAGCAATAACACTTTATAGGCGACTTTTTCTCGTATCGAGCTGCCCAGTGGAACAAACTCCCTTCCCACATACAAGAGAGTTCTTCTATTACCTCTTTTAAGAAAAGTTTGAAATTACATTTTATTTCATTTGTGTTTTAATTTCTTTATTTTTCTAATTGAATTGTCAAATCTTTTTTTTTTTTATACAACTTAGAATGGCAAAAAAGCTGACATCCCACCTGATGGAAAGTGGTAACCGTCGTCTATAGACAGGAGCAGTACCATGGACATAACAGAGTATACTGTTTCGCCCATAACGCATGGCATCTTAAAAGCATTAAGCCAAATTTTTAATGTACGTAGTATATTCATTTATTTTGACATTTATTATATAAGTAGGTAGGTATTATATTTATTTATAGTATATGTATTTATGTAATATTTTATTATATATTTTAATATTTTTTTTAACTGTACTGTTTATTTAACTGTATATTTGTTTATGTATTTTAAAGATTAATAGTTGTAGCAATTCAGCTGCCCGCTAACGACCTGTTTTCTAACTGTATTGGGTTGGCTGGAAGAGATCTCTGTTCAAACTTGCTCACAACATCTATAAATGCTATATCACATGCAATTTACAAGTGCAATAAAGAATATATATAAAATCCTGATTAACAAAATTGTGAAAAATTTAAAATTTCACAAGAAATAAAGTAAATGTTTTTAGAAGATGCATAACAAAGCCCAGCAAAAATATTGAATATTTAGTAGGGAATAAAGAATCGAGGTATAGTACATTACTGCAGCGGTCAGCAACTGAAGTATTGATGGACGAACGTGCAGATGTGGGCCGAAGCGTAGCCGAGGCACACATACGTGAGTCCATCAATGCCTAATTGTTGCCAAGGCTTGTATAGCACTTTTCTCAAACAACGCGCGGAAATCAAAAACACAATTTTACTGTTTAAGTTCAATTTGCAAGCAAGTTCGAAATTTAAATAAAATCTTTTACTAGTTACCTCCTTGGTAGCCATGTTTCGAAGTAAAAGGTCATTCCATTTTTAAATTACAGAACAGATATGTGTTTATATAGTAATTTATCTGGCCGCAAAAAACGACAGATACGGATTTTCATACAACTTTTGCCGGCCGCTGCTCGCATGTATCTAGCCAGCACGGCAATTTAGATTAATCTCTAAGAAGATTGTCAAAATAATGCTCACATTTCCAAGCATGTTTGAGAAAAAAGAATTAAACTTACTATGAATCCAGCCATTGTAAAGCCTCCTAATGTCATCGCTCCGATGAGTGCTATTACAGCAAACGTTGCATGTCGAGGACCCAAGAAGGATAAAATGATTAAACCGGTGGAAACTCCAAACATACCTGAAAACCATTTAATATTAAATAAGTGGTAAATAATATTGCTATCATTATATTTTTATATATTAATATCAGCTGTCTATCGCCTAATGCTGAATATAGGCCTTCCCCATAAGAGGAGTTTTGCTAGTTTACAGTTACAGTGTTCGGCAGGAAGATGGGCAATCACAGTTAGGCTTGTTGTGGTTTAACAAGGACGCTGCTGCCCATCCCCTGATCATTACGTTCCTTTCCTTCTTTATTGTCCATTTGTAAAAATCTATCCATGGCCTATATTGACTTTGAACATTACCATTCAGTAAGCCATTTCATCTTGAAATCTAATAATGTTTGTAAAGAACTACCTACTTGGGTCAGCTTTTTTTCTTGTCCAAGTATTAAGGTCCCTTGACCAATGAGTTCTTTTAGTTGCCTCATACGATACTCACGGGAAAGTGATAGAATAGGCAGTCTATTCTATGACGTGTGGTCCCAATATGCTATCTATTCTATGGTGGGACCACATGGCAAATACTGTATTATCAAAATATTGACTACCAGTATACATATTATTATGAATAGATAAATGATAAAAAAAAAACTATATGAATGCATAACACCTTTTCCCTCAATTATAGAAATTTTTATTTTCTTTTTAAATAATAACACAGGATAGGTCGTTATATCAGATTCTAAGGTACCATTCCTTAAATTTATCTCTGAAATGATTTGGACCACAAAGAAAAGTTCTAACGCAATTCCACTAAAAAAATTATACTGGTTCTTAAAATAATACTTTTTTATGATGATTTCATGAAAATAAATAAATGTATTCAATTTCTTACCGATAGAATTAAATGTCTTCCTACAAGCGTTTCGTGTTAAGATTCCCGTATTACAGAGTTTCTCTGAAACGATAGCAGCAATGAAACCTGCGGCCCACATGCCGACGTATGGGAATGCAGACAATACTGAACTCTGCATACAAATAAAACATCGTTATTAAAATTCATTGCATAGATAAGTTTTTACATTTGCAATCTTAGATGCATTCAAAGAATAATAAAGGAAGAATATAAATAATACGTAAAGTTCTGATACAATTTTCTTGATTTTAATATCATAGATAATTTAGAGCGATAACTAAAATAAAATAGCAACCTTACATTTTTCAAGGATATGCCCAAAGCACTTTCCATGTACATTGGCATATCAACAAACACTATCATGAATGCCGAAGCGAAACCGAGATGCGGCAATAAAGTAGCAAGCAGAGGCTTCGAAGTTAATATCACTCGCCATGGAATCCGTAGCTTGGTCTGAAAATTAAAAACAAATATCAATGTCTAACATTTTTTTAAAACATATTAATTATGTTTATTGTTATAGTTTTATAAATATACGTCTATCTATCCTATTTGAGAGCTGCGTTCTTGTCGGTGGAGCTCTTGCCACTCATTACGATTGTCAGCGAGTCTTTTCACCTCTTGATACGACACGACACCAATTCCTTCCTTGATCTGCCTAATTTAACTATACCATGGTCATCCTCTTCCCCTCCTTCCTTCTATCTTATCTTCTATTATAATGTTCATAAGTTCGTCGTGTCGTATCAAGGGTTATATTTTTTTTCCTTCTGTATGTAAATATACGTAAATGATGACAATAATAAATGACACGTAATCAAATCAATGACTTGATATACAAGCTAGGATACACTGTTATTGGAATCAAGTATTATCTGGAGACACCTTAAACACCCAAACCTAAGCTACTTCGTATTTTTTTTTAAAGTAACGTGCTTAATACTGCGAGGTCATCGAAATTATTCTTGTTCGTTCTTGGCTAAAATTGCATTCCGGATGTTCGTAAAATAATGAAAAAAGTACTTTTCAAAAATACTTAAATCTAAGTTTACTCAATTAAAAATATATCTTACTTTTTTTCATTCCTAATAAACTGAAGTAAAAATAGCTTTTCTATATAACATAGGTATGTTAAAAATAAATTCTATAAATCTATAATAGTATACCGAAGAATTTCTTAATTTGGAACTCTGGAACTTGGGGGGGAAAGGGATTGTTAGTAATGAAGACTAAAAATCCCATTGCTAGCAATATACCTAAACAGGTCGAGCTCCACGCGTTTCCCCCTGGAAACCATCATGATTGATTGTTCAAGATGAATTCATCATGATAGGCTAAATGGCCTGTTTTCATTCTCATCGATCACCCTTCACTGGTGCTCCGCCAGCGTATCCCGTTAGCGCGGGCGGGGTTACCAATCCATTTTCATCCAACAACAAAAAATCTCTGGAACTACCGATTGAATTTGAAAAATTCTTTTTGCATTTGATAGCTCATTCTTTGTGGAAGATTTATAATGGGCTATTTACCAACATGACACGAGTATAATCGCAGGATATATTGAGATTCTGTTTTGTTTTCGATAATTGCTTTGGGAAATAGTCGATGAGGTTAGCAAAGAACTTTTATAGGAGACAACAAAATCGAGGCCTACATCCAGTAGTGGGTCAATATGGCTTATTAGATAGATAATTAGAAACATGCCTTCATTACTGAAGATTTAGATGATGATTTGGCTTTAGGCGAACTAAATTATGTATGAGTAAATGATCAATCTTTATACGTTATGCTAATAATATTTACCCCTGTATCTTTAATGTTAAGTCGAGATTCAATATAAATCCTTTCTTCTTTCGAGATAAACTTATGTTCTCTAGGTGCACTGGCTGTGAAGAAGTACCAGATAATCGCCACTGCGAATTGCAAGCCAGACATAGTGTAGAATATGGACTTCCAACCCATTGAGGTGTCGGCTAGTATACCTGATATTGGCATTGACAGTATTGTACCGATCTGAACACCTGAAATAATATTTGATATAATAGTTATTAGAAATGATTATTTGCATTAAGCATATATAGCAATATAGGAAATAAAAAAATATAATCCATTGATAATTGGTACACTTGAACGTTGATACGAGTATAAATATAGAAAGGCAAATAAGTGATAAGAAATGTAAAATAATAGTATAAGTATAAATGTATAGTATATAAATATAGTAAAATATGTAGTAATATAATAATATGTGTGATGTAGAAAGAATTGAAATGTTAATAAATGAGATGGATGCTAGGGACTTATACTAAATAAGTAACCCTTAGCATAAGAAAGTTGGTAATAAAAAAGTGGAAATATATAATATAGTTATATAATAATATAAAATAAATATATAATTATTGGAAAATAAACATGAAAATAGATAAATAAAGAAAAAGCTGTAAGATAAGGAATTATTAATCCATATAACATGACAAAACCAAAAACAAACTGATGCACAGACAGTGGGATGGGTGACGTGTAAACATCAATGCCAAAGGATTGTGGTCCAACCACTACCGGAAAACCTATGAACAAAGGAATTACGAACTCCACTAGGAAATAAATAAAAGTGACAGGAAATGAAATATAAACGGAGTGAAAGAATGGATGGAAAGAAAAAAAATTAAGGAAACTAGCATAAAAATTAAAAGTAATAGATGCTTAACCTGGAACTTAATATCCGGGATAAAGCGTGCTCCTAAGGGGGAGCCACAATAATATATATATATATATATATATATATATATATATATATATATATATATATATATATATATATAGAAAGGCGGACTTATTACTAAAAAGTAATTTATTCAAGACACATAAGATGATGTATATGTTTACATCAAACCGTTTATAATTACTCCTCTCCATCCACAGGTTGTCTGGCTGGATCGCTTTTAGCGATAAGGCCGCCCATTGTTTTCTCATTGTGATTATTTCTTGTAATTGTTTTTATTTATAATAGGTTTACTATTATAATCTTTTGGAGGAAACAATAAAGAGTATCTATCTAACTATCTACATGATGAAAACGCTTCAAATGTAGTATAAGATGAACTAGGTGGAGTGACGTCTTTAAATATATTGCAGGGAGTTATTAGATGCAGGTAGTTCGAAACGATGCCTTATGGCAGTCTACTGGTGAGGCTTATGTTCAGCAGTGGACAGTTAACACTTGAAATGATGGTACTGATTTACTGAATTTTTTTTTTTTTTAATATTTATGATACAGACACTAAAATTTCTATTTATGTTTATTAGAAACTTTCTCATAAATTTCAAATATTTGACTAATTCAATTGATTAATTACCTAATTTAATTTTTCTTTTAATAACACATCTTCTATTTCGAATGTATTAAGCAGTGTTATATAATTGTTTACACTAATCTATTTAAATCATAGTAATTTTCCTATGAATTAATTTTTTTGTTGAAATAATAAAAGTTTATAAAAAAATTCGAGTTGTTCAAGGATCCAAGCAATTTACAATTTATTTAATTTTACCAGAGGGAGACTTTGTACAAAAGTCGTTTGCTTAGATACTTCTGTTCCATTTGTGTTTCTACCATGAATCAGTTGTGTTTGCATGGCTGTGTTTCGGTTTGGGGGGTGATATATGGCAGTGAATTTACATGGTACAGAGGAATAATACCTGAGTCCTCAGAAATGGCAACGCATGTGGGGTATCAAAGACGAAACTGTTATGTCCAGGCTACTGCTCATGTCTATAGACGACGGTTACCATTTTCCATCAGGTGGACCGTCAGCTTGTTTACCATTCTAAAATTATATAAAATAAATTAACTTACAAATAAAAACGATTCTTAATATCAGCAATATGAATTATAACAATTCTAATCCAGTCGATGTTTACCTCCATACACAATACCGGAGTAAGATGTTTGCTCATTAGGGGGCAGCCATTGTCCAAGGAGAGTATGGCTCGCCGGGAAAAGGCAGGCCTGTGTCAGACCCATTGCAACACGAGACATGCACACTAGAGGCCAACCGCCCTGAAACACAGGTACGTCTTAACACTCTGTACTAATATTATAAAGAGGAAAGATTTGTTTGTTTGTTTTTGATAAATTCATAAACTCAACTGATTTTATAAAAAAGACTTTCATTTATAGAAACCTATATTGTTAATGAGAATCAGTAACCTATATTTGAAAAAATTTTGAAAATGGAATTTTTGAAAACTCTTTATTGTCATAAATAAACATAACGAATAGGTCGAAATAACAAAATAATTATACAATTCATGGCATTGGTTTAAAAATATAAAGGAAAGGTTTAGGCAATAAAAAAATTACCTACATCCACTCTTCTGGAGATGGACAAATATATCGTGCATGCTAATAGAAGTCTACGCAACAATTATAAAGAAAATTGCATAACAAACAGAAAAAAATCTTGATAAGATAAATTTCATACTTTTATAACACATTTTTGCAATGTAAGATGATTTATTTATTTTAATTGCAAACTCTTAGAACACAGATAATATTGTCTCTAGCATCTTCATTAGTATGTGTTCTTTACTTAACTTTATTTCGCAGTCTAGGTTTTAACCTATCATAATCTATTTAGTTTGATTAATTTAGTTCATTCCAATGACATTGTTTATTAAAACTAACATGAAGAGGATAAAGTAATTTCTTTTTTCCTCGTCATCCAAGTGAATACCTAATTTTGATTTTAAGTTCTGTCTAAAGTTTGGAAGCTGAAGGAGTAGTAAATTAAAATAGTGATAATGTGGTATTTTATCTTCTATACAACATTGTTGAAGAAAATATTGCGCGTTTTCGTAAAATTTAAGAAAGTCATGACCGTATTTATGTCTGTATGTGTGTATACGGTTGCATCTATTTCATAATCAATGCCATACATGTGTTCCAAACACTTGATTTCGCCATCAAATCATAATCAACTTATTGCTACTATTCGAGTCTGTCTATTAATCCTCTTACTCTTTGATATGAATATATTTAAGAAAGATTTGTATGTGCACGTACAAACAATTTGCAACCATGCCACGCCGAGACGTTTGCTTGTGTATTATTAATAGGTAAATATTATCACATCTTACCAACGCCGCCAATGTTGGAATGAGTAAACACAAAACCCCATTGGCTAACAAGGCAAATAACAGAATAATTTTTCCACCAAACTTTTTGGATAATATCCCAGCTGGTATTTGTAGCGTCGTGTAACCCCAAAAAAATGATGACAAGATGATATTCTGGGTTCTTGGGTCCCAGTCGTAAATCTGAAAGTGTTAATTTTATTTATTAGTCTTTGCGGTAATAGAGTAAAAATATCATTATGCCTTTTGCATCCCTAGGGAAATAAATGACATAAAATCTATGCAAGAGAAGAACAAGTTGATATAAAACACGGAATGGAAATTCCCTGTGCTTTGTCGTTCATCTGGAATGCAAATGCGTATTATTATTGTTACAGTATTCTACGATTTCCATGGTACTGTTCATATTTTAGACAATGGTTATTATTTTCAAACAGGAGAACTACCAAATTATTTGATATTGGCTAAAAAAAAAATAACTGATGAAAAATAGATCTCATGAACCTCGCATAAAATCCTAGATCATTTTTATCCAAATATAATGTAAAAACATAGCCAACCTATATTAATACCAGAGGGAGACTTTATACAAAAGTCGTTTGCTTGGGTACCTTTGTCCCATTCGTGTTTCTACACTGAAGCAGTTGTGTTTGCATGGCTATGTTTCGGTTTGAAGGGTGGGATATGGCGTGAATTTACAGGGTACAGAGGAATAACACCTGAGTCCTCAGGAATGGCAACGCATGGAGGGTATCATGGGTGAAACAGTATACTCTGTAATGTTCACGGTACTGCTCATATCTATAGGCGACGGTTACGACTTTCCATCAGGTGGCCCGTCAGCTTGTTTGCCATTCCAAGTTGAATAAAAAAAACCTGTACATTACAGTTAGCAATCATATTTATACTAGTTTATGCTTGTGGCCTTGTTCGTTTTTGACTTTCATTCTTTATTTTACCCCTTTAGGAATAAATTCATTAAAAGCCTCAAGTTCATAAAAATATTAACTGTTGCTCTGGATGAATTCAAATCGAATGTTTCACGTGTAAACTAAATAAATCAACTAAATTCCATAGAGACTTTCAAACCCAGTTTTAATCTCTTAGGAAATTAATTTTTATAAATTCCTTTTTTATCAGTCACCTACGCTATATAAATCTCATCATATATAATATTTACTTTATTCTTATTTGGGAAACAAACAGCAAAATTAAGGTACTTTCTTAATTATACAATACTATCATACCTACATTGTATAACAATTAGTCCATTACCCTAAGATTGTCTTGAAAAGATCGCTCTCAGCAATAAAACCGCCTCACTGTACTTATACAATTGTATCGTTGTGTTTGTAAATTGCCTTGCTTATTTCCTATAGGTATTGTACAATGCAAATAAAGTATACTCGTTTAGTCATTCATACTGTGCACGACGCACCTTTTTAGTTTCTTTTTTAATTTTATTAAAAAGATGTTTTGTATGTAATTTGAAGTCTGTGTCAGTTTAGTTTTGTTTCGTTCGCTTTTTGCTCCGTCGGATTGCTTTGAATATTTTTTATGTAATAATATTATCTTTCTAAAAACACCATGTTTCCATATCAGCATACAGTCTTTTCGCCCACACATACAATTAACAGATGAAATGTTATGTAGTAAATAATTATTAAGCAATAAATTTTCCACTATTAACTATACAGGCGATACTTACAACTATATTGGTGTCGTTTTTCCTTTTCACATCAGACATGGCTAGCACTGCCACGGCCATACTGCTTCTTGCCATAAATAAAACTGTTATGCATATTCCCATGCATAACATTTGCACATGTCGAAAACCGAGACCGTAGTCTGGAAATTTATTTTATTAGGTACACGTGAAAAGAAGGCATTGTTGCTTCTTTGATTAGAATTATTTTGTTTAATTCCGCTACCGTCAGTATACATGTGACTGTTAACACAAGAAGATTGATCACTATTATTACTACCAGAAGTTCTATAACCTTCGATATTAGCCATCAATCTCCGAATGCCTTTTTATTTGGCACTCAAACTGCGGAACGGTTAACAGGCTTCGAGCGATCTAATAATTTGCCAATAAATGCCTCATTTAAAGAAGAAACACGTGGTGCAAAATGTGCATGAACAAAATGGTAGTCGGAGATTGATAGTTAATATGGAAGATTGTAGAACTTCTGGTAATAGTTGTCTCGAATGTTGGCATTCATACATGTACTAATGGTAGTGGAATTAAACAAAATAATTCTAATAAAATAACTAGTGATATCGACTTCCGCAAGATAACACCTAATTCAATAAAATAAAGGCACTGTTAGACGACATGCTAGAAAGAGTTTTTTAGACTGTGACAAGGAAAAGAAACCGTGTTGATACCATAGCACAGCTAGTTTATAATTAGCAAAGATATCACGTTTAGTAAAACGTGTATAGTAATACAAATCATATAAGACAATATACATTATGATAGGCCTAAGATGAAACGTATCCAAATTTGATTTTATTTATTAACAAGTGTATGATGCTGGACTAGAATTAATAGTAACGTTTATTACTTTTTTTTTAAAGTATGATAATGCAATGGTGTCCTCGCCTGTGCTATCGTTATACACTTGCGGGACACCAGTGAGGGATGATAAGTGAGGATCAAGCAGGTCAGTTAGCCCATCGTGGCAAATTCACCAATGAATCAATCACGATGGTTTCCAGAGGGAACCGCGAGGAGATCGACCTGATAAGGTATATTGCTTGTAATAGGTGTGTTAATTCCCATTACCAACAATCCCATTTCACGCTCCTCCACAAAGTTATTAAACTAAACTAATTTTAAACGACAATGGCAAAGTGCCATTATATTATAACCATCCTACAAAATTTTGTTTATAACTCGAAAATAGTAATTAATTTTGTTTCAATATAATCCGGGTGCCGTTTTTGGTAATTGCCTTCTGATCTTAAAATTTTAACGAGTTAATTGAATAACAATTATAAAATTTTACTTTTCACCAAATCTCTATTCAAATCTTCCACATGTTTTTCCTGATCTTTTTCACTAGTCATCTTGTGTTCTTTTTATTTAATTAAACAATTAAAATTCACTTATCACTCTATTAATTTAGTACTTGTTAAAACGATCATGAAACGATACAGTTTCTGTACAATCTGATTTCCTACTAGTTACGGAGTCTGTTTATAGTAATGTAAAATAAAAATATAATTATATAGATTTGCAATGTTTGAACGCTACTGATAAATTACATGTGAGTAAATTAAAAGTTACAATGTGTGGCGTTGATATATATAGGATGTGTTTAATAATATTACTGGATAAGATAGTTGCTTCATCGTGTTTGTTCAAATAGACTCGTTTATAAGCACTTTTAAATCGTAAATTTTCTATGAATCTACTGCGAGGTTTAGAGAGTTGTTATCTGCTGAGAAGAGCCCGCAAGAAACTCAACAGTTACTATTTTAAATCTCTGTTAACGTTATGTTTGTTTCTTTAAATGCATATCTAAAATTTTTATGGTCATTAACACATTGACCGTCTTGTCAGTCACTATGGGGCTATGCGACGCGTAATTTTTCTCCGTTGGCGCTTTGTCAGTCACATGTGACTGACACATAAAAATCCTCGTAATTTCCCACAAAAATGCAACAAAGTAAATTAAATAAACATATCTCTACAATAATTTATTAAATATAACTTAAAAACGAAGATTTTTATGAAAAAAAAATATTGGCAGATAATGGGTTAAAAAGCCCGTGCACGATTGACTAACACCGTGCACATTTTTCATTCAAAGAATCGTTTAGTTTAAAATAGGCTTCGAACAATGTTTTCAATCGACTTTCAAAAGAAAGTTCTCAATTCGGCTGTATTTTTTTTGTTTGTTACTTCATAACTTCGTCAGTTCTAAACCGATTTGGAAAATTATTTTTTTATTTAAAAGCACATATTTCAAGATCGGTTCCATAGACATTTTACATAAATCGGTTTAGCAGTTTAATTTTTAAATAAAAATAACTGATTCTATCACAAATTGAGGTCGATTTATTTGTGGAATGCAGTTTTAAATATTTAAGTAATTTAAATTGAATTTTAGGTTGGGTGTTAATTAAATTGTTACTACTCAATTCGTTCATTCAATTTCCATCCCTTGACATCGCACAATACTCTTGTCACTTCATTTGTAGTGCCTATAGTAGGGAGACGAGTACGGAAGGGGGAGGTTGTTTATTGTATTTGTAAATCATTGTTACAACTATCATTCTTCTCATAGTTGCCGCCAGCAATCCTTAGAACAACAATTATATAAAATAATGTAATATTTAGAAATTTCTTAAATAATTTTGTTTTGGTTTTTTATTTAACTTTCTTTATGTTTATGTTTATTTTTATGTTTAAATTTTTCACTAATAGTTGCAACCGAATGGCTTTGTTGCAGTCGCATTTATTATTGAATCACGCTGTGTGCACATGTTGTGGCAAGTTTACCTGATACCCATTATGTACTTGCATATTATAATTTAAGTTTTTATTTGTAAACTTCTGTTATGTGCGCCTAATAAATAAAATAAAATAAAAAAATAAAGAACAATATAAGCCTTTAGTCACTTTAATTTTTCTGGGAATATCGTCGTTTCTGACTATTATTTAGTGAAAGTCAATAGCGAGCAAGGATCCTTTTTAGATTCTACAGTTTGATCAAACGAAACGTTATGATTGGAATAAAAATAAATCATTTTAATTCAAATACACTTGTTTACAAGTTCCTTTATATCATAATTTTTTATAGTTGCTTTGTTAGAGATTTTCTTATCTGCTAAATAAAAAAAAACCCTTAAAAAATCTAATGTTGTAATGATTCTGTCTATTTATTTATTTTACTGAATTACATAGGTGTTATCTTGCGTAAGTCCATATCACTGGTTATTTGGTTAGAATTATTTTGTTTATGCTGTGACTAGTACGTATGTATGTATGTAGCAGTACCATGGACATAACAAAGTATAGTGTCCATGGTACTTCTCATGTCTATAGGCGACGGTTACCACTCTCCATCAGGTGGGCCGTCAACTTGATTGCCATTCTAAGTTGTATAAAACAAAACAAAACGTAACAGAGTATACTGATTCACCCATGATACCTCCCAAGCGTTGCCATTCCTGTAGACTCAGGTGTTATTCCTCTGTACCCTGTAAATTCACGCCATATCCCACCCTTCAAATCGAAACACAGCCATGCAAACACAACTGCTTCACGGTTGAAACACGAATGGGACAGAGGTACCCAAGCAATCGACTTCTGTACAAAGTCTCCCTCTGGTAAAATCTCCGACTGCCATTCTGTTCACGCCCGTTTTGGGGCATGTGTTTTACCTGTAAACGAGGCAACTTCAAGCAAATTATTATATCGCTGCTTGGAGCCTAGTGTTAACCCTTTGCACTCGAGGCCATTTTCGCTTGCAATGTAAGCAGTGCCTAGTCCTCGAAAGTACTTCCGTGAAAACTATCTTATCGCATATTGTAAATAAGGAGATCCAGTTACAAAGACCATAGCGTCGTAGCAGCGTAGTTCGATTTAAAATTTTAAAACACTCGGGCGCCGCAGCAGCGCCGCTCGAGTTGCCACTTCGAATCGGCCGGGCGCCGTATCGGCGCCACTGGAATGCAAAGGGTTAACTGTTCGGTAGCTAAACTACGATATATATTTATTTATTTATTAACTTTTAATTCTAAGTTATATAAAAAAATTGTGCCACTTAAAGATAAATACAAAAATATATATTACGAGTATAATGCAATCTTTATAAAAAGTTTTTATGAAGTATAAAAAATTGTCCGATATTTATACAAAAAAAACCGGTCAAGTGCGAGTCGGACACGCGTAACGAGGGTTCTGTACAAAATCTTAAAAAAAATTGTGAAATAACTACAAATTTACAGTTTTTGGATTTTTTACTTTACACGTGCTACATGGTATTGCTTCTTGTCAAATTTCACGATTCTAGGCCAACTAGAAGTACTCTATACGTTTTGATTCCCTTTGCGAATGTCAAAATATGCGATATAAATGGAGCATAAACGGCGGTATCTTTTGATTGCGTCGATTTAGAAGCATGATTTTCTCATTGCTTGCAGAGATTACAGATATAAGTATGTAATACTAATTTTAATTTGATACCTCCACACATTCCTAAGAAGAGGGTCTTGATAGACGGACGGACGGTTAGATAACGAAGTCTATAAGGGTTCCGTTTGTTTTTTGGCGATACGGAACCCTAAAAAACCGTATAAAGTATTTCTCAGTCAACATTTTCAGACGGTCCTCTTCACACATCTCCAAACATTCGGATGAAAGATATTTTTCATGGGATCAACGCAAATAGAATGCTGTTGAGTAGTCGTTCCCTGGGCGCAATTAAAATTTTCCCCATCGAGAGATACGAGAAGGATATCTGTAACTTGTAAAATTTGTCCCATCCTTTTACCATTTAGTACACATATTTGTATGGGAAAAAATGAGATTTAATGAGGAAAGCTGCTATTCGTGTAGTTTTTACCAGAGGGAGACTTTGTACAAAAGTCGATTGCTTGCGTACCTCTGTCCCATTTGTGTTTCAACCGTGAAGCAGTTGTGTTTGCATGACTATGTTTCGGTTTGAAGGGTGGGAAATATATATGTACATGTAATATATAATTTTTGATTATGGAAGAAGGATTAATATACGAAAGATATTAATTAGATTAGGATTTATCTCTAAAAAACAATCTTAAAATAATTACAACCTGTATATTTATAAAATATGCAAGTCAGACAATTTTATCTGTACACTGTCTTAAAAAAATAATTTATTGTAGTGTTAAATAGAATTATCTCTCTCTTTTAAGTCTGTACGACTCTTGACAGTCTGGTCGTGGTCTTTATGACGATAGTGGATCGTCGATGAGCCCCTCGTTCGCAATATTTTTTTATACAACTTAGAATGGCAAACAAGCTGACGGCCCACTTGATGGAAAGTGGTAACCGTTGCCTATAGACATGAGCAGTACCATGGACATAACAGAGTAAACTGTTTCGCCCATGATACCCCCCATGAGTTACCATTTCTGAGGACTCAGGTGTTATTCCTCTGTACCCTGAGGTCCTCGCGATGCGTCTCCATCTACTTCTGCTTACAGCCGAGCGAGAGCATTACACAATAGTAAAATATAATTACTGTAGTCTCATAATTATTAAAAATTACTTAATAGTGAAATTAATCCACTGTATAAAGTTTACTACATACGTACATAATACGTCTACGCATCAGGGGTGTTCTCTAGAAATCTGTCCGATTCTAGAATAACCGCATACGTGTATACGACCCCGGCCTCCCGAGCCGCTGCACTGTCCCAGTCTTTTCCGCAACTGCACTGTCCCCCCTTTCCTTTCCCACATAGTTCTCTTATTTACTAATTTCCTTTACGCATTCCCAACGTTCCCTTCCTTTTTTTCTCAATCCTTTCCTCCATATCGTAGGTGGCGGAAACCATTGACAAATGCATTCCCGAAGAGGGTTGACATCAGGCAGGCGGCCGGTCGTAAAACTATAAGCGAAATCTTTTTGTAATATGAATAAAACCATATTGCGTCGACCCCAAATAATAATTGGGATAAGCGTAGAAAGAAGAAGTACATAATACGTCTTTGGAAATGTACAAAAAAAAAACATAAATTAGAATTGTGTACCGTAATCAAAATGAAATTACATGTGAAAATGATAAATATATTTTGTTAATATTTTGCATTATGTGATAATACAAATATCACTACGACTTATTGCTATAACAATATCCACTAACAAAATATCAATATTATATATTTTAACTAAAAATATATGAATATATGTTAGTAACAATAAATTAAGTTCATATTTTTAATCTTTTATTCTCAATTATGCACAAGAACATTGAGTTTTGTTCACCAATATTAAAATTATCAAATTTTTTTTATATTTACTCCTTTTTTTTTATCTTTTCTTGCTGTTGACCGCAGATGGCTTTTACAGCTTCACCGGACGCATGCAGGAGCGAGTACAGATGGTACTCCAAGTCCAAGAAGTCTCCAAGAAGAGAGCAACAGAGTGTAAACTCTTATCGATGGACTGCTTATTTTGTCTCATTGAAATGAAACAAGTTTTTTGTGTCTAATATTATAAATAACGCATTAAATCTATTCGTCACTATATTGATAATAAAAAATCTAGTAATGGTTTTAAATACAATAGAAAAGTTTAGAGTTACCATCAATTTAAAAATTTGAATTAAACTATGCAAGACACTTTTTAATAGCGGCTTTAAGTTATATTTATTGAAAACTTAGTATATTATTTGATTCTATGGCATTGTAATATCTGTAGGACAACAATCCTAAAAAATAAGAGATATAAACTGCATTAGATAGAAAAATTATACTAAACAAAAACAATTTAATACAATATGACTTACTACTATCACGAGATCCCATAACTTAATAGTTTACTTAATACATACTTTAAAATATTTTAATTTTATTCCACGTTCCCATAAGTTTTAACTATACGCAATATCACAAGTTCTTTGTATTATTCTATTTTGAACCGACTTCAAAAAAGGAGGAGGAGGATGTTCACAATTCGGTAGTTTTTTTTTTTAAGTTTTTTAGCTCATAAATCTGTCAATTATAAACCGATTTCCAAAATTGAAAGAAAATACTTGCAGATTAGTTCCATAGAAAAAATATCAAAATCGGTTGTAAATTATAATTTTTTTTTGACAGTTAATGTGAATTTACAGGTTACAGAGGAATAACACCCGAGTCCTCAGGAATGGCAACGCGTGGGGGGTATCATGGGCGAAGCAGTATACTCTGTTATGTCCATGGTACTGCTCATGTCTATAGGCGACGGTTACCACTTTCCATTAGGTGGGCCGTCAGCTTGTTTGCGATTCTAAGTTGTAAAAAAAAACATAGAAACTTTACCAAACTCTATTCACTAGTTTAGTTATCAAAGCAAAATACGTATAATTAGTTTTGCCATAAATGAAGTCGGTTTTTTTTTTTGTGGAACTTAATCCTAAATTATAATAATTATTTTTTTACAGTTAATTTTTAACTTTTTGTCTACGTTATAACGAAGTTTTTATATCTGCGGTCTCTATGTACGGCGAACGTATCTTGTGATCTGTCTCGTGTATATGGTGAGTTGCCTTTGGGGCTGGCCTTTTATTTCCTCCTGTAAAAAAAAATATCAAATGATCTTAGAATATTTAAATAATAAAGATGGCATTTAAGCCTAATTTGTCTAATTAGACAAAAGCTATATTGTGTGCCGCCTTGTCGGTCTCAGGCATAGAATGGGCCACCCTTTCCTTTCCCTTGGGTATTACTGCTCGTGTCTATAGATGATAGTTACCACTATCCATCAGGTGGACCGTTAGCTTGTTTGCCATTCTAAGTTGTATAAAAAAAAAATATCTTTAGAATTTTTTTATAAACCAGAATAATGATGGCTAAATTCTTTTTAATAATTCTGTTTTTTGGGAAAGCAATCGTGATTTTTTAATATGCGGAGCAAAATGTTGTAAAATTGTTTAAATGTTCTTAATTATGTTATTGTTAATATAAATCATTATATAATTACCTCCGCCCAATAAAAGTTTTTGCAACGTAGAGAATGGAGCGTCTATGGCGATGCACAAAACAAATGCAGCGAGAAAATGTGAACCAGAAGTCTAATCTGTATAACTGTAAAAAAAGAACACAAATGAATATATGTAAATCATTATATATATATATATATATATATATATGATGTTTCAATAATACACCATTTGTGATAATGGGTCTTCACCGCCCAACAAAAGTTTTTGCAACGTAGAGAATGGAGCATTTTAAAAGTCTATGGCGATGCACAAAACAAATGCAGCGAGGAATGTGAACCAGAAGTCTGTCTGCCATAAATCTGTATAACTGTAGAAAAAGAACACAATTAATTGATTGAACGAATGAAAAGATGAAAGTTTAATTAATTAATAAAACTATAATATTAATATTAGTTAAGAAATTACAGTTATGTTTTTTACGAATACATCTCATTTCATTTCATTTATTTCAACAAATCCCTGGAATTTTATTGATAAAAAATTGGTGCTTAATTAAATTTATTTATGTGTATTTTATAACTATAATAATATACATAAATAAATTTAATTTCTAAATTTCTGCACACAGACACCTTGTGGCCATTCGACAAAACTCATTGAGACGAATATCATTGAGTTTTATATATAGTTATATATATATATATATATATATATATATATATATATATATATATATGATGTTTCATTTGGCATTGAAATTGAAACTAGTTGTATAGAAAAATGAAAATCTTTTAAATAATTTATTGCAACGTCGAAAAATAAAAATATTACTTACATTATCACCATTTGTGAAGTAATGGGTCTTCACCCAGCTGCCATTGGCTATCATGATGATCGGGAAGTGAACCAGGTACATAGCGTAAGAGAGCCGAGCGGGCAATTTCCACATGTGAAGTGATAAAAACCAGTTTATAGGACCTGGAAGAGAAAATAATTATTACATTTTAAAAGTTTGGTATTTTTGTCAAAATAATGACCTTAAAGTTTATTAAATATAGTAAAATTGATGGTAAAAGTCTACCATAGTTCATAAATTTACTATATGTAAAAAAACATTTAAAATTTCAAGATTATTTGTGAACCTTGCGCATAAATACATGTAGACGTTAGCGATACAATATGGTTCGACATGTTTAGCCTGTACGCCATACAAACAAATGTAGTAGAAACGTCTGATAGTCGACTTCTACTATTTAAATAAAGTGTTCATAGCGTAGCATGGTGTATATACCTCCATAGCCGTTCACGCAGGCAAATATTAACCAACCAACAGCAGAAGACCAAATAGTTCTCATATATGCATTCAAGAAGTTGTCGAAGATCTGAGCATCGTGCTCCAACTGCATCACTGGGTAAACACTAAATATACAAAATGCCATCATTGCAAAAGAAAGGCTCCATAGGAGTGCCACATTTATCTGAAAATAATAACAATTTTATTATTATTTGACCGAAATATATTTTAAAAATTTGCATAGTAGTGTCCTAATTGAATCCTTAAACATTTTATTCAAAAGTAAAGATAAATATAAAAAAAAATAGCTTCAAATTTTAAGAATGAGACATTACAACTCTTTCAAAGTCAGTTAATGCAATTTTAGACTAAATCGGACCAATATATATATTTAAGTATTATAGGTTATATGAATGGAGACAAAATCAGTATAAATAAGTATAAATGGCGTGAATTTACAGGGTACAGAGGAATAACACCTGAGTCCTCAGGAATGGCAACGCATGGGGGGTATCATGGGCGAAACAGTATACTCTGTTATGTCCATGGTACTGCTCACGTCTATAGGCGACGTCACAAATATTAATAGTTATTGTATCTTTTGTCAAATAAAAATCACTAATAAAACTATTAGTATCCACTTTCCATCAGGTGGGCCGTCAGCTTGTTTGCCATTCTAAGTTGTATAAAAAAAAAATCTTAATTAGGTTGTATTTTTTTTATATTTGTTACCTTATAACTCCATCAGTTATAAATTGATTTGAATTCCTTTTCATCTGAAATGATATGCTTACAGATTTCTTCCATAGAAATTTTATCAAAATTAATTCAAAATATTGAATTAATTTTTATATGAATATTTTTTTACCACAATTGAAGTCGGATTTTTTTTGTGGATCACATTTTAATTATTATAGTTACCTTTGAGATTCGAATATTCCTGTCCTTCCATAAGTGCAACAGATAACCGAATATCATGCCAACAAAGAACGGCGGCGCCCTGGCGAGAGTGTTGAAATAATAGTATTTAGCGTAGTTCCCAAATTCGGATATGCGACTGAAATCAAATATACTTGTTTAGTGTATTTACATTATATCTAATACACTCACATTATAATAACACATACACATTATACTATATATATATATATATATATATATATATATATATATATATATATATATATATATATATATATATATATATATATATATCAGTCCCTGTAAATGCCTAACTATGGGGATGCACTGCGCTCTTGTGCGGACGCCTTACAACTTCAGTGTAATTTTGCGCGAGAGATTAAATACGCTAGCCTTAAGTAATTTTTTACAAATTATCAGTTTCTTTGGAGAGAATGTAAGGATATTCTCTATATCATCATCGTCATCATTTCAGCCATTACCCGCCCACTGCTGGATATTGATGGTGTTTGCATGGCTGTGTTTCGGTTTGAAGGGTGGGATATGGCGTGAATTTACTGGGTACAGAGGAATGACACCTGAGTCCTCAGGAATGGCAACGCTTGGGGGGTATTATGGGCGAAACAGTATACTCTGTTATGTCCATGCTACTGCTCATGTCTATAGACGACGGTTACCGCTTTCCATCAGGTGGGCCGTCAGCTTGTTTGCCATTCTAAGTTGCATAAACAAAAAGTTAAATAGCGTGGAAAAAGTATTTTAAATAAAATACAAAAAAAAAAAAAAAACTTACTCTGGGTGAGCGAGGGCAGCAGAGAAGTTGTATAAGAAGCTAATCAGAGTAGATGATACAAGAGAGAGTAGAAGAATTCCAGCCAGTGCTATGTACGCGATCTTCTTGTCACCAAACAGCATCAGTAATATAATTGGGCAGACTATATACAGCTGCATATCCACAGATAAGTACCATGTGTGAGTCAAACACTGAAATAAGCATATATAAAAAAGCCGGTCAAGTGCGAGTCGGATTCTCGTAATTAGGGTTCCGTACAAATTTGTAGTCCCATGCAAATTGTTCGTTCATTCTGGAAATCAAGGCTCGAAGATTTTTCCTCTATATCATCATTTCAGTCATTATCCGTCCACCGCTGGACATAATAATAAAATTACGTATAAAAATGTAAGCGGTTAGGCAAAAAAAAATGTGCAGCTACATTCACCATTTCTTTTTTGTGAAATGACTATAAATTTGCGGTTCTCGGATTTTTTCCTTTACTTGTACAACAAGATATTGTTTCTTACCAAATTTTATGATTCTAAGTCAACGGGAAGTACCCTAAGTAAGGTTTTCACTTTGCGAATGTCAAAATATGCGATCAAAATATGGAACATAAACGGCCGTATCATTTGGTTGCGTCAATTTAGAAGCTTAACTTTTTCACTGCTTTAAGAGATTATAGATTTAAGTATACGATATTAATTTTAACTCGATACCTTCACGCGTTCCTAAGAAAAAGGTCTCAACAAACGAACGGACGGACGGACAACGAAGTGATCCTATAAGGATTACGTTTTTTCCTTTAGAAGTAAGGAACCCTAAGAATGCAATAAAGTCATCGACAGACAGGAAAATATACCTTTTTAATAAAATCAAATTTATTTATTTTGTTTATTTAATACTTTATTGCACCATAAACAAAAATATAAAATGACAAGTGAATAATTCAAGTGAACAGTGAAATACGGTAACATAAATATAGATTGAAATATACACATAAAGGTACAAATGGCAGACCATTTCACTAGAGGGAGACATTATGCAAAAATCGATTGCTTGGGTACCTCTGTCCCATTCGTGTTTCAACCGTGAAGCAGTTGTGTTTGCATGGCAGTGTTTCGTTTGAAGGGTGGGATATGGCGTGAATTTACTGTGTACAGAGGAATAACATCCGAGTCCTCAGTAATGGCAACGCATGAGTGGTATCATGGGCGAAACAGTATACTCTGTTATGTCCATGGTACTGCTCATGTCTATAGGCGACGGTTACCACTTCCCATCAGGTGGACCATCAGCTTGTTTGCCATTCTAAGTTGTATAAAAAAAAAGTCTTATCGCTGGAACAATCTCTTACATTCAACCTTTAATTTAATCAAAAAATCAAAGCCTATTCTTGATAATTAGGTGATAAAACTATTTATGCATAAATATCATGACTATAATTATCAATAGAACATTATTATAATTACTAATAAAAAATCACAAACAAACAATTATTAGGAAATGTAATCTTGATTAGTAACAATTTTTTTATCTTTTATCTAATACATATGTTTGTCAAACACAAGGCATGCTGTGGTTGCCTATAAATGTAAGAACGGTGAGATCTGAGCTGCCAGTGTATTGTATTAAAACTTAGCTTTATTGTAGCTGTATCTTATGTTGGTAATCCTATAAATAAATAAATAAATAAATAAATAAATAAATAAATAAATAAATAAATAAATAAATAAATAAATAAATAAATAAATAAATAAATAAATAAATAAATAAATAAATAAATAAATAAATAAATACAAGCAGCCCCACCCCAGCTTCGCACGGGTGAAACGCTAAGAAATGTGTTTATTTCCAATATCACATTAGAAACCTCTAAATTTATCATTGTTTCTCTATAATATTATGCATGTATTATACATATAAACCTTCCTAACGCACGCGTAATACCTCTGGTATTGCAGGTGTTCATAGGCTGCGGTAAGGTGGGCCGTATGCTTGTTTGCCATCTCAGTGGTGTTAAGCTATTATTATTAAGATACTTACGATTTGATTAGAATTGACATAATTCTGAATATGTAATAAGGCCGACCACCAGTACTGTCTGCAGTTCTCAGTAGCGAGAGCCACGTTCTGCCAGAACGGTCCGTCCGACACGTGATTGAGAAGCGAGGCTTGGAGGAGAACCATTGTAGCCAGGAGAGGAAACATTCGTAGTAAACGATTTATGTAAAACAAGTGAATAACTCTGATGAAGCGATCTGGAAATTGTAGAATAAAGCATTTGAGAAAATATAAAAATAAAAAAAAAAGACATATAGATACGACCTGCACTAAAAACATCATAGAATTTAACCCATGGGTTGGAATTCCTGATGACTTTACTGTTATACCTCTGTACCGTGTAATTGCACTGTAATATCCCACCATTCAAACCGAACACAGCTCTGCTAGTATAACTACATCGCAAAAAGGGGAAACACGAATGGGACAGAGGTACCCAAGCAATCGACTTTTGTACAAAGTCTCCCTCTGGTTATAATATAATATTATAATATTTAAAATATAAAATTTGCGAGAATGTTTGAAAGGATATAAATAAATGTTTGTTACTGTTTCACGCAAGAACTGCTGAACAAATTTGAATAGAATTTGAGGCACAGATAAGTTTTATCCTTAATTAACATATGGAATAGTTTATATACTAATTCGCGCAGGTAAAACTGCGTATTATAGCTCGCTTTATCTAAATCTGTTTCACAATAAAGATAGATAGATAGATAGACACATAATTTATTTGCATTAGTTACAGCACACAAACAGCAAAAGACACAAATGCAAAGTGAAAAAAGATAAAAAAAGATACATGAACAAAAGATTAAAAAACAAAATCAAAAACAAAATCAGAATGCATAAAATTAGTAATTTTTTTTTTCTTCATGCGCGTGCCACAGTAATACAAAATGGCCACGACTCAGCTTTTTGCTTTGCCCTAAAAAGAGCAAAACACTGATATTCTGTTGTGATCAAAAGTGAGCCGCGAAATACCACTAAAAAAAAAATTAAAAAAATAAAGAAATATAGATCAAATACATAGTGTGCGTTCGTTATATTCGCTATTTAGAAAAAGGGTAGTCAGAAGTTAATTTCTATCAGTTTCAAGCACTCAAAACATAATGAATACCTAAATTATACAAATACAATTAGGTAAAGACATACATTACAACAACAAAAAAAAAACAACATCAAAATGTCACTCACCTCTACTTATTTTTCCGACTGTTGTATAAACACCAAGTAAACCACTGAGCAGGAAGAATGTGTCCACTGTGAGTGGCGCTGAATTGACCCAAGTGCTCGAGAACTTGCGTAACCACTTAAATAAAACATAAATAATTTATTTTTTTAAACTTCAATGCATAAATATATAATATGAGTCAATGTACATATGGCAGACTTAACACCTAATGGCGTTCTCTACCAATCAACCACGAGGCAAGCAGAAAATTAAGTAGGCGGTGCATTTACTACTAAAATATGTATAAATATTGTTGCTACATACTACATACATATATCTAAAAACAAATGTAAATATATAAAAAATTCATAATTGAATGAATGAATGAATGAGTATACTTTATTTGCATTATACAATATAGGAAATAAGCAAGACAATTTACAAACACAACGATACAATTGTATAAGTACAGTAAGGCGGTCTTATTGCTAAGAGCAATCTTTTCAAGACAACCTTAAGGTAATGGACTAATTGTTGTACAAGTAGGTATGATAGTGCTGTATAATTATAATATAATAATTATAAATTTATATGGTACAACAATAATTTGAACAAAATAACCAAATCCAAAAGTAATAATTTCTCAAAATCAAAGCAATTTTGATGTATTAATTTCTTGAGATATGGATGAAACTTTTTACTCACTCCTAATGTTTCTTCCAAGTTGTGAACAAAACCTAGTAAAGTCAAAGCGTACGTATGCCCGATCACAACCCAGGCCATGGAAATTGCTCGAATACCGTCCACACATTCTAAAGCGCCAGGATGTGTTTTGAAGGTAAGAAACCTTCTTGTGTTTGTATAAACGGAGAATGCTCGGTGAAGCACGTTCGTTTCTGAAAATTAAGTTTAAAAATTAAGTCAATTACAAAGTTAATAGATTTTGGGAAGATATTTCTTATAAACGTAGTATTTTCTTATCTTACGCAACAATAACCATACAATTTGCAAGTTTTTATGCAAGTTAGAATGACAACTAAGCTGACATTCCCTTTGATTGAAACTAGTAACCGTTGCCTATAGACATGGAATGTCCATGGATATATCAAAGTAGGCTGGGGGGAAAGGAATTATTAGCAAGGGAGTTTCACAGTCTCATTGCTAGCAATATACTCTATCAGCTCGATCACCACGTGGTTCCTTCTGGAAACGTGATAATTTTGTTGAATTCGTCACAATGGGCTTGACCTGCTTCATCCTCATCAGTGATGATCACTCACTGATGCCCCGCCAGTGTATACTGATGACGTAGGCGGAGTTACTATTCCATTATCACCCATTAAAAAAAAGAGTGTGCTATGTCGCTCATGGTATCCCTCATCATAGTAAACAAAATCCTAGTCAAGGTAGGTAACCACCGAATCATAGAAGAAGATTCCATTAATGATGGTGTAATTCTAAGAATGCCATGTATATTTAAGTACATCTAATTTGATCTATGTATCAAGAATTTTTGAAGTATATAACGTAAGTACGTCGAATTCGAAAATTATTGATTTGAAATCAGTGAAGCTATCACCACCATCATATTAGCCTTTAACTGTCCACTGCTGAACATAAGCTTCCTGTTTGGGGGGTTTTGCCAGTAGTTACCATGCTTGGCAGATGGATTGGCAACCGCAGTTAGGCTTTGGAGATATTTGAAGAGAGATACTGCTGCCCATCCCTTGCTTTCCTTAATCGCCTTTTATGACACTCCACAGGAAAGGAAGAGGTACTATTCTATGCTGTGATCACATGATAAAGTTATATATGTAATTAACTAGCTGTAGCCCGTGGCTTCATTCAAATCTATTCAGTAGTTAGCTGTTTTGTCAATTCAGTTGCAGTATTACATGAAGAATTACAAATATCCATCTATCCATCCAACTTTACAAACTTTCCTATTTATAATATTAATAGACTTTGTGCAATTTTCACTCGTACTTATTCCCCTATCTTTCTAGTAACTACTATAGTTACCATTCACTTATAAAGTTACGTACGTAAATCGACTTTAATAATTATTTTTTCTTTTAATACAATAATCATTATAATGAGTTTATTTTATCGCCACAAATTACAGTATATGTACAGATCATTTACTTTTACACAAAATATAAGTATCGTAAATTGTGGGAAATCTGGAGCCTAAACTAAACCGTAACTTGTATCTTAAACACCAGGTTACCCTCAATCCCCTTCAATATAATATTGTATATTATATTTTCCTGTTACTTCTACATTACTTAAACCAATACTATCATACATTATGTAGCTACACACAATGATGTAATAGTATACGCGCAATGTTTAATATCAGAGTTAATATGGGTCTGAATTGAAATGGCAAATTATTATCAAATCTAAACAAAATTATCAAATTTATTTTAGTGATAAAACACGATAACACACTTACCTGTCTTCAAAATAAATACGTGGTAACAATCGTATGCGGTGCTGATGATTATTAAAAATCCAATTATCGAAAACACGGTACTGTAACAAATATTTACACAATCATGTTAATCAATGATTAGAATGATGTAACAAAATTTGTTTTCGAAGTTCTAACAGTTTGTGCACTATGAATATTGTGCAACGTCTCTCATACATTTATGGCTGCTGCAAAATAGTATTTTGTAAATGATAATGGTTTACGCAATGAATATGTGTATTTAGACGCTTACATATATGATTATTGAACTAGACTTAAAAACAAACAAGATTACAAATTTGAAACTTTATACATACATAATGTTTGTAATCATAAATACTATTTTGCTGAGAAATCTTTTTTGAAAATAATTACATCGGGAAAAGAATACAGCTCTACGACCAATGTTACATCGTTTTCTTCTAGTACAAAATAAATGTGATTGCACTGACATGTACTAATGTAAAGATAATAGAAATTGTATATGTCTGATGACCTCATAACTCAATAGTTGAGAACATACAATAGAAGCAATTTCTAGTCTTTCCACTTGTATTTATAAAAATTATACAACTACCTTTAAATACAATATTTTTACTTGAGGTAGTTTAGCTTTTTGTGAATTTATCTTTATTCTAGTTCCCTTGCAAAGAGCTAAAGTTTTAACGTTGTCATTAAAAAAAAAACCCTGTAGTTATTACAACCAAGTGTTTGCTTGGCTGTGTTTCGTTTTGAAGGATGGGATATGGCGTGAATTTAAAGGGTACAGAGGAATAACAGCTAAGTCCTCAGGAATGGCAACGCATGAGGGTATCATGGGCGAAACAGTATACTCTGTTATGTCCATGCTACTGTTCATGTCTATAAGTGACGGTTACCACTTTCCATCAGGTGGGCCGTCAGCTTGTTTGCCATTCTTTGAAGCAGGGAAAAGAATCCGTTCACTAGCATGACGGATGAGCCAGCCATCGTTGTGTTCTACCATATTATAGCCCAACGATCCGGACAACCACGTCGCTGAAGAAATTACATTAGTTATACTCACATTGCGACTTTGTCCGCAGGTGTGAAAGGTTTATCATTGGGCAGGCGGCAAAAAGATTCGTTGTACTCTATATTGAAGAAAGGGTATCTGTCTTGTATGAAGTCCATCGCTTGCTTAGTAGAACACACCTTGGGAATACATATTGCGAATGTTGGCCCATACTGCGCTGTAGTCATCATGGGGAATACTCTGTAAAAGATTAATCATATCAATTATTAACGGTTCACTATTAAACGTAATGGCCATGTGGTCCCGGCATAGAATAGGCCACCCCTTCCTATCCCGTGAGTGTCGTAAGAGGCGACTAAGGGAGGGCACAGGATGCGCTGCAATGTCCCTCTTAAAATATCTCTAAAAAAAAAAAAAAAAGTAATTCAATTGAGTTTCTTGCCAGTTCTTCTCAATTGGATCTATATACCGAACTGGACGGTAGGGAAAATATAAAATTATAATGTAAAAATTTGACGCTCATAAGCGGCTATAATGTCCTACATGAATAAATGATTTTTGAATTTTGAATTTTGAATTTTAAAGCCTGACTGCGGTTGCCAATCCGCCTGCCAAGCGTGGCAGCTACTAGTAAACTTGCTTGCTTAATTCTAAGTTGCATAAAGAAAATCCGCAGTCCAAGATTAATTTCAAAGTTTTTGTAATAATCACTTTCAATCGCCTAAAGCAAAGATAAATTATAATTAAAATTGTATCCGGTAATTGTGGAGTAATTCGGGGTATTCCCCGTGGTGCGGGTTTTACACAAAACAATTAATATCTAATAAGATAATCAAAGCTTACTAGTCTGCTGTTCTGGTTTGAAGGGCGGGAGATAACAATGGAATTCGTGGGTTCTTTGACCTAAGAGCCTTTGAGGGCCTGTTGAGGTTTTCCCAAGAGACTACAGCATGGGGTTCTTCAAAAGGAGGATAAAGAGGTTTCTTCAGGATCGGCAAAGCGCGTAATACCTCTGGTATTGCACTTGTTCATAGGCTACGGTAACCACTTACCATCAAGTGGACCGTATGCTTGTTTGCCACCTCAGTGATATAAAAAAAGAGTAACAGAGGTTGGTTACACGCGAGTGTTGGAACAAGGTCTGCTTATTATATCTTTGGTAATATAAAAGTATATGAGCTGCGATGTCTACTTGCCACCAGATGGATTGTATGCTCTATTTTTTAATCTTGTTTTATATATTTATATAACAATCAATTGTAACTGGTCCCTTTGGGATAAGCTCGCTTTTATATGTTAAATCTTCTTGATGTATCCAATGTAAAGTATTTCATATTTTATTGAACTAGGTATTATATTGTGGAAGTCCACTAGTTAGTTGATTGGAATTTTGTATTTTTTTTTATACAACTTAGAATGGCAAACAAGCTGACGGTCCACCTGATGGAAAATGGTAACCGTCGCCTATAGACATGAGCAGTACCATGGACATAACAGAGTATACTGTTCGCTCATATTACCCCCATACGTTGCCATTCCCGAGGACTCAGCTGTTATTCCTCTGTACTCTGTAAATTGACGCCATATCCCACCCTTGAAACCGAAACACAGCGGTGCAAACACAATTTCATTTTTTAATTACACAATATAGATTTACAGAAAAAACATACCTAGTACTTATATCTTCAACCGAATCGACTTGTCTGTCCAGACTAGCCATCATCATGGCCCATTTCCTTAATTTATAATATGACTCTATATCTCTCATAGTTTCATTATCTAGAGGCGGCCGTGGAATTTCTGGTAATGTTATGTTAGGCCAATTCACATCTGGCCATTCTGGTAATTGGATTACTTGATCAAGCGGTACAGTAACAGTGCAGTATTTTCCCTGTACATCCATATTCTTTATGTGTTGATTTATATCAAGACATTGATAGTAATCACCGAGGTCGTTCACGTTGCCAGATAAAATTCCTGATGGTATCTTGGCACTGGCGTCGATGACTGCAAAAAAATTTGTGGTGTTATTAGATTCTTTGTTATAAGTACTTCTGTAAAAAAACTAAGTTTTATAAGTATAGTTGTATTTTTTTTTTCAAGAAATTAGCAGAAGCAATATAATTCAAACATTAGTAAATAATATAATTCGAACGTTACAATGTAAGTAAAAATCAATAGGCCAAACATAATGATTTTATATTTAAAGATCCTAAAAGAAGTAACTCTTAGAATAGAATAGAAATAATCTATATTAAAATAGACTTGTTTACAAGTTCTTTTAAATCGTTATATTTTTATGATTGTACTGCTGGATTCAGGATGTATCTATTCGCTGAGAAGAAGAGAAGACCCCGCAAGAATTAACGTCTATCGACGCATTAAAGTTCACGAGTACTCGTAAAATAACGTTTTTTTTTTTTTTTATACAACTTAGAATGGCAGACAAGCTGACGGCCTACCTGATGGAAAGTGGTAACCGTCGACTATAAACATGAGCAGTACCGTGGACATAACAGAGTATACTGTTTCGCCCATGATACCCCCCATACGTTGCCATTCCTGAGGACTCAGATGTTATTCCTCTGTACCCTATAAATTCACGCCATATCCCACCTTTCAAACCGAAACACAGCTATGCAAACACAACTGCTTCACGGTTGAAACACGAATGGGACAGAGGTACCCAAGCAATCGACTTTTGTACAAAGTCTCCCTCTGGTAAAGTGTATAAATATCTATTCTATAATATGTCTTTTTAATTTACTTTAGAGAGTCACTTTTACAAAATATTTAACTCTTTTTTCAGGTACGTCGAGGATAGATTCAAACAATTCATTATAAAAACTTACACAATTTTCCAAGAACTAATTACTGACCTTTTTAAGCTAAGATTATTAATAGTACCAGCAATTCGTCTCTATTGCGTAAGTTTTTATTTGCATGGTCATTTCATCATCGTCATCATATCAGCCTTTAACTGTCCACTGCCGAACATAAGCCTCTCCCTTGGCCAGTAGTTGCCATGCTCGGTAGGCGGATTGGCAATTACAGTCAGGCTTTAGAGATGTTTTAAAAGAGACGCTGCTGCCCCTCTCTCGCCCTAAGTTAGTCGCCTATTACGACATCGATGGGAAAGGAAGGGGTGGCTTATTTTTTTTATGGGTGATAATGGAATGGTAACCCCACCCGCGCTATCGGTATACACCGGCGGGGCACCAGTGAAGGATGATAGGTGAGGATGAAGCAAGACAGTTAGCCCATCGTGACGAATTCAACAAGAATTGTTTACGATGGTTTCCAGGGGGAACCACGTGGAGTCGACCTAATAGGGCATATTGCTGTCAATGGGGCTGTCAAACTCCATTGCCAACAATCCCTTTCCCCCCAGGGGTGGCCTATTCTATGCCGGGACTATATGGGCAATGGTCACTTCTGTAAAATCATAGTTAATAAAAATGAAATTCATAACAACTCATTAAGGCTAAATGATATCCATTTAAATCGTTTAATACTGTATTATCTTTAATCCATGTAAAATTTCAACCTCGTTACAATTCGAACGTAAAAATTATAAAATATGTTATACAATTCAGTGAGTGCAGTATGTACCTATACGTATATAAAGTTACATAAGTGGATACCATAAATAAATCAATGGAATCACGTTTTGAGAATGATTATAGTAAATAATAGATTTTTTTTTATATTATTGTACATGTGTAACAAAATTACTTTGTTACTATCATGTAAGAGATATCTTTCTGGTTTAGACAATTCTACTATTAAATTTAATGTTTACGGTATCCAGCATACGTTAATTTTGAAACTGCATACAGTGTAAATTTATTGTATTGTTTTGTTTGATATGCCGTTTACATTTACACCTCAATTGACACCATTCCATTGTAACGTAACAACTGTAAACATAGTTGAATGTTGAAATAACCAGAGGGAGACTTTGTACAAAAGTCGATTGCTTGGGCACCTCTGCCCCATTCGTGTTTCAACCGTGAAGCAGTTGTGTTTGCATGGCTGTGTTTCGGTTTGAAGGGTGGGATATGGCGTGAATTTACTGGGTACAGAGGAATAACACCCGAGTCCTCAGGAATGGCAACGCATGGGGGGCTTGTTTGCGATTCTAAGTTGTATAAAAAAAATATAAAGATATCTAGTGTTGAAATTCTTCAATATTCATAAATATACCACAATATTTATATATTTATTTTATACTGTCATCCTGTAGTCTATAGATGTAACAAAATTAACAAGAATGTGTTTTTTTATATAACACAACGGACAAACGAGCATGCGGCTCACTTGATGGTAAGTGACTACCGCTGCCTATGATCACCCGTAACACCAGAGTGCATCGTAGGTATGCTGCCGGCCTTTTAAAAAGGAATATGCTCTTTTCTTGAAAGTTATGATGACGTATCGGTTCGGAAATACTGCTGCTGGAAGTTGATTCCAAAGAGTGATTGTACGTGGAAGAAAGTGCCTTGAAATATGCACAGTGGAAGACTACCACTAGTCTAGATGGTTGGGATGAAACTTTGGTTTGTGGCGGGTTGTACGGTGGTAAAAATCAGCAGCAGATACCAATCCGAACAATTCCTCAGAACACTCCCCATGATAAATTCCGTAGAAGATGCACAGAGATGCAACATCTTTACGCAGTTTCAGCAGGTCGAGTCGGACAGTAAGGCGCTGTTCATCAATGATTCGAGCCGCCCAACTTTGAATGCGGTCTAACGGGATAAGCAGATACTGTGTGCTTTGTCCAATTTTTTAAAACTTCTCAAATTAACTATCGTAAAAGAGAAGTCTCCCGCCAAAACCGCCAAAAATTTTAAACAGTTTCATTCAGGGTGATGTTCTTTAATAATAATGAATAATAATAATAATTCTTTATTACAGATAACTCTGTTATGTCCACGGTACTGCTCATGTCTATAGGCGACGGTTACCACTTTCCATCAGGTGGGCCGTCAGCTTGTTTGCTATTCAAAGTTGTATAAAAAAAATAACTAAGATCCATTTTTGTTAGTAACAATTGACTTAAACTATGTTAGTAGAAAACAAAATACAAAACAAATAATTTTATAGCCCCTATAATAAACTCAAGATCTTAACAATACCCTATCTACATCTACTCAAGCGTTTAGTTGTCATAATAGATTATGGTAAAACAAACAAAAATCCCTTTAAGGAATAAATCCGCCTGTGTACATTTCTGTTACAGCCTAATATCTAAATTAAAAGTGTATGTACAAAAGCATAAATAAATGAACGTTTAAAATTAAGTTTACTTGAATATAAAGTAAAAAAAAAAATCTTACGTGCATATCCAATCGTCTCCTTTTTGATTGGCTAGTAGTAATAACATATATAAAGTCACTTCAAAATTTTAAACTACAAATATAAATCATTACAAATGTTAATAATACATTTGTTATACACCACACTTGTTTCCTATTAGGATGAGTAAATAGAAATAATGGCACGTGGTTTGCAGCGATTCAAACACATGCGTTTTTCACATACATATTGATGTGTATGATAAAATGCAACTTTAAACCCGGTACTTTTGTAGCGTAACATTTATTTAATCAACTTTTATATCCATCTAGGGCACTCCTTATCGATTTTTTATTATTACTAAATTCCAATTTTGGCGGGAAAGGGATTTTAGCAATGGAGTTTGAAAGCCTTGCATTGCTAGCAATATGGCCAAAATTTCTCTAAAAATAGCTACAGCTTGATGAACCCGAGCTGTGGCACGTAATAAACGAGTCCAGTCAGTAAAGAAATCAAAATTTGCTGTGACTGGAAAAGCCAAATCTGAATCAAAAGAAGTGAATCCCAATTCATGTGGTTGACACTTTAGCTCCTCAAGAACCGGTGCGATATTAACTGGCTCCTTTGGCCAGTTTTCTTAGGTCGTGGTTCCCCCTGGAAACCATCGTGAACAATTCTAGTTGAATTCGTGACGATGGGCTAACTGACCTGCTTCATTCACCTATCATCTTTCACTGGTGCCCCGCCGGTGTATACTGATAGCGCGGGTGGGATTGCCATTCTATTATCACCCATTAAAAAAATCTAATTCTTTTTTCTTGCATTCTATCTCTTTCTTCTTTGCAATCTTTGTCACTTGCAATGTTTCTATTTGATGGCATTATTCTTCACAATATAATTACTAGGCCATAATATTAAAATTTACTACCTTATGTTACTAATAATTTTTTTTATACAACTTAAAATGGCAAACAATCTGACGGCCCACCTGATGAAAAGTGGTAACCGTCGCCTATAGATATGAGCAGTACCATGGACATAACAGAGTATACTGTTTCGCCCATGATACCACCCATGCGTTGCCATTCCTGAGGACTCAGGTGTTATTCCTCTGTACCCAGTAAATTCACGCCATATCCCACCCTTCAAACCGAAACACAGCCATGCAAACACAACTGTTTCACGGTTGAAACACGAATGGGACAGAGGTACCTAAGCAATTGACTTTTGTACAAAGTCTCCCTCTGGTAAATTACCAACATTCGTTCTATAAACGTTAAGCTCATAGCAGTCAAAAAATAATACTTACATCTCCATTTTAAGGTACTGTTTACCAAGAAATGCAACTGCTCGTCACATTCCGTTGAATTCAGAACTGTCTCATACAGATAGTTGTCAAACGTACTACTGTAACCTTCACAATAACTAACTATCGTTGAAACTAACACTAGAAAAACCGAACGGTGCATTGTCACTAGCGTCTATCCTCTATCCGATCAAAATCACAATTCAAGACAATATACATTGGTTTCAATGTAATAATATATATATATCTAAAATATATGTGATAACAGTTATTGTTTGTTGTTAGGGATCAATTAAATTTAATTGTGACAGTACAGTAGGTAATACCACAATTAAATATATACCGGTTTTTTTTTTTTTTTATATAAAATGTAAAATATTTTCATGCCTACATCTTTTAAGTCAACTAAACAGGTGCCAAAATAATACCACGTGGCTTGTAATAATTTTAAACTGTTTAATGCAAATAAACTCATTTAACTTCATTTCATATTATTATTATCAAATGGAAATAAATAGAAAATGTCGTTACTCCATCTCATCCTGAAGATGTCACAAAAGACGACTAAGGAAAAAAAGAACTCTGTCCAATAGAAATAAAACTCGAAATAAACCTTACACTAAGTCTAAATTTCATATTTGGATGTCTCACTGGATGAGATCTGTGCCTCATATCGTGGAATGGACTTTCTCGTGGCGTGTTTCCTTCGTCCTGTAATCTTGGAGCCTTCAAAAGTAGCCTAAAGAAGCATTAAGTGAGTTAGTATACGAGTACTGTCACTGGTAATGGTTGGAAAGAAGCCATATAATATATTATTTTTGAAAATGGAAAAATAAATTTTTGAATTTTGTTAGACCATTCTTGTATCTTTTAATGTAATATTTATTAATTATAAATTTAATATGTAAATGTGGAGTACAGGCCACATATATTATTTGTAGCAACATATTATTACTAGCTGACTCGGCAAACGTTGTTTTACCATATACCTTATTTCTAGAACTATACATGAAAATTTGTCCTACTACAATTACAATATTCGATTGCCATCTTGCAACCCTATTGTGGCATATAAAAATCGTGATTAAAAAAACAGGGGTTGATCATAAAAGCGTGAAAATTTGAATTTGTATGTATTTTTCAATGCTAAATCATAATAAAATAAAAATAAAATAAATTGTCAAAAAAAAAATTGCCCAGGAGTATGAAGAATAATTGTACCAAGTTTCGTTAAAATCCGTCAAGTAGTTTCTGTTTCTATAACGAACATACAGACAGACAGACAAGAATGTTTACTGATTGCATTTTTGGCATCAGTATCGATCACTAATCATCCCTTGATAGTTATTATGGAAATATATTTCATGTACAGAATTGACCTCTCTACAGATTTACATATATATATATATATATATATATATATATATATATATATATTCTTTATTGCACTTGTAAGTTACATATAAAATAATGTATTTACAAATGTTGTGAGCAAGGGTGGACTTATCTCTGACAGAGATCTCTTCCAGTCAACCCAGTACAGTGAGAAAGCATTTCGTCAGCGGGCAGCTGAAGTGCTACAACTATTAATACATAAACAAATATACAGTTAAATAAAAATTATAAGTATATATTATCTACTGAACCATCGTTTGTATGTTACAGTAATAATTAGGTACACTGATTATCATAAAATTGATTAAAACCGATACTTCTTTTTTTATCAAATCCACTGCGATGACACATTTATCTAGTTACGAAATATGATTCATACACTTACGAGTTTGGATTTACTACAGTATGGAAGATCCTGGATTCAGTTTCACTGATCTGACGTCAATTTATTTTTATGTCACTTTTTTAAACTTTTTGAAACCAAAGATAGCCGTGTGGTCCCGGCATAGAACAGGCCACCTCTTCCTTTCCCGTGGGTGTCATAAGAGTCGACTAACGGAGGGCGAGGGATGGGCAGTAGCGTTTCTCTTAAAACATCTCCAAAGCCTGACTGCTTTTATTTTATGGGTGAAAATGGAATGGTGACCCCGCCCGCGCTAACGGTATACACTAGCGGGACGCTTAAATACGATAATGACTCAGTTATTATGTTTGCTATGTTTATTATTATTTTATCTGTGGTCATTTTTTGTGATTAATTAATTAATCACAAAAATGTATAATTAGTTTACTATTGTAATCATTTGGAGGAAACAATAAAATGTGTATTATTTATCTATGTTATCGAAAATCCATTTTGCTCCTGTAATTTTTTTTTATTTTTATTTTAGCCGTTAACTGTCCGCTGCTGAACATAAGCCTTTCCCGTAAGGGGAGTTTTGCCAGTAGTGGCCACGCTTACGCCTGCCAAGCGTGGCGTTGGTAATCGCAGTCAGGCTTTAGAGATGTTTTAAGAGGGCCGCTGTTGCCCATCCTTCGCCGACCCTTAGTCGCCTCTAACGACACCCACGGCAGAGGAAGGGGTGGTCCAGTCTATGGCGCGACACACACAGCGTGCCTATAGTGCGATAGAACTAAATCGTAGAACTATATGGATATAATTAAAAAAAAAATCAATTAATTACATTTTGTATGATACAATAGAATCTCTATTATCCGAATGAAATAAAACCAGGGGAAAAAAAATATACGGAATAATAATCAAATTTCCGGATAATTGTTTCCAAAATTAAATCAAACAATAAACAATGAAATTTTAATATTTTTTTTTATAATGTAAATAGTTTTATACGTCATTTAGACGGTACGATATAAAAAAATTACGAGCTATAAAGGTAATGGATTACAAAATATCTATTTATCAAATTGATACATAATACTACCATATTTCTAAATTGATAATCAGAGCCGTGAAGAATAAGTCCGGATAATCGATGTTCGGATAATCGAGATTCTACTGTATGTAGTTTTAATACCTAAGTTGTTAACTTCATAACCGTACCAATTTTCCAAAAATTTGTATCCTTAACTGACACTATATCTTTATGGTTTTATTATATATATATATATATATATATATATATATAAATGTATCAAAGTATACATTTATTATAGGTAATGATGATACAGCAAATACATTTTTTAAGCAAAATATTAATAATTATAAAAAACTTAAACTTCCAATGTCATCAGACGCTTAGTCATCACGTTTATCATATTTTATTGCGGTACAATGTATGTATGTATTTTCCTTTAACTAAATACGAGTATATCATTTGTGAATCGTTTCTAATTATAGCAGTCAATGATATTAATAGTACAAAGTATTTATCTAGTTTTTTTTTTTTATAAATGATAATAAAATGTCACCGTCTGGACAATTAATACACACAGGAATGACATTTATAAAATATAGATAAAAAAATGAAAATAGGTGATGATTAAGCCCAACATAGCCCATTTTGATGGATTTACTATAATTTCCTGGGCTGGTCACTTTGCTCGAAGAATCGACAATCGATGGGGAAGTTCTTGAGTGGTAACCCCGTGCGGGCTTTTTTAAACGGTTTTTAAACGGTTTTATTTAGCTCGACCTGTACGGTATTTATTTATTTGGGTCAAAATTAGAAATTGGAATTTAAGCACCTTCCCGTTGTCAGATTGATCTGAAATTTGGTACACACATTTAATTTAGATGACAATACAATATAATAAAATCAATAACATTATAAATCTAAGATGGCCGCCGATACAAAATGGCGGATTACATATTTTTCCTTAACCCCCGCAATATGGGTATCAAATGAAAGGGTTACACTAGTAAAACACGATGATTATGTCAAAATTTAAAATTCAAGATGGACGCCGTTCCAATATGGCGGACTAGGTACATATTTTTCCACAACCACCACAATATGGGTATCAAATAATAGGACTATACTGAGACACCCAGACACTAGACACTCGGACACTAGACACTCAGACGCTAGACCCTCAGACACTAGACACTCAGACACTCAGACCCTAGACACACAGACACTAGACACTCGGATACAAGACACTCAGACACTAGACAGTCGGACACGAGACACTCAGACACTAGACACTCGACACTCGACACTCGACACTCGACACTCAGACACTAAACACCAGACACAAGACACTCAGACACTCGACACTCAGACACTAGACATTAGACACTCGTCACTAGACACTCGTCACTAGACACTCGACACTCGACACTCGACACTCAACACTCGACACTCGACACTCAGACACTAAACACTAGACACTAGACACTAGACACTAGACACTCAGACACTCGACACTCAGACACTAGACACTCGACACTCGACACTCGACACTCAGATACTAAACACTAGACACTAGACACTCAGACATCCAGACACTAGACACTCAGACACTGGACACTCGGATACAAGACACTCAGACACTAGACACTCAGACACTAGACACTCGAAACTCGACACTCGACACTTGACACTCGACACTCGACACTAGACACTCAGACGCTAGACCCTCAGACACTAGACACTCAGACACTCAGACCCTAGACACACAGACACTAGACACTCGGATACAAGACACTCAGACACTAGACACTCGGACACTAGACACTCAAACACTAGACACTCGACACTCGACACTCGACCCTCGACACTCGATACTCGACACTCAGACACTAAACACTAGACACTAGACACTCAGACACTCGACACTCAGACACTAGACACTCGACACTCGACACTCGACACTCGACACTCAGATACTAAACACTAGACACTAGACACTCAGATATCCAGACACTAGACACTCAGACACTGGACACTCGGATACAAGACACTCAGACACTAGACTCTCAGACACTTGACACTCAGACACCCAGACACTAGACACTCTGACACTAGACACTCAACACTAGACACTCGACACTCGACACTCGACCCTCGACACTCGATACTCGACACTCAGACACTAAACACTAGACACTAGACACTCGACACTCAGATACTAAACACTAGACACTAGACACTCAGACATCCAGACACTAGACACTCAGACACTGGACACTCGGATACAAGACACTCAGACACTAGACTCTCAGACACTTGACACTCAGACACCCAGACACTAGACACTCTGACACTCGACACTCGACACTCAGACACTAAACACCAGACACTAGACACTCAGACACTCGACACTCGACGTCACTCGACACTCGACACTCGACACTCGACACTCGAC